TGCACACCCCACCTTGCTAAGCCAGTCCGGAACCTTGGGGCCTTGTTTGACCTTCAATTATCCTTTTACCCCACATCTGCGCCATGACCCGCTCTGCCTTCCCCCACCTCCGCAACGTCGCCCGCCTCCGCCACTGTCTCACACCGCAGGCCACCGAAACCCTCATACATGCTTTCATTACATCAAGGCTCAACTATGCAAACTCATTGCTTGTCGGCCTCCCTAACTCCTCCTTCCACAGGCTGCAGATCATCCAGAACACTGCACCACGCTCCTGACCCTATTACCTCCATCCTCGCCCGACTCCACTGGCTTCCCCTCATCCAGAGGATACAGTTCAAGATCCTGGTACTCACCTTCAAAGCGCACTCCCTTACCTCTGCAACCTCCTAACTCCCTACCATCCTGCTCGCACACTTCGCTCAGCGGGCTCTGGCCTGCTTCACGTCCCCTGCTTTCGATCTCCCTGCTTCCCCCCCTGCCCTCCACCCTCCCCAACCTTGATCCCCAGCTCAGGTCCGAAACTTTGTCTGTCCAGTGCCTTGGGATGTCCTCCGACGTGAAAGGCATTATACAAATGTACTTTTGTTGTTGTTTGTTGTTGTTGAATATACAGAATTTACTTTAGAATTGCAAAATAGGTACATGCAGCGCTCCTAAAATAAATTCTCAATGACAGGGCGGACATGCCAACATTATACTGTTTTCATATGCAAAGGGTAACTACACTTGTCATCTCTTCAATAATTCAAACCAAGTGTAAACAAATGCAAACTGTGAATGAAATTTTATATTTTAGACTCGAAACATGATCTGAGAAAGTATTCAATGGAAATTTGTAAATAAATAATGGATGCTGCTTTAGCATTTACAGAAAAGAGTGATTGTTAACAATCCTGGATTTGAACAACTGTGATTAAAAACTATTGTTTGCAATGTCAATAATAGCGCAGTCACTGCCCCTATTAGGTGTGACAGTATTGCTTAAACACAGCACACATCCAGTGCTGCAATTCACTTCAGAAACTTTTAACAATGTCAGGGCTGGAAGCCTCCAAAAACAAACTAGGTAGGCCCAAGTTGCTTTCCAAATCTGACAAGCTAAAAAACATAGCAACTTGCCAAATATAAAGCTATTGTGCATTCATCGATATCATTCCTATTGCGTGATCTTGCTCATCACAACTAGCTTAGGTGACTAACTATAAAACTCCCACAACCAACTGACAAGTTTCTTATCTACATCAAATAGTGCAGCTGATTATTTTAAATGAATGGTGGCTGGTTCATATCTTACACATTCCCTCAGCAACAATTTAAATTTAGATTATTTGAACAAAACTAAAAGAGCAGAAACAGTGAATAAAAATCAATGGCACATTGTAGCACCCTATCATTCGTCCAGCTCCAAAAATGCACAGTCACTGCACTGTACAGTGAATGCTTTGAATCATTCTACTGACGTGAAAGGTGCTATATCAAATGCAAAGATTATTATATTTACCGAATAATATTTGGTTTTGCAATTTTAAATATTGTTAAATTTGTGGCGAATGTGTACAGGATAAAAAGCATCAGGCTTGTCTGTTTTGAACCCCAACACAAATAAATCTAGAATAAGCATCCAAGCCTGATCATGGCCTCATCATTGTCTCCACACACATATTTTTTAATTAGGGAGGGAGGGGGACGGAGAGAGTTAATCACTGATTAATATTAGTAAGCACAAACTCAACCTGATATGTTTCCTCCCTAACTCAGGGATTCTACAGTACTACACTGCCACCCCGACATAGATCAGCTAACTCAGTAAAAACTAGGGATCAAACCTGAGACCTTTCTACCGACCTATGTGCAACAATTAGAAGCTAGGATTCTTCTGTCTTGAGAGAAGGTGACTCAGATTGGATCTCATAGAGATGTACACAATTTTAAATGGGATTGAAAAAGAAAATCCAGAATAATCTTTCAGGATCGAACAAGAGGACATAGGTTTAAAGTTATTAAGGGCAATTTCAGGACTGAAAAAATGTATCCAGAAAGTTTTCCTTTACATAGAGAGTAATCAATGACTGGAACAGGCTGCCAGGAATGGTGGTGGAGGCCAGGACACAAGACATTTGAAAAGCAACTTGGTGAGGTAATGGGGGCTGGTAGGGTGGGTGTTCTGGAGGGATGAGATATAATGGGCCGAAGGACCTTCTTCATCCAGACTAATTCTGTGATCTTGTGGGTCACCAGCACTCCATGTATTTATTTACCCACTGATCATTCAAACACAAATTCTTGCCTATAAATACATATAAACAGTGAGATTGGCTATAAATGTGGTTATACAGCTTTATATTTGGCGGAGGAACATTTCCATCCTGTCTTCTTTTCTTGAAGATCCTCCACCTTTGTATTCATTTCTATTCTAGTTGCTTCCCCCACAATTTTTATCGTAAACACTAAAATCACACACAAAATAATAGGCTCTGTGAAAAACAATGCATATACGTTTGTTTTGAAGTCATAAACAACTTTTGTCTCTCGGAAATCCACAATCTTATTTTTTTATTTATAATTCCAAGAAATTAAAGTTATAACAAGTTTACTTTGCGCAGGGGGGAGTCATCCAGACATAACATACATGGAAACCCATCCACTATGCTTAAGAGTATCCAAACTAGATTGAGAGTTCCACATATACATGTCATCTATGCATGGAAATTTCCCTATGCATGGAAAACCTACTCTCCCCCTTTTCCTGCTTATCCAATTCAGAAGAGAATTAGGTGCAGGTTGCAAAAGCCAAGGTCAATATCCAGAGTGTGCTCCAGAATTCAACCAACTAAAACCACATAGCTTGAGGGTGCTGGCTGCTGCTTATCCAGCTTGGACCATCTTAGAACTTTGTCTTGCAGAGTTAACAGGAACCGAATGGGAAGAATGCATGTCCTCTATGACTGATCTGCCTTTTGAAGTCCTGCCAAAGAGCCAGGCTGGCTGCTCTTCAATGATCAGTGCCTTAAATGAATGGGGGCCCACTCCAACACACTCTTGTCAATGTTCTATTCGGCTCCAAGGAAACCCTAATTACCACCCCCTCCCACCCACATCCCCAAGAGGGCAGTCACTAACACAGACTTATTCATGATGTTTCTACTATACCATTCTTCCAACAGACAGGGGGTAGGACAATTACATCACCACAATCTAGGATGACAGCCAGCCATAGAAAAACTACGATGAGCATGTGACCAACAGACAAGTCAGACTTCATATATTTTTAATGAGACTCGCAGGTTCACACAAAGTGACCTAAATCTGTTGACACATTATTTCAAAAATATGCTGGTCTCCATTTCAGTGTTTTCTTCACAACTTGGACTGTTGCCAATGATTTGATTTTGACAGCTATGCAGTGCCTTTAGTTAGTTTCTTTATCAAGAAGTGCATTCAAATCATTCGGGAGAAATACTAATAGCAGCTATGCTTAAATAATAATAATAATAACATTCTGTTTGTTATAGCGCCTTGCATGGCAGGAGGACATTCCAAAGCGCTTCATGTGATTTATGATTATTATCCCAGATTATATTTTTGGAACTAGACTCTAGGTGCTGCATTGTATAAGTACATTACAGATACCTCTGTAAATCAGATGTAGGAAAGACACCTGAAGCTACTACAACAGAGCAGAGAGCAAATGCCAGTAATGGACACAAATTTACATATAAACTCCCAGCAGCTACATACCAGGATCTCATCTTTTGCTTTGTGCGAGATATTAAGGTAGTCTCAGAGCTTTTACCAAGTCCCAGCAGTGATAGAGAGAAAGTAATAAGTGGAGAAAGAATCTGAGCATCTAAAGCTGCAAGTTGGGATAAGTATCAAAGTCAATCAAGATATTCAAGAACAACTTGGCTGCCACTTTTGCAGCACATTTCATGTGATGTGGAGACAACAATGATAAGAATATGCTGATGAAAATGAATGTCAATAAAACGACCCAAATTACAGCTTCCTTTTCCTTCCCCAAGCAGCCAATAAGAAACTTGGTTTCCCTTTTCTCATTAAATATTTCTGCATCCCTCAACAACTCTTAACTATATGCAAAACACAAATGCTACTATCTCTCATACTTCGGAGCTATTTTTTAAAAAATCGTCGCATTTGATTTAGCACCTTACCTCGTTACCAAGATGTCTCAAAGCACTTCATCCATGAAGTGTTGTAGCATTTATTGCAGATAAATGTTGTCACCAATTTGCACACAGCAATGTCCCATAAACAAACAAGTGACAGCTATGAAGTGACTGACTAATTATATTTAGGGCAATGTTGGGAAGGATACCAGAAGAAATTTCCTTCTCTTTTTCAGTAGTGTCATGGGGCCTTCAACATCCATCTTCTTAGGCAAATTGGACCTTAGTTCAAGGACAATACCTTGGACAGTGCAGCATTATCTCTCAGCACTGTATCAGAGTGTTAGCCTAAAATGCCTTTGTGGGGCTTGAACCCACAACCTTCTGACTCAAGAGGGGAAGAGTACTACCACTAAAGCTGAATGATATTCCAGCGTATTTTTGCACACTTGAAAATTGTGTAAGATATTTTAGGAAACGCAAAAATGTGAAAGTGTATTTAAAAAAATGAATTGGAAAAACTGCAAACTTTAAACATTGTTTGAGCCATTGTTTGCTATTGTGTTTATGTGTAAGCCTAGTTCAGTTGGTAGCACTCTCAACTCTAGGTCAGAATGTTGTGGGTTCAGGCCGCACATCAGGGCTTGGAGCTCATAGTATAGGCTATCATTCCAGTGCAGAGCTGGGGAAGAGATGCATTGTCTCAAATCCCATCCTTCAAATGAGATTTTAAACGAAGTGCCCATCTGTTTGTGCGGGTGAACATTTTAGATCCCGGGACACTATTTGAAAAGAGAAAGTAATCCAAGAATAAGAATACAAAGTATGCCAATAGCCACACCAGGCAGGAATTCTAGTTGTAGAACTTACCTATAAACAAAGACACAGCTCCACAAGATGGAGATTTTACTGACTCTGAAACTTCATCGGCGGAAAGCTTCTCATAGGTCACTTTTATCAAGTCCTTGGGCTCATCGTCACTCTCATGCATGGTCACTGAAAAAAAAAGATACAACTGTGTAAATCACAAAATCTATCAATGTCTCCCTTTTGGACTGCATCGGTGATCTTTACAGGAATCTTCTTTGTGCAATTCTTACTGTTCCCAGACACCGGTCTCCCCAGCTCCACCATCGACAAAATCCAACTGATCCAAATTTCCACTGCCTGCATACTCACCCATACTAAACTCTGTACCTCCACCACACCAGTTCTAGCCAAGGTCCACTGGCTCCCTGTTGCCAAACAGATCAATTTCAATATCGTCACACTCGTCTTCAAATCCCTTCAGGCCCTGGCACTCCCCAACCCACCACCCGCTGCCTCCGGACTGGCTCCGGCTCTCTGCATGTGCCTTGTGCCCTCCATTCCATCATCAGTGACCGCGCTTTCAGCCACAAGGCCGCAAAACTCTGGAACACTTTACTTCTATCCCTCCACCTTGCTTCTCCATTTTCAGGTTGGGCCTAAAGACCTTCCTCTCCAACTGTGCCTAAGTTCACCTCCCCCACCCCCTGGCTCAGCGTCGTGGTCTGCCACTGTCAAGCGCTCTGGGACACTACCCTGTTTGAGGGGCGCTACGTAAATCCAAGTTGTTGTTGGGAGAACCAAGTTCTCTGATTGAGACCACTCGTACAATGTCTAATTATGAACAGTGAAGCACATCTACCGTATGAATTTGATATCTGTAGATTTATGGTTGCAAAGGTTTGAATACTTTTTTATCATGGCGATGGCTGTGTTGTGCATGTGTTGCACGTGCTGTTCGTGTGTGTTAAATCAAATAAAAACAGGTCAAAGAGTGGAAAATGTTCCATAGTCAAATCCTGACATCCCACACTTTACAAAGGAAAGTTCCCCTTATTCGAGGCCTACAATGCAGTGCTGGGGATGTGCTGCATTGTTGGAGATACCATCCATCAGATGAGAAGTTAATCTGAGGCCCTGTCTGCCTGTTCAGGTGGATATTAAAGATCCCATGGAAAAGAGAAGGGAATTTCTCTCAGTATCCCACCAAATAAAATTGGTCATTCACTTCATGGCTGTTTGTGGGACACTGTTGTGCACAAATTAGCTGTCGTGTTCACCCACAAAACACAAAGTCACTGAATTTTACAATGTAAAGTGAATGTGAAAAGTGTGAAAAGTGCTCCACCAAATGTTAGGTTTATTATTATTACTATAATACTTTAAAACATTGGCAATTAACTTTTTTTTAAATGTATTACTTACTGCATTCATTTTTTACTAATGTTTTGTGGTTGCAGTGAAGCTACATACAGAACAGTATGGCTCCTTATAACAGAGACTCCAGACTACGAGGAAGCAGACAAAAAGGGAAGTTCAAACATCAGGGATCAACTGAATCATTGGACCTGGCTAAAATTAAAGAATCAATCAGGAATTATAACGTGCGTCCTGCTGTGATTGATCCCATATTTGAGGAGAAGTTGGACATACCTGCATACGTATCCCAAAAGCTAGCCCCCACTGAGAGGGGGGATGACTGCAATCTCGTCGCCTGGCTGGAGGAACAGAATTTGATCTCCCAGGAGGATATATTCCTGACGAACTGCAAGAAGGACGTGATCCCTTATGGCAATGAGACTGTTGGGCAGGTAAGGAAAAAACAGGAAATAACAGCAATTCATCATTATTTTTTAACACGCGATATAAAGTGGATACAAGCACTGTTGGACGCCACCCTGCCTGAGGGGGCGCTATATAAATGCAAGTTGTTGTTGCTGTTGTTGTGACTGGATTGTTCCCTACCGGTGTGAGTCAATAATGCTTAAGGAAATTCACGGTTTTCCAGAAGGTATGAGCACACAATGTAGCAAGATATTTGTCTCACAAAAAAAAAGGTTATGGTGTGAGGTCAGCAGGATCTGCCTTAATAATAATAAGAATCCTTCAATTTGATATAGCACCTTTCACTTCAGGAGGATGTTTCATGGCTCTTCACAGGAATTAGTGTATTGTTCGGTGGCACTTGTAGGTGAACACAGTGGCTAATTTGTACCCAGCAATATCCCACAAACAGCCATGTATTTTGAGGATTAAATGGGTGGGGCAGTGGGAAAATTCTCTTTTCAAATTGTGCCATGGGATCTGTAATATCCACTTGAACAGGAAGACAACCGTGTTTTAACATCTCATTTGAAGGATAGTATATCCACCAATGCAGCACACCTCCAGCGCTCCACTGGAGTGTCAGATAAGACTATATGAGTTCAAAATCATGGACCTTCTGACTCAGAGGCGAGGGTGCTACAAACAGATCCAGGCTGACACATAAACTACCATTTTTATTTAGCCAGTAATATACAATATTCAGAAAAAATATATTTAATTCCTTAATTTTACAACAGTTCTTAGACAGTAAAATGTTCTAGCAGTTTAAATTGAATAAATCAGTCAAGATAAGTAGGATCCTTCAACATATTGAAGGATATGGCATTTGTTTTCTACCTTGGGTGTTTATTAACTATTTTCTCCCAGAGTTGCATAGAGGTTAATTGTTGTGGCACAGAAAGTGTTTCAGAACGAACTCCTGACAACTCAGCACTCCTGGCAAAATACAGCACTGATACCTGTTTTAAAAAATAAAAAACAGAATTAATGCAAGATACACCAACAGTTTGCAGAAAACATGACGGTACTTTAAGAAAATATTTTGATTTAGACAGCACAAAATAATGAGTGAGTACAAGGAAGAATGGTTATCCACTAGCAGAGATGTAGAAGGAAAAGGATTTTGGTGCAAATATAGTTTCCAGTCAATGAAAAACCAAGCAAATCACATACAGTACTAGGTTACACATGTGGCTAAGAGATGAAAGAAATAAATCTAAGCTTGTATACATACATCACCAGTGAGGTCACATTTGGAATACTGTACATCATTTTCTGCCTGTCAATTTATAATCAAATGCTCTCAATTTAACAGAGAGCATCTGTTTTAAATCCAGAACCAGCTATGTCAATAATAAACCTTACATTTAGTATAGCCTTTCACATCAGAAGAATGCTATAGGATATCATAGGATATTCTATAAAGTGTATAAAGACCGTTTGTGTTTTTGTGGGTGAAAGTTGCAGCCAATTTGCGCACAGCAATGTCACACAAACAGCCACAGAATGAGTGACCAATTTTTATTTGGGAGATTGTTGGACAGGACACTAGGAGGAACTCCCTTATCTTTTCTAATAGGGATCTTCATCATCCGTCTGAACAGGCAGATGCGACCTTGATTTAACACCACATCGGAAAGACTAGACCTCCAACAACCTCCAGCAGCACATCCCCAGCACTGCAATGGAGCGTCATCTTAAACTATATGGGTTCCAAATCCTGATGTGGGGCTTGAACCCACAACCTTCTGACTCGGAGGCGAAAGTGCTACAATTGAGCCAGACTGACGTACAATATTCACTGTCAAAACCACAATTTTGTGGCAAAATTTACAAATATTATTGGAAGGTACTAAGAATCCCTTTGATTGAAATTGAATTTAATGCCATTCACAAGAGCAGTTTGGTTGTAGAAGGCCCATCTGATCTTATCCTTCTAGAATACCTACCTAGCCATCCTCCCATCACCACATCAAGCTCTTATTTTAAATGAGTTTAGTGTCCTGGCCTCAACCAAGCTGGATGTTTTTACTATTTCTCCTTGACTTAATTCCATAGTTAATTATTATCGATCATGAACCAGATTCTTGTCACTCATCTACAGTGCTACAGTATGGTAAACACCAAAAAGCAATCCAAATAAAAAGATAGAATTATTATGTAGCATCATCAAGGGACCAAGAGAGAGCTAGTCTCATTACAATGTATACATACAGTTTACATAGAACTTCACAGAGTAATATTACAAGGAAATAAGTCATTCAGCCCAACTGGTCCTCACTGGTGTTTACATTCCACACAAGCACTCCTTGGGGGAGCTGAACTGGCTCCAAGGTGACACGATTGGCAACGGAATATCGGAATCGACATCTCGGTAGTCCAGTTCCTGAGCCAGGGGGTTCCACAGTATTACAGGGCACTGCTGATGACATCCAAGACCTTCTGGCTCATCAGCAGGACGTGGAACAGAAGACCAGTCACTGGTGGCAGGGAATCCTTCCACTCGGTTAATGTTGACCCTACAAGCCAAAGCCCTACGTAGTTTCATAAGGAAGGGAAAGTTTGCCAGACAGTGCTATCAATGGCAAGCTATGTGTTTTTAGCTGGTTAGACTCCAGCAGTATCCCAACTCACACTCAGGGCTGGAGAGACCTAGGTTCGATTCCTGGCAGGGTGAAACCTTGGGTAAGTTTCCTTATTCCACACGCCTGATGATAGACCCTCAAGAAAAAAATAATAAATTGGTCACTTCAATCCACAACTGTTTGTGGCACATTGCTGTGCGCAATTGGCTGCCACATTTCGCCCACAAATATACAGTCAATTCACTTTACAATCTATTCTGTGAAGCGCTTTGAGACATCTAGAAGTTGTGAAAAGCGCTATATCAAATGCAAGGATTATTATTATTAAGCGTTTCTGTGTGCTGATGTATGAAAGCATCTCAATGAAGAACGGATAACAGTAATGATCTGTCACTATGGTTACTCAGTGACAATCTACAGTACTTTGTTACTGTTTTTTTCCTTTCTTTCTTCTCCTCCTTTCCTCTACCTGTCTCTTTTTTGCTGACTTATTACCATTCCACGAAGGCTGACCCTCAATTCAACAGATACTCAACATCCAGCTTTTGCAGCATAGGAGTCCTGAGGTTAGGAATCAAAAAAAGGTCAAAGCCACCTTTTTGTAGTTCTTCAAATAATTTACAGACAACCAGCTTCAAAGCTAAGGAAGAAGTTTCCATAGGAAAGAATAAGTCACTCAGAACAACAAGTAATTTTGGAGCCAAAACATACTCTGCAAATGAGAACGACAATACCGTTGTAAGAGAGGAAACGACAACAAAAACAACTTCAATGTGTTTAAATTTAAAGGTCTAACACACATAGTGTTTGCACACAAAGCAGTAAGTTATCTAAAGTTTATTATGCTGTGATAGTAAACTTTCTGAGTTTGGTGCCCACCACGATTCTAAGTGGAAGCACCAATATATTTTCTTCCTTGTTCAGCCAGGTGTTCAACAAACCCATCACAAGCTTAAGAATCTTTGAGACAAGCTAACGATAATTCCATATATCTCAGTGGTTTGGAGTGATAATTACATTATAATGGGTAGTGATGTAAAAATGGCTACTGGTCAGAATTCCCAGGTCACAACTGCACTACAATTCTGGTATAATGTGGGGCCACTGTACAGTCACATTATAAATGGACCAAAGCATTATACCGAAGCACCATTTGACAGGGTCCAACTTTAGGTAGGGTTTCCATTTGTTCATTATGAAATGCACACTCTCTCCCCAAGAAGGAACGTACCCTGGTCACCAAATCCCGGAGAACGCAGGTCTCCAATTACAGGAATCCCTCTGACAAGCTCCCACCACACATCTCAAAATATACCTCTTCGACCTGCTTTCCATTATCTATCCCTTCTGTAAGTCCTTGCAAAAATACAATTTAAACTTATATGGAGTCTTTCATGTTGGGAGAACGTCTCACATGCTCTAAAAAAGGCTGAGGAGGGCTGAATTTTTTTTTTGTATGTGTGGGGGTGGGCGGGGAGGGGGAATAGAAATAGGTGGTCAAAAGCACAGTCAAAGTGGTAATAATAAACCTTGTATTTCATATGGTGCCTCTTCACCTCACCAAGGTGTCTCAAAGCTCTTCACAAGTATTTGTAGGCAAAGTATGACTCTCACGTTATTTGTCGGCAAATGCGGTGAATGGTTAACTTTCCGGGAGGGGATTGTCGGTCCTGAGACTGGGAGACGCTCCTTTCCCTTGTCGAATAGTGCCATGGGAATCTTTAACGCTCACCCTCGTTTTAACGTCTCACCCAAAGGACGGCACCTCCGACAATGCAGCCGGGACCCCCCCGCCACCCCCCCCACCCGCCCTGCATTGGAGAGTCAGAATAAAACGGGGTGAATTCAAACTCCCCGGGTGTGAGCTCTGCGCTTTCTGAGCTGCAGAGAGGCACAAATTATTATTATTATTATTAAGGATAATTTTATTAAGGATTATTATTATTATTATTAAATGGAGCTGGAGCTGTACCCACCAGGTGATTGACAGCTGCGGGGGGGCGGGGCGGGAGGCGCTGATTGACAGCTGCGGGGGGGGCGGGGCGGGAGGCGCTGATTGACAGCTGCGGGGGGGCGAGGCGGGAGGCGCTGATTGACAGCTGCGGGGGGGCGGGGCGGGAGGCGCTGATTGACAGCTGAGGTCGGTGGGGGGGGAGGGCGCGAGCACCAGGTGCTGATGTGTCAATCACCCGCCCGGAGCCCGGAGCCAGCACAGGGTTCCACTGCTCCCTGCACAGCGGCCGTGCAGCGCTCCCCGCCCGCCGTGTCTCAGTGCAATGCTTAAATGCCCTCAATATTACCAATAAAAAGTACTGTACCTCGGCCGTCATTTAACTAGTGCGTCACTACAACTCCCATCCCTTAAAACCCGGCGACGAACTTTGCAAAGAACTGCAGCAAAGGGAGGGAGGGAGGGAGAGAGAGAGGGAGGGAGGGGGCTCATAGGGTGCTGGCAGTCAGCTGATTCGGTGCAACAAACTATCGAGTCCGAGTAGTTGCAATGGTTTTGTAAGCAGTCAATGGGTTGGGTTGCAAACCAAAAAAAAAACACTTTTTTTTTTCGATTTGATATATCGTAAAGTTTATTATCCGTACATGCATTCTTTTTTTTCCCCCTTGCATGGGAAACAGATACCACGTTTTTATTTTTTTTTCAAAAAAGTTGCAAATGCTGCGAATCAAATGCAATAATAATGTCAATAATAATCCTTGCATTCGATCTAGCGCTTTTCACCTCTTCTAGACGTCTCAAAATATGCTGTAAAGTGAATTGACTGTATATTTGTGGGCAAAACCCATTATTGTTTGGAAATGCAAGGATTATTATTATTAAATCTAACATAAGGAATTGAGCGTTTGGATTGCAATTCAGTCAGGATGTGAAGGCAAAAAATGCAAGTTAATGTTCTGGGGGAACTTCATAATTGGGGACATTTACATTTGCAGTTTGTTTTAATAGTCTGGACAACATAATAACGCTCTATATCAAATGCAAGGATTATTATTATTGTTTTGCTCATGGACTGTGGCTTTTATTAAAAGTCTGTTCTAATGTTGGTGTTTGACAGGCATATTGGTACTGCACTCTCTAACAATGTAACGTGGAAATAAATGTTAAAACATCCTTCAGACAGTTCAGAGGGAATGTCCAGATAATGTCTTTTGGTCAGAATAGAGAATCTGGAAGCGATTGTTGCTTAGATAGAAGGAACATGTTTCAAAAGCCAGTTTAATCGATTCAAAAATACAACAACAACTTGCATTTATGTAGAACCTTCACGCGGGATAGCGTCCCAGAGCGCTTTACGTCTTGAAACAATGGCAATATTTTATGCCAATATGTTGATCCCAGTTACAGTATATATTGGCTGAACCATATTATTATGTTGGAACCCTTGTCAGACAGTTGATAAATATAGAAATTGGAAATAAACACGCAAAAGAAGAAATTGAACAAAAGGGCATTGAAGTCTTTGAAGCATGATTCCAGCATGATGTTGAAAGAAGCTGTCGGGAAGTTTCAAAGCAGGCTTAGTTCCTGGAAAACTAAGAACAATCTGTCATAATGTACAGTACATGGGACCCAACTCATGACCTCTGCAACTGTTTGTGAGAGAGCAGGTGCAACTTTTGTACAATGTAAATTATTCGATGTACGTTTTCAAAAAAATTGTGGAGACACAATCAGTGACCTGAATGAAGTATCCCTTTACAGATATAATTTGTGTTCAATGTATAAAAACATCAATGAAAAGTTTTGACCACAATCTAGCAATAATAATAGTGCCTTCTTGTGGAGTCCTGTAGCTCTGTGGTCAGAGCACTCGCCTCGCAAGCAAGACACTTGGGTTCATTTTCCAGCAGGGCGAAACCTTGGGCAAGTTTCCATACTCCATATGCCTGATAATAATCCCTCCAGAAGAAAAAAACAATAATAAATTGGTCACTTCAATCCACGACTGTTTGTGAGGCACTTCTGTGTGCAATTGGCAGCCATGTTTCTCCCACAAATATACAGTCAATTCACTTTACAATGTATTCTGTGAAGCGCTTTGAGACGTCTAGAAGACGTGATAAGGCACTATATCAAATGCAAGGATTATTATTATTATTTTCATTCTTTTATCATGGTTCATGCTATCTCATTTAAAAAATGTTGAAATGCTTCAAATTTATTCTGATCAGTGCAACTTCCTTAAGCGTGTAACAATCCTTGCATTTGATATGTCTTAACACATCGTCGAAACGTCTCAAAGTACTTTACAGCATTTCCTGCAAAGACTGTGTAGTGTAATAGGTAAACAATCTGTGCACAGCAATGTTCCACAAATAACCATAAGGGAATGACCACATTTATAACAACAACAACTTTCATTTATATAGCACCCTTCACGGTGGGACAGTGTCCTGGAGCGCTTGTATATGATGCTTATATAAGCAGCATTGTATATCTTACTTAAGCTTTGAGAAGGTATGCGTCAGGCAGTGGGCAGGATTATTACAGAAAGGCAACATGAACAAAAGAATAAATAAAAGTACTTTATCCAACCCCTTGCAGTTACTTGTTGCTTGTGCTGCTGTCTGAATGTCACTAATTATGACATACGATTCATAACTTACCACTGTAAATTTCCACTAAATTTAATACTGCAACTTGAATCAACATGCAGAGTTTGATACTTACATATTATTTCAAGATATCTTTGCATTGGTTAAACTGGCTTTTGAAAAATGTAAATATCTGTAACTTTCCACAAACTTGCTATAATCTGAATTAATACGTGAATATTGAAAATATATTCAATGATAATTATAACTATGTTATGCTGCATAAAAGCTAATCTTTCTTGATGTCTTATAATAAATTTTCCAGACCCAGAGCTTTATTTAGTATTTTGCGCTAATTTACCCTTGAGTTGAAAGAAAATTAGCCAGAGAACGAACAATCAACAGCAGAACAGATAGAGCTATTTAAGAGGAAACTTGATAGCTTTAAACATATCTTTGATGGAAAACCATTGGATGATAATACGTGCATAGTACAAAATCCTGACTATGCTTTGGAAATATCCAAGGTGATGGCAGATGAATGACAGAAGTGTTCTTGGCCAGAGATGAGTAAGATTAACATATCATGCACATAGTCATATCGGATCTTTCCAGATCTTTTAAAGTCATGAATAATTTGAGATTTAATGGAAACTTCCCCAATTTTAGAAAATACTGATGCAAGAGCAATAGAACAGTGTGAAGGAGGAAAGCATTACAGAGTGTTACACACACAGAGAATCAGGCCTTTGGCCCATTGTGTCTGTGTTAGGATTTAACACCATATGAGCCAGATCAGCCTCTCACCTTTGAGTGGGAAGGTTATGGGATCAAGCACAACATCAGGATTTTGAACTAACAGTCCAGGCTAACACTTCAGTGCATTGTCAGAGGTGCCGCCTTTTGAATGAGATGTTTTGAATGAGGTCCTCTATGCTTGTTCACATGGATGTTAAAGATCCCACAACTACTGAGCAATATTTAAAAATGAGTAGGGTGTTTCTCCCACTATTTCTCCCAAATAAAATTTGACAAACATGGCTGTTTGTGACAAATTACTGTGTTCAACATTGCCTGTCATGTTTGCCTATAAATACACAGTCATTACACCTCACAGTAAAATCCTGTGAAGCACTTTAAGATGTCTCGATGACGTAATAAGGCATGAACTTCTCAAGTTGCATTAATTGAAATCAAGACACTAAGAAATCCTATATATATAAGTAACAACAGATTGGAAATCCTGTGAGTGTTTTGACTGGCACATCTTATCTAGAGTTCCTTGCATGACACGAGGAGTAATAAGCCCTGAATGGATGGGTGGAGATATAGAGGGGTTGGTGGGCAAGATTATGATGTTAGACTTTGAATAACAGCCCATTGGTTTGAACACCTCAGTAAACCTTAAATTTGCAGCAGCTTCATGTCAATGGTAGAAGAAAATTGAACTTTTGGAATCTTGGGGAGAACGGAAGGCAGATATTTTAGCTGACCATAGGCTTTCACTATTTCCTTAGCACTTCAGGGCATGCAGAATTTGGTAAACTCTTAAATTCAATCTGAATTTTGAACCAATTTTCCCTAGTTCTGAAAAAAACCTTCAGAAAAACGGCTTCAAATTTAAGACTGAATTTAACAATTTGCCATTTTTTTTACTCATTAAGATGCTAAGAAAACATTGTCAGTCTAGACGCAGGAGAAATTTCTTCCTCCAGAATAGGCACTGAAAATAAAACTTTAAACAAACCCATCAGTGTATAGATTAGCTCACATAATGGTTCAATCAGACCAGCAATAATCATTATAGACAAAAATATAAACCCAGTTCAACATGTTGGACTGAGAAATGTGGTATGCTCTGAACTGGGAAACAAGCACAGCAAAGTATGTGATCCAGTTGGACTCATAGTTTCTGAACTCCACATGCAACCATTGTACACAAAACAAGTATCAGAGGCTCACATGAGAAGCTTGGATGAAGCAACTGCTTTGATACATTTGACTTAATTTTCCAAAATACCAATGCTATCATGTTTCCATAACAACATTGAAGTAATAATAATATAATAATAATAATCCTTGCTTTTGATATAGTGCTTTTCACATCTTCTGGACGTCTCAAAGCGCTTCACAGAATATATAAAGTGAATTGACTGTATGTTTGTGGGCAAAACACAGCAGCCAATTGCCACAGCAGTGTCCCACACACAGTCGTGGATTGAAGTGACCAACTTTAATATTGTTTTTTTTCTTGAGGGATTAATATCAGGTGCATGGAGTATGTACCTTAAATGACCCCAGGTCTTGACATCAATCACTCTTTCTGGTAATCTTGCCAGTTGTTTTGTGCCCTACATGTAAAGAAATACTTCCTGGTTTCTCCCCCAAACTTGAGTTTCACAAACCTGAACCTGTGCTCCAGAGACAGATCCCTTACAACCAGGAATCCGATGAAGACAAGGCGATGTTAATCCTGCAACTGAACAGGGGATATATAATTAAGATATCTTAAAAGAAAGAAACCGGCTATCTTCTGCCCTGGTTCATTGGTATATAGCCAGATGTCATCTCGCTCAGTTACAAGCACTCTCACTTCTGTATCAGAATGTTGTCAGTTCAAACCTTTGTAGGCAGAGAATCTACTTTTGGATTTCGATAAGTCCGAAGATCTACACAACAGAAAAAAACCTTATCTGTGAGCATGAGAAGCAGCTGGGCTGTGTGAGCAAAATGTGGACGCCCATAATGGCTTGCAATTGGCCTACATCTCCCCTGATGCCCTGAGCATGGCAGCTATGTGAGCCAGTCTCTTTCAACATTAATGTGGGAAACCTTGTGAGATCGACTTTCAAAGTGTACAGTGGTACTCAAGTGCAGTGCTGGAGGAGTGCTGCAATATTGGAGGTGTCATTTTTCAAATTAGATGGTCCTATCTGCCTATTCAGGTAGATGTAAAAGATCCCACAATACTATTTGAAAAAAGGGGCCAATATTCCCTCAGATATATTGGTTATTCACTTCATGCTGTGTACAAATTAGCTGTTGCATTCACCTACAAATACCTAGTCACCTCACTTTACAGCAATTATCTGTGACGTACTTTGAGATGTTTTACAATTAAAACATATTTATATAGCTGGGAATGTGAATTTGTAGGGATGGAGGAGGAAGCTGAAAGTGTAATTGAAAAGGTAGATCTTAAGGCAGGTTTTGAAGGTGAAGAAGGAAAGGCAGGATGAAGGTAGAATTCCAGAGAGTGGGAGCAAATTTCTTGAATGCTCAACCATCCATGGTGGGGTAGATTAGGCAGAGGATACGAAGGTGTTCATTGATCAGAGAGGACAGCCAGGACAGTAGAGTTGCAGGAGGTCTGAGAGATAGGATGGATTGACACCATCCAGACATTTAAAATGAGAATAATTGAATTTAATCCACTGGGGTATGGGGGTGATAGGCTCACTTTTCTTTATAATAATAATCTTTGCATTTGATTTAGCGCCTTGTCATGTTGTTGAGACGTATCAAAGTGCTTCACAGGATATATTGTAAAGTGGGTGGATTGTGTAATTTGTGGGTGAAACATGACAGCCAATTGTGCACAGCAATGTCCCACAAACAGTCGTGGATTGAGTGACGGCATTTTCTTTTCGGGATTATTACCCCGGAAAGCGATCTGCGAATCACTAACAACTGGGTTCCTACTTGCTGTTAGGTAAAGAGAGACATGAGGAGTAAGGAAACTTGGACAGGATATCAGGGGAAATTCTCTTCTGTGTTTCAGTAGTGTCAACGCATAGCTTCTTTACTGTCCAAATGAATGCAGGCAAATAGTCCTCAGTTTACCATGTTGTCTAAAGGATGACACCTTCAACGCTGGGCACTAAGGTGTCAGTTGAACCTATAAGTCCCAGTCTCAATGTGGGGCTTCAGTCCACAAGCTTCATGATCCAGAGATGAGATTGCTACCTATCAGTGGACGCCTATCAAATTAATGACATATAAGGTTTCCAATTAAACTATCAGGACATCCCCTCCTAAGGGTGTCCTGCAATATATGTAGCCACATTGTAACTGCATGAAAAGCAGAAAGAAACCACCTAATTTGATCAAATGAACCACCAAAGAACTTTTGAAATTATCATAACTCTTTATGCTGCAATTATACTACCAGGTGCAAAGCCACTTCATTCTCAGCAGCAATAAGCCATGTGAAGAGGGAAGCTGGATTCAGTTGTATGTGCGTGCGGAGATGGTTCAGTACACATTGTGTGAAAGGTGACAATAGAAAAAAAATCAAAATAAATTCAGCCATTTCAATTTGAGTAAAATGCCTAAATTTCATAATATGTGTTGCAACACATTTCCTCAGGAATTCATAGGCAAAGTGACTGCTAATATATTGTGGCACAGAAACCGAAGAGCTGTAATACTATGTCATTGCCATAAACCTTAAATTCCAACGTAATTATCTTTCAATTGTGTCCATCACTCCAACATATTTAAACACTTGCTGCATGACAGTTTTATTAAAACAATGGTGTTTATTTTACAGTGTTCAAAATGTCTGGTCGTGAATTGAAAAAAGTAATTCAATCATTTGGTGTTCTGTAAACAGCTTACTGTAACATTCACTTGAATTCCTAACTTGTAACCCACGGCCAGCCTGCCATCTACTCTCCTATATCTAATGCTAACTTGCTAGGTAACTGATGATGTTTCCTCTAATATTATACATTGTTTTTCAGACCTACTGTGTGATATCCACAAGATTTAGTGCCCAGTATTTGTTTCGCTTCAACACCAGCAAGTCTCTCTTTTTGTTTGCTCACACTCATCCAGTGAGGAAAATTACAGTTCGTGCAATGACACATCAATATCCTTTTTAGTCGAAACGGTTTGTTATCCTTCCTTTTGACAAAATGAGTTTGTAACTTATAAGTTGCGTAATTTGAAAAAACTGTTTCTGAAGTGCTGGTGTCATACATGTTGTCATGCGCTTTATCACAGACTTGCCATAAAAGTAAGTTGAAGTTGAATAACAGTTAACCATCAAACTCTAATAAGTTGAACTGCTTTCTGGTGTACTGCTTTGTTGCTGAGAAGCAATCCAGTAATATTAATGTGTTGACAGCTGTGCCGTTGCAAAATACAAACCTTTCTTTCAAATATTTAAGTTCTCTTCAATAGTAAAATTAAATTGGTTCTATCTCCAGCTGAGGTTAGTCCCAAACAATATCTGGACAATGGAGTGAGTTGAATAGGGGTGAAAGATGTTTCCTCATTTTTATGTTATTAAGTATTCAAAGTTGGAGGCTGGAAATTGAGTGTTCTGATGAAGTACAACAAAAATTAACATTATTGCCCCTAGTACCACAATAATCCTGTTAAATAGACCCTCATTGGTGTCACAATGTTTCTAGGAATAGATCATTTTAAGACTATCAAGCATTTGCCCTAGAAAATAAAATAAAGATAACAATTGCTAGCATATAAATTACTCCAAGTCATTGAGCTGGTTTCATTTTAATACAGCAAGTGCCCAATACTGTATAATATACACACTTATAAAATGAACTTTGTAATCCTCATTTTCCTTAATAGGTCTTTACAATTTTCAATTTAGTGATCATTGGAACAATCTTTGTGAATATGTTACTACTGGCGTTAAATACAAATCTTTATTTTATAGAGTAAGTATACTTAATATGTATTGCATTACATGTTTCCTTTTATTTGTATACAGTATTATTAAATATATTATATATAGTATTTTCTTACATTCTTTTAAAAGAAGAAAATATTTATGATATTTATGATAGTATATAAGGTTTCTTCTAGGTTGAATCATTAATATCCTTTATTTATCCTTCCTCTACCATACTCAGTATCTCCAGTAGTTAATGATTAATAAAGTAAATGACATGTTACTTTTGAAAAATGAATTTTACATAACTAAAAGGAAAAAATGTAAAGTTATAATTCGGCATTTGTGCTTGTGAAGTGAGAGGCGTCATTGGATCATCAGTGTCTGCAGGGGATTCTCACTTCACTTGCATAATGTATAACAATCTGAATTTTAACAATCGGTTCCCCCCCTGACCTCACCCTCCTGGCCCTCCACCCCTCCTGATCCCAACCCCCAGCTCGGATCAAATCCTTGACTGTCCAGCGCCTTGGGACGTCCGCCCGAAATGAAAGGCACTATCCAAATGTAATCTGATGTTGTTGATGAATCACTCAGTTGTATTGCTCCCTTGAAACTTGCTGCCAGCCATGGATCAGGTGTTTATTTCTTATAATGAAAGCAAGAAGACAGGTTGCATTATAGTAACCTGATATTTACATGTCACAAACGCTTCATGGCATGTAGTGATGTGCCATGATACCCCTCTATTTAATCTGGTCTGTGCATCCTGTACTGAAAGGCCGCTCTTTTTACAACAGTATTTATAAACCATATCAAAAACAGAACTCACTGGGAAGACTCAGCAGGTCAGGCAGCAACTATGGAGAAAGGAAAGTGAGTCAAAGTTTCGGGTCCATGACCCTTCATCAGAAGCTACAGTTTAAAGGAGTAAATATCCCTCTGAGATTTCCCTACACTGGAAAAGAGAAAGCTCAGAGAGGATCTTATTGAAATTATCTCCCTAATCCTCCATTAGGGAGAAGTTTCACCTGGATCTAAATGTAATCTATTAATGTACCATTTCAGAGCATCCAGAATTTGGCAAATTGTTGGATTCAGTCTTAACTGTAAAGATTGCAATTGGATTGCAAAAATAATATTTTTTTTACACACTGTTGTTAATTGTGAACTGCATCAGAAATATCAGCTTCTGGTGAATTGTAATGCTTGATTTAATGTTTACATTGTCTGAATGCTGTCTTTATCTCCGTTTTAGTTACCTCTTTACATTTATATATACGGTTGAAGTAATTATTAAGGTGCTTGCCCGAGGCTTTGCTCTACATACATTTTCTTACCTCCGGAATGCCTGGAACTGGTTGGACTTCACTGTAATCCTATTGGCGTAAGTCTCACTTTCCTGCTCTTTCTTGTCTGTTCTGTTCGTTTTTTAATTGATGTGTGAAGGTTTAACGAAGCGATCGAACATGATTAATGTCACAAACAATAAATGTCCCACAAAAAGTCATGACCAATTTATTTATTTAGGGTTTTTTAGCCAGAACACCAGGAGAAGCTCCCTTCTGTTTTTAAATTGTGCCATGGGATCTTTAAGGTCCACACGAACAGCCAGATTCAACCTCAGTTCAATATTTTACCTAACGGATGACATCTATGACAATGCAGAGCTCTCACGTCACTGTCCTATAATATAAATAATAAAAAAATCCTTGCATTTGAGAGAGCACGTTTTGTGTCTGAAGACCATCTCAAAGCACTTCACGGGACTAACTGCAAAGTGAAGTGATTACATTTTGTAGGCAAATTCAACAGCTAATTTTGTGCACAGTGCAAGAAACTCTACTACCTTTTCAAGTAGCATTTTCATGGGATCTTTAACATCCATCTTAACAGGTAGACGGGATCTGGTCTGAAGTTTCACCTGAAGGACAGCATCTCCATAATGTAATGGGCTTCCCCCAGCACCATATTGGAGGGTCCATTTTCCTGATTAAGAAATCCTGTTAGAAACTGCCACAAATTATACCACATTATCTAACTGAGGGTTAATCATGCCCACTGGAAAAAATCAGAGAGGATTCTTACTGTAACTCATAATAATTTTAAAAAATCTTTTGCAGGTATCTGACACTGGCATTTCCTCAAATTCCCGGACTATCTGCATTAAGAGCATTTCGAGCTCTAAAGATGATTGCTATTTTACCTGGTGAGAATATGCCAACACTGGGATTGAAAAAGTAGCAGTTTGCAAGGGAGTCACTAATATGATTCACTCCAAGTTGCTAACAGGGAATTCTGTAGGCAACCCACTCCACAAAGTACCCCTGGGATTTCAGAACAAGGATCCCATGATTCGATCATGACTTAGGCCAGTTGTCTGCACAATTTCCCATCACTCGACTGAGTCACTGCTAATAAAACCTGTTGCAGAACTGCTGCTTTTTTTATCCACTGTGTGTAGCATTGCACATAACAGCGTTTATTTTAGCAGCATAACGGTGACATTTCTTGTAGGCACAAAAAAAGGTATTTCTTGTAGGCTTTATAATGACATTTGCCATTGTAAAGATTTAGCTGAAAAGATTGCTAATTTTAGCTATGAGCATACATCAGGCCCCTGACAATGACAATTCAACTGAATTTTTTTCATATACAGTATGATGATTTCTTAATTGATGTTTGTAGGAATAAAAAATATACGTAATGCTGAATACCATAAAACTAATAAGAGCATTTATCCTTTAACTTGGTACACATCCTGGACACCGTTCATTATACTGCATGTGGAAGTTGGCATTGAGCAAGTTTTGTTAAAATGTGCTTGGGTGTTGGTGTTTTTATTAATCTAGTGATATCAAAAAAGTCTGAGTTCAACTTATATCTGAGTTGTAACTAAAGATTTTGACTCTTTACTCCCCCACAAGGTTTTAAACTGTCAGTGCACCTAGTATAGTATCTTTCCCAGAAAGTTTGTGAATAGTATAATTGTATTTCAAAACAATCTAATAGTATATAATGTGTATAATAGTAAATCATGTGTAATATAATAGTATAATGTGTATAATGTGTATAATAGTATAACAAACACAATAATATAGCAAAACTATTTTATTAAGTAAGATTTTATTAAATAGCTATTTTATTAAGTAAGTTTTTTTTGCTCAGTATCGGCAAAAAGTTAATCTTAAAGCAGGATAGTGAAAAATTAGCAGTAACATTTGATTATCCAGATTATTTGAAGTCTATAATCAGCTCTGGTAACAGGTCAGGTTATCCAACAGAAACTGTTCTCTGGAATGTTGCATCATCTCCCTTTCTGATCTCTTATGATTTTTTCTCGCATTGACCAAACATTCTGGCTCACCAATAACATTGGAGGTGTAAATTCTACAGTCCCTTCACCTCATCCCTTCCCTTGCTTCCTCCAATGCCTGTCTCAAGACCCTCCTCTTCAACCACATCGTCGGTCACCTTCCTACCCTCTCTGCCCTCCACCCATTCTGATCCCAACCCTAAGCTCGGGTGCAAATCCTTGACTATTGGCGCCTTGGGATGTCCTCCCAATGTGAAAAGTGCTATACAAATGTAATTTGTTGTTGCATTGTCTCCCCGTCACTAATTCCTTACATCTTGCAGATAGTTCACTCTTATGTTGCCTTCAACAGACTTTTCCCTAACATAAATTCTGACAACACAATCTTTCTTTTCTTTCTCTATACGAAAGATTAAATGGACTTTCATGCATTTGCTTAGTAGTAATAACGTTTGCTTTTGGTATAGCGCCTTTTCACATCAGGAGGAAGTCTCTTCAAAGGATTTACTGTAAAGTGTAATGATAATAATAATAATCCTTGCATTTGGTAGCACTTTTCACTTCTTCTAGACGTCTCAAAGTGCTTCATAGATTATACTGTAAAGTGAATTGACTGTATATTTGTGGGTGATACGTGGCAGCCAATTGCACACAGCAGTTTCCCATAAACAGTCGTGGATTGAAAAGGAACAACTTTTTTTTCTTGAGAGATTATTATCAGGCATGTGATGCTCTATTTTGTGGTCTTATGCAGCAATCAATATGCACACAGTAATGTCCCACAAACAGGGATGAAGTGAATGATCCATTTTATCTGGGGATGTTGTTGGTCAGCACACTGGGAGAAAGGACCTTCTCTTTTCGAATAGTGCATTGCGGTCTTTAACATCTGTTTGAACAGGCAGCCAGGACCTTGGTTTATCTTCTTATCTGAAGGATGAGAGCAGTTAGAGTGGTTTATCACTTTAAAGGCCTTTCTCTAACTTGTTTCACTGAATCATCTCAACTTCTCTCTCTCACTTTCTCTGAACTTTCTCAACTCATTCTCTCTCAGACGTTGAACACTTGTTTCAGAGCAGAATTTTGCTGAACTGCTAGATGTCCCATCTCATCTTGAAACTCCAAACAAACTTCAAAGGAAACTGTCAGACAATTGTTAAAAACAACCTTGATCCTTTTTGCACCTAAAAATCGCTGTAAGAAATTAAGCACTGACTATTGGCACTTTATCTAGGCTAAGCCACATTCCAACACAACATAAAATGTACCGCCTCTTCTGTACTTATCTCATGGAATGCAGGATTATCTTATTCTCAACTGAGGTTCCTTTGTTTCAGTGCTGTTAAACAATTTACAGACTTTGCAACATTCACCAGTCTGTGTTTTGCCTTTTCTTGTCTGATTTGGCCCAGGAAGATCTCTTTATTGTTCATTTATTTCCCTTTGTTCTCTCATGTCAACTTTCCCACATACCTTTGCAGCCTTTTTCTTGCCTAAATGTAACTCTTTGTTCAACGGCTTCCTTTATAATTCCAACAAAACATAACTTCAATAACTTCAACATTATACAAGTGTATCTGCAGATCATCCATGTCCTCGCCCGCAGCAGGCTCCGTAACCTTATGAATCCCACCCTCGCCCGGCTCCACTGGCTTCCCATCCCCCAGAGGATAGAATTCAAAATCTTCGTCCTCGCCTTCAAGACCCTCCTCGGCCTTGCTGCCTCCTACCTCTGTGACCTACGAAACCCATGTCAACCTGCCACTCCCTTCTCCGTCCTGCTTCACGCTCCCCACCCGGCCCACCCCACCATCGGCGGTCGGGCCTTGAGCTTCTCTGCACTTTATCAGAGAAAGTATAGCAGTATGTCAACCTGGACTATGAGCTCAAAGCTGTCACAGTTGCATGAAGAGGCACCATGCAATCATTTTAATCGGTACATTATATAGGAATGTGACAGAGTTTAAAGTGATAACGAGAAAAAGAACTGAATGCAGAAGTGATTTTTTTACAGTTTAATAAAATAACTGCACTATATTTAATTTCACAATTAGATAACTAAATACTTGTATTTCACATTTTTCAAATATAAAGAGTGGTCAACAAAACTGCATTCATTTTTAAATTCAACCCAATATAAAATATAAAATAGTTTGTTGAGTCACTCACTCAGTTGGTTTAATTGAGGCTTGTAGTTTCAGTAAGATCTTAGCTTTTCACCTTTCAAGCTTGATAAAATGATTACAATGTCTAAAGGGAATCAGTGTCTCCCTGGGATTGAACTGGCTCTGACTATGCACATCTGGCAAACCAGACAGCCCTGCAGTAATCCAACCCATTACTGATGGCTGATGATCCTTTGTGGCTCTTCAATCAGGTTTAGAGTTGTAGACATGTTAATTCTGTTGGACAAAACCCTGACAGAGAGAGGATCTAGTTGGGCAACAATAGTGAAACATTCCATATTGTATTAAATATTAGCATTATATTTTAATAAAATAATTTAGGAACATAGGAAAACAGGACAACCGGACCAGGAGGAGGCTATCAAACCGGTTCAACCAGTTTATTAAATGTTACAGTTTGTTTAATTCCAACACCATGCCTGCCCTTTCATTTAATATCTCTGAATTCTTGTGTCCAGCATGTAGAACTGCTCACATAAAAGAAAATACCTCAAAGCGCATTATAAAAAGAGATTCATTGGAAATTAAGCAAATATCATGCAGGCAAATATAGCAATCAATCTACGTCAACATACATCAAACAACAATATGAATAGACAACTAATTTGCATTTGGGAGTGAATTTGGATGAGAAGGGAACGTGAAACAGAATAACTGGGAGAAATATTTGTTTGAAATAGTGTTGGATGTGGGTGGGTGGATGGGGTGGGAGGAGGAAGGGAGAGGAAGGGGGTGGAGAAAAAGTGTTCTTTAACTTTCATGGGAACAGCAAAGCAGACCAAATCTAAATTAAAGGGCTCAATCAAAAAGAGGAACAATGATGTGGAAATAAAAAATTATACATACGAAACTCGTGTTTAATGATTTACCTCCTTGACCATGCTTTCAGTCATCTTTCCCACCTCCCTCCTCCCTCTTTCCCCGTCCTCCCGACGTGAAAAGCGCTATATCAAATGTAAGGATTATTATTATTATTATTCAGCTCACACCCTGACCCCCACCCTGCTTTTATGCCCAGCCACGTGAGTAAGCCTTACGACTTCCTCCTCACGTGAAAGGCATTATATAATTATAAACATTATTGTATCACTTTGTTTAATATAGAATGGGTTATATTCGCAAAAATGGAGGCCATCTCTACCAGCAATGTCCCACAAGAATCAATGAAAATGGAAGTCAAATGAATTTAATATGAAAAAGGTTATTTTTAAAAATTCTACGATTAAGATAGTATAAAATGTAAAATAGGAGATTTCTTAGCAGATTCTTCCTGTGCTATGTATTTTTCATTGGAATGCCTTGGGACGTCCTCCCGACATGAAAGACGCTATGCAAATGTAATTTGGTATTGGTGTTGGAACATACAATTAAGTCTCAGTAAAAAATGTCTTCTTTTAGTCACACCTTTTCACCAGAGATCAGTGGTTTATTTCCAATGATAGTGCAAAAGCTAAATCATTTCAACCAATTTTCCATTAAAATGAATTATGATACTGACAGTTAATTAATAGTGAGTATAGCCATGATATGCAAATATGTATTAACAGCTCAGAAGTACTGAAGATGGTTAATTCAATGCCTATAATTTAGGGTCTATTATTATTTGGATGATAAAAACATGACATCCCTTTCCTGAACTTTGTTCACTGTAAGTGTGAAATGTATTTCTCTGTTTCTACAGGGCTAAAGACCATCATTGGTGCTATATTCAAGTCTGCCAGGCTGCTGATGGAGGTTCTCCTTCTCATGCTGTTTGTCCTATTGATCATTGCATTGTTTGGTCTTCAGATTTTCAAAGGCGTGTTGAAACACAAGTGCATTAAAAATCTAGCAAATGGGATTAATATTACTGATGAAGAATGGTACACTTATATTCAAAACCAAAGTAAGTGCATTTTGTATTGCAATTTTAATTTCCCAGTTTGGGTCAACAACCCATGTGAAAAATTTGCAAATTAGGTAATCCAAGAAATTATAAGTGCCCATTATTATGTAATTAACCAATGTACAATTTAAAGAATCTCATGGGATCCTTCGCATTGTTTGCTATTTTTATAATCAAAAGGCACCTATAATTTCCTCTGTGCATATTCACTTGCACGTGGTTTTAACCCAACCTGCAAATGTTGCAGATGGGTTGTTATCCTAATTCATTAGATACATCCCTATTTATTAACCATTACTGTAGGATAATTTTATTATGTTACATAATTGGGCAACACTAGATATCTATTGTTGCAAATTTCTCTCCCCTGAAGGCAGTGACTCTACATATGACATCCAGTACTTAATGAGTGTTGTGGGCTATTCAATCATAGGGATATGATCCCCTCCCCTCCCTCCATCCCTCCTGATCCCAACAACCAGCTCTGGTGCGGATCCCTGATTGTCCAGCACCTTGGGACGTCTTCCTGACGTGAAAAGCACTATACAAATGTAATTTGTTGTTGTTATTGGATATATCAGGCCACATTGATCCTGTCTGTATACAACGTCAACACGGTGGGGGAGCGGAGGAGGGAGAGCGCTGATATCAATTAGAAGTGAGAACCCTGTCTATCTAAGCTGGGCGGTGAGGCCAATTGTGGCAGCACTACTGCAACTACTGCAGGTTGACGTCAGCACAGGCTAGAATTTCAAAGCTCAAACTTTCTGAGGAGCAATGGGTGATGCCATTACCAATTCTGCTTATCAAAAGTTGACCAATGTCATAGTTATGTGAAGTGTAAATCAGGGAAACAGTTACTTAACAAAAATCAAGATCCATTTATTTTTCTGAAAATAAAATGCTGTAAGCAGAATATTTTTACATTGTCCTTTTTATAAAAATCTACCTTGTCTATTTCACAGCTAACTGGCTGGTGACTAAAGATGTTGACACTATGGTTTGTGGAAATGGAACAGGCACTGGGTGAGTATTTTGTGACCAATACATAGACTTTGGGAGCTATAAGCTATCAAGCGAGATTATTATTTTTAAAAATTGTGATGATTATTAAAGCCTACCAATTATGCTAAAGGAAGTAGATGTATATTTCACAAGGTAAGAAATAAAATTATTCATTGTTATCAATTAATATGCTGTAGCTATTTGGAATCCTGTAGCTCAGTGGTTAGAGCACTCGCTTTGCAAGCGAGAGACCTGAGTTCAATTCCAGGCAGGACGAAACCTTGGGCAAGTTTCCTTACTCCACACACCTAATAATAATCCCTCCAAAACCAAAAACAATAATTAATTGGTCATTTTCAATCTACGACTGTTTGTGGGACATTGCTGTGCGTAATTGGCTGCCGCATTCGCCCACAAATATACAGTCAATTCACTTTACAGTGTGTTCTGTGAAGCACTTTGGGACGTCCTCCCGACGTGAAAAGCACTATATCAAGTGCAAGGATTATTATTATTATTATTATTATTATTATTATTATTATTATTATTATTATTATTATTATTATGCTGTTAATATGGCAGGACCTTCCCTCTCTCTTAATATTGCTAAAAGGTTGTGAACCATTTTGTGGAAGTAATTGAATAACACTTTGTAGAAGTTCCATTTTCAGAAAAATGGAAAGAAAGTGACAATATTATTGCCACCATTGGCTTTTTGTAAGTGTAGGAAATGCAGGCATTCCATCTGATGATGTACATGAAGAACAATAACAACAGTAACAACAAATTGGATTTATATAGCACCTTTCATGATGGGAGTAAGTCCCAAGGTGCTGGACAACTGAAGGTTTGCACCAGAGCTGGGGGATGTATTCTGAAGAGGTAGACGCCAAGAGGGTGGGGGTAGGAAGATGACTGAAGATGTTGAAGAGGAAGGTCTTCAGATGGACCTTGAAGTAGGTGAGGGAAGGGGTGAGGCGAAGGGACAAGAGTTCCAGAGAGTGGGGCAGGAAGGCTGAAAGCCCAACCACTGATGGTGGAGATGTGAAGCAGGTCAGTGCTTTCTCAGTGGAGGGAGTAAGCAGGTTGATAAGGTTTTAAAAGATCACAGATATAGGGTGTGTATTGAGGGATTGAAAAGTGAGGACGAGGATCTTGAACTCAATCTCAGAGGCATGAGTTGCTAGTGAAGCCAGGCAAGGATAGGGATGATAGACTCATGAAGCCTAGTTTGGGAGAGAACATGAGCTGCAAAGTTCTGAATGGTCTGCAGTTCGTGGAGAGAAGAGTTGAGAAGTCCGTTAAAGAGAGTTAGCATAGCCAAACCTGGACATAATAAAAGCATGGATAAGGGTCACGGTGGCCCTAGGGGAGTGGTAGTGGTGGAGATGGGCAATGTTGCAGTGGCAGGGAAAGCTGAATGGGTCAAAGCATGAATGTGAAATTGAAAGGATAGTTGAGAGCTGAACAAGGCACTGAGGTTCTGCACTAGCTCCATGAGGAATGTGCATTCATGTAGAGTGATGCTGTTAGCACCTGAGGTACCAGCCCAAATGTAATCTTAACATCTTATATTACAGCAAGAACTTCCATTATTTCAATGAGGAAACAGTTGGCAATGTCCACCCCTTCCCCAGGTTGAGGACTCCACTCATGATCCTTTCAATGTTAGCCGGTCACAAGTCTGGCTGGTATGAGTGAGGCAGATAATAATAATAATATCAGTAGAACTGTGACTAACTTGGTTTTACTTGAACATTCTTACTTTGAAATGTAACCTATTAACTTTCTTACTCACCTGCTCCTGCATTGATTTCTTGATCAGCCTACTAGCATGGCCTTTTTAATTTGCTTTTGACCAGTGAAGGTGGAAATGTCATGTGCTATGTGCCACTCTCATGCTCCTGCGGGAGTGAGGTCCGAGAATCACAGTAGTTTTCGTCCCTGCGCTGAAACAGCAGTGCTTATTGTTTGTCTTAGTTGTGAGTTCCCGAGTGTGCTAATGTGTTTTGCGAAATGGACCTGAGTCATCCATAGAGAGAAAAGGGATATAACAGTAATGTATTAAAGCAAATTTGTTACAATATTATTTGATGTGTGGTGTGCTTGAAATGTCAAACTGTTAATATGTAACATAAATGCATAACATCAACACAGTTAATGTTTTGCCCTTCTCTAAAAGATTGTAACTAACAGTGGGGAGAATAGGCCATTTGGCCAATTGAAACTGGTTCTGTTTCTTTTGGTCAGCTGAGTGTTTGAAACATATGGAAACCCAATACCAATTAAGAGTAGCCCAACCAAACTGAGAGTTCCATAGATGCATTTCATCCACACATGGATATTTCCCAGTATTTGGAATGGAATGTACACGCTCTCCCTGGAAGGCCACACTTTGCTTACCTAACTCCAGAACGTTTTAAATACAGGTTGACAAGACCCAAGATTTGGGGACTCAATCTTGAGACTGCATTAATCTAATTAGCAAAGCATTTAATTGTATTTTGAATTGTTCTGTGGGTTTGTCACTATTATCTTACCTTGTGGATCATTCCAAACATTTACAACTTCTATAAGTAACATTTTTTATTGTCATTTGTTGTGGAGTTACTTTTTTACTAATTTCTATTTACGTCCTGTGTTTTTGATTCCTTACTATTAATAGATGCCAGAATTAATAGATATAGGGGCAGGACAGTCACCGGAGTAGCGATTCTTCCCATTCAGCTCCTATTAACCCTGCAAACTAAAGTGCTGACAAGTAGGGTGGTCCTCGCTGAACAAGCAGCAGGAAACTGGCTAGACAATGCTTTTAGTAGTGAACTTGACAGTTTTAGCTGGATAATCTCCAACAAAACCCAAAAGCACACTCTGCGTTAGATAGAAAGGATGCATCCCCCCAGGAATAGAGATGTGTATTTCATTATAGACACAGGGAAACTTCCATGTACATATGTGGAACTCTCAGTCTGGTTGGATATTCTTAAGCATGGTAATGAATTTTCATATCAGATACCCAGCTGATCAAAAACAAAATGATAGATGCTAAACTTTCTGACTGTCCACAATAATGTTGAAAACATGACAAGAAATCAGCTGTTCCTTACCAGAGTCAGTCATCAGCTGATAACCAGGCTGAACAACAGAACCAACTTCAGCTGTTGTGGCTCTCCTCCGGTTGCATTCCTAGCCTGCTGAACGCAATCCTCTTCTTGATGTTTTCCATCATTGTTGAAATGTTTTCAAATCTTCTGTTTTTTGTGTGGAAATTGTATTCAGCCACCTCACAACCTCCCTCAAGAAGTTCCTCCTTGTGTACGTTAGGTGAACTTGAGCTTCTTCCAAACAATGCTGACCTACTGACTATGGCCTCCTACACAATCAGAACATCTCCTGCTCTGTAAATATGGCCTTCCTGCTTTTTTTGGTGCCATTGTTGGTTATTTTATGATCGGCTCTGCTGGTGTAATTCCTGCCCCCGTAACTTATAGGGTCAAATGCCTCATTTCCTGTTTGTTTAGGTGTTTCACTGTGGTTGCTGTAGCTGATTGGGTGTCTAAGCATACTGCAAGTGGTAAGCAGATGCTGTTTATCATGATTTGCAGGAATCTTGTCCAGTCAATAAGTGAAGAGTTTGCTAAAACTGTCTAATGTGCCATTACACAACCAAGGTACCAAGGCCACGGTACCATATCCTTCATTCTTTCAAACAAGTATAAATAAATAATATGCACCATGAAAAAATTCAAATTCAAGTTATTGTAATCATTGCTCTCTCTCAATGATACACTTGAACGAGATTGGGGTACCGAACATAAAATATAGCAATGTAATGCACAGCAAAAAACATTAGTAATAATCATAATAATAATCCTTGCATTTGATATAGCGCTTTTCACATCTTCTAGATATCTCACAGCGCTTCACAGAATATACTGTAAAGTGAATTGACTGTATATTTGTGGGCGAAACGTGGCAGCCAATTGCAGACAGCAGTGTTCCACAAACAGTCATTGATTGAGTGACCAAATTATTATTGTTTTTTTCTTGAGGGATTATTATCAGTCAAGGAAACTTGCCCAGGGTTTTGTCCTGCAGGGAATCAAACCCAGGTCTCTCGCTTGCAAGGTGGGTGCTCTAACCACTGAGCTACAGTACTCCATCAAGGGTGCGCCACCGTTGATTCCAGGACAAGTGATATCCTGACAGACTTTCTGTCAGACATCAAATCCTGGATGAGAGATAACTTTCTACAGCTGAATGTCAGTAAGACCGAGGCACTCTTGATTAGCTTGCGCCAGCGCCTCAGCACCTCAGGCACTGGCAGCTTCAGCATCCACGGTTGCACACTCCACCTCACCAAGCCAGGGTATCTCAACTGTCCTTTCTCACCATGTGGAGTCCTGTGGCTTAGTGTTTCGATTCCCGGCAGGTCAGGGCGAAACCTTGGGCAAGTTTCCTTACTCCACATGCCTGATAATAATCCCTCAAGAAAATAAAACAATAATAAATTGGTCACTTCAATCCATGACTGTTTGTGGGACACTGCTGTGCGCAATTGGCTGCCGCATTTCACCCACAAATATACAGTCAATTCACTTTACAGTCTATTCTGTGAAGCCCTTTGAGACATCTGGAAGATGTGAAAAGCGCTATATCAAAGGCAAGGATTATTATTATTATTATTATATCCATGCCATGACCCGCTCTGCCTTCCCCACCTCTGCAACATTGCCCGACTCCACCACTGCCTCACCCCTCAGGCTGCTGAAACCCTCATACATACATTTGTCAACTCAAGGCTCAACTACGGAAACTCCCTCCTTGTCGGCCTCCCCAACTCTTCCCTCCACAAGCTGCAGATCATCCAGAATTCTTCAGCTCATATCCTCTCCTGCACCAGGCTCCGTAACCCCATCATCCCCATCCTCACCTGGCTCCACTGGTTCTCCATCCCTCAGAGGATAGAAAATTCAAAATCCTCATCCTCACTTTCAAGACCCTCCACGGCCTTACCCCCTCCTACCTCTGACCTGCTGAACCCCTATCAACCTGTCCACTCCCTCTGCTCAGCAGGCTTCGGCCTGCTCCATGTCGCCCGCCCTACCATCGGCGCCTGGGCTTTCAGCCTCTCTGCCCCCACCCTTTGGAACTCCATTCCACAATCCCTTCACCTTGCTCCCTCCCTCATTCCAACGCAGCTCCTCCCCACGCTCGGGTCCTGATCCCCGACTGCTCAGTGCCTTGGGACGTCCTCCCGACGTAAAAGATGCTTTACAAATCTAATTTTGTTGTTGTTGTTGAGAGATTCATAGAATATACTATAATGTGTGGTGACTGTGCAATTTTGTGGGCAAACTGAGGCAGCCAATTGCGCACAGCCATGTCCCACAAACAGCTTTGGATTGATTGACACCTTTTTTTTATTTGGACGGATTATTATCCCCGGAAAGCAATCCGCCCATTGACTGATAACTGTGTTCTTACTTATTGTTGAGTAAACAGAGGTGTGTGGAGTAAGGAAATTTGCCTAGGTTTCCCCCTCCCGGGAATTGAACACGGGTCCTTTCGCTTCTTTGCTAATCTTAATTGATCACCTGCAGAGATTATATCGGAAATGAAGCTGTATAACACTTTTGTTTACAGGAGGTGTCCCACAAACTTTACATGTCTCCCTGGCATAGGACATAATCCAAACAATGGATATACAAATTTTGATAATATTGGATGGGCATTAATCACAGCCTTTCAGCTCATCACACTCGACTACTGGGAAAACACATATAACTTGGTATGTATTCCAACGAGAAATCTGTGACCAGAAGAGTAGCCAATTGTAGTATTCTTTCATAAAAACAATGCAGCTTGCTCATTAATTTAAAACCTGATGTCATCTTGGCTCAGTTAGTGGCATTCTCGCCTCTGAGTCAGAAGGTTATGTGTTCAAACCTCTCTGCTGTACAATGCTGGCTGAGCGATGTTTTGTCAGAGGTGTCAACAATCATGGGTAAAAAAATACATGAAGTAATATAATAAATATCAATAAAATTATCAGTCAAACCTTGTTTTTAAAGAAAACTAAAAAGCAAAGATTGTAAAATTGTAGACTTTACAGCACAAGCCGTTCAGTTCATCAAGCTTCCTTTGGCGCCAATCCTCAACTGGAACTAAATACTCTAGTCCCAATTCCCTGCTCTTTCCCCTATAAAACACTATCTTTTTAAAAATATTTATACAATCCTCTATTAAACATCCGTAGTCTCAATTTGTAATAAAGCATTGCATATACTAACAATCCTCTGAGTGAAAACATTTCTTCTAACTTACCCCTTAACGTTTCCAATGACATTCCTGACCTAATGTACCCTTGTTAACCAATTAACCAACAGTTCATTCAGCAGTATTATCCACTGAGACCCTTTGAAGACCTTCTTTGGATCTTCTGTTAAACTCTGTTCCAGTGAAAACAGCTCCACTGACTAGATAGATGTCAACAATAATTGTGGCTATATAATTACGTAAAGGTTACCTTCAGTCAATGGGCAATAGACCAGAAATTTGCATAATGACATTGGGGCCAAAAACCAGTGGTTTGTGACAGGATTCGCACATAATGACTCAATCTTACTGCGAGGGAATCCTGATGGTAGCCTGCCGTATATCACAGCCGACTCACTGGAATCCTTCAATCTGCTTCACTTGCTTTGGAATGAGGCGCCTGCAAGTCAAAGATGACAAACTGGGGGTCACCAGCAGCATTCCTCATTAATAATGCTTAGTCATGAATAGCGAATCCCATTGCAAACAACACTTTTTCAATGTCAATACTTAAGAATCTTGCAATTGACATAGATTAGACTTTTGTCCTACAATGATAATCCTTGCATTTGGTATAGCTGACATCAAAACATCTCATACTGCTTCAACAACAAGAACAACGTGCATTTATACCACACCCTTCATGCAAGATAGCATCTTAGAGTGCTTCACAAACATTATTGCAAACTGCGTATTTCTAGATGAACTTAGCAGACGTCCACAAAAGGTGGGAAGTAAATGATCAATTTTGTAACTGCAGGATTGATTGGTAAAACACCAGGGGAAACTACCTTGTCTTTTAAAATAGTACCATGGGACCTGTAAAGTCATTCTGAACAGGCTCCTCCAGCACTACATTAAAGTGCCACCGAGGTTGGGAGCTCAAAGTCTTGATGAGGGGCTTGAACCCACAACTTTCTGATCCAATCAACCGAGTCAGGTTGGCATTCTAAAAGTCTCACGCTTTTGCTCAGCATTTAGATTCATCTACATTTCTCGAATATGTTTCAGGTGCTCCGTGCCAGTGGAGCATATTACATTATATTCTTCATCGTCGTTGTCATGTTCGGCGCTCACTACATAGTGAACCTGGTGCTGGCGGTAGTGGCGGCCTCCTATGAAAAGGAAGCGAAGAGAAAGCAAGAAGCAAAGGAAGAAGAAGAAAGGATTTTGGAATTGCGACGTAAGAAGGAAAAGATGGTAAGGTCCAGCACCACACAAAAAGTTAATCATATGAGCTTCCGGTGATGGTCTATTTGCAACATATGTGCTTTTTAAAAATAAAATAATAATTATAGTAATCCTTGCATGTGGACATATGCACTGGAGGAACGTTTTAAACATATGAATTGGCGCAATTTTTTATTGTACTATTATAGATGTGCCACAACAATAACAACAAATTATATTTGTATAGCGCCTTTCACGTCGGAAGGCTGTCCCAAGGTGTTTGTATCCAAGTCAAGGGTTTGCACCGACCTGGGATGGTGGCATATAGGTTCAGCCCCACAACTCTCTCCACAGTGAGAGCTGATCTGATTTGAGCTATTAAATAGTGAGTTGATCTTATTGAGAGAAGTGGATGACTTGGAAGGAGAGAAAATCAGCAGGTGACTCCAGGCATTTCTTGCAGACTGAACATAGATTTCCCAGTGACACTGAGCGAGTCTTGAAACAAAAACAGAAATGTTGAAAATCCACAGCAGGTCAATCAGCAATTAAAAGAAAAAAATAGATTGGCTTTTCAAATATCACAGCCAAGTTTCAGAAGGTTTCCAGCATCTGCATGTTTTTATTGCTGGGAATAGTTTGCCTGTCTGCCTGGCTCACTCCTGTTTACCCTTTATTTGTGTAACATGAGTGGAAACCAAAAGCAGGCAGAAAATAAGGACAAACAAAAATAACGAATTGTTAAATTTATTCTTATTGCATATGAACACAACCTGATTAAGAAACAAAAAACTGCAGAGCAGCCACTAGATGGCAGTAAAGGAGCTTTTGTTTTACCATTTCCAGTTATTGTTGGTCTGTTCCTCGTCATGTGTAAATCATGTGTAAAAACTGCTGTGTTGTGCAGCATTTGCAAATACATGTGTAAGCAGGTATAATAACATGCATAAGCATTTTAGACTTTGCTCAATGTTCTTTTCTAGCAAAAGAAAAACAGCAATCTGAATCCAAGAGAGAAATTTCGTCTGTATGGGAAACGATTAAGCATGGGTTTCTCTGTGGAGTCTGTAGCATCATGGGCAACAGAAATCTCCCAATTCAGTGAGTTCAGTTTCATATATCTGCATATCATTCATTCCTATTTGCGTTTTGGCATTTGTCATATATGTGGCTGTCTGTGGAAAAGCATCATGATTGAATTTGACATTAGTAGAAAGCATTGCCCTCACAAGCTCATCAAAGCAGAATAGAATCAATAAAAAAAGTCCTTACATTTTAAATTGGACCTTTCATGTCGAGAGGTTGTCTCAAAGCACTTCACAAAATAACTGTAAAGTGGAGTATGTATTTTGTGGTCAGTGGGTATGTTTAAAAGGAAGATAGTTAGATAGTTGGGAAGTTAAAGTATCAAAGAGGATGGAGGAAAGGGAAATGGAACTTCAAAGATAAACAGGCCCAACAAGCTGAATGACCGCCTTCTGTTCCTATGTTTCTATGCCTTCAGCACTTTACCTTGAAACAACAGCAACAACAATCTACAGTCAAATAGCACTTTACATCTATGGAAAACATCTCGACTCTTCACCAAAGACAGTGGGATGGAGCTGCGGTCAGGGGTGAATGTGTCTAAAGCTGCAATCAAAGAGAAAGAGTGGGAGAGTACCATTAGAGGGATTTTGGAAAAGAGTTCCATAGGGCAGGGACAAAGTGCCTGATAGCTCATTCCCCCCATTGTGGCAAAAAGCAGGCTAGAGTTGGCAGACCAGAAGGAATGGCTGGGGAATAGGGTCAGAAGGAGATTGCAGAGGTAGGATGGGGATACGCCATAGAGGCATTTAAGATAATGATGTGGATCTTAAACTTGATAAGTTGTGGGGATAGGAAGACATTGGAGCCAGGTGAGTGTGGGGGTAATGAGTTTGTGAAAAGAATGCTTTCAATTGAAAAAAATGCTCTATAAGAGGAACATTACCTAGATGTTCTGAATCTGATGAAGTGACACCTGAACGGATATAAAACCATCATGCATAGTTGTGAGGATGATTGATCCAGTGAACCAATGGGTAAATGAACAGTGTTAGGTGGTACTGAGACAGTGTTGGGTGTCTGAGACACGTAGGCCAGGTAAGTTCCCTAATTTGGAATTAACTAACTCCATTCAGGAAATGGAGGGGGCATTGCTGGTAGCATCAGTATTCTGGGAGGGCAAAAATGAGGCATTGTCTCCACTTCGACTCACTATCCAGTGCACTTCCTGGTAAACATAAGTGTGACGTTATCAAGTATGGTCAGAATTAACTGTGATGCCCCATTTATCATTGAATACCCTTGTGGAATTTTAGTCTCAATAATAAACCATTTTATGGCAGGCCACCTCTGTATGTGTTACGCACAGAAAGAAGGGGAGAAACCTGGAGGAGCAGGTGGTGGGGAGCAAAGCAATCTGTAAAATTATAGATTTCTACTAAAATGATATTTAAAATAATTTTACATAAATATATTTGCTATTGGGTTTAAACCCTGTTACAGATGAATTCAAATCTACAGCACAAAGCAAGCCAAAGCAACAATTTTTCAGTTGTGTTAACATCTCTTTTTCTTGCAGACGAAGATGGAGAGCGCCAAACAAAAACAACCTCAAAATGGAATATGTTCAAAAGAAGATTGACTAAAAAGTTTTGCTCCTGGACCTGTTGCCCAGCTTTTCTAAACATCCAGCATTATCTAGTGATATTTGTTTCACACTCGCTTTTCGAAGGCGTTATTACAATCTGCATCCTAATAAATACTCTTTTGCTGTCGATAGACTACTATAAGGCACCTTACTCTAATGCACTAGAAAAAGGGAACACTGTAAGTAAAGCACAATATAACAAGATATTCTATTATCCTGGGCTATTTGGTAAACATTGATCTCTGCAGTTCAATTAATAAGATACAAAAGTATTTCAGTCTATTATCAGCCACTCTTCACTGTAACCCAACTGTCAGCAAACGTAAGCATCTCACCAAAAGGGAATAAAACTTGCCCCGTCTTGAGGTTTAAATTGCCACCCGACGACCTCAACTTATTATCTCCTTTTGTGCTGTGTTTATATTTCAAGGTTCTCCGTAGTGCAGTATAAATCAGAGTTGGGTCAGTGAGAGTTGCCCTGGAACTTTGCTCCTGATATCACCCTACAGAACAGCTTTGATTTGCCCACTACATTGCAGCACAATTAATTCATACCAACTTTACTCCCCAGTGGTCCCTTGAAATATCTTAGAAATTTTTCATGCTATGATCGTGTGGCATTGACATTAAAAACCTGATTTCGGAATTCCCATTGTTTTGCTTCCAGCAATATAATAGAAGGGATATTATGTAACACTATCCAGCCTATGTTATCCAACTTGTTACTGGAAAGAGCTATGAACAGGGTCAGAAGAACTTTCTTTCATCAGCTGCTAACACTGGGAGGGAGATGTTCTGCTATAGGTTTTGTGAAACAAAACATGTTTTCCATCATAGGCTTGTTCAGAAAGTATATGTTTAAAGTAAAAAAAGCAGTGTTTAACATTGCGGAATGTGAAAAAACACATTTCTGTAAATAGAAAGACCTGAAAAAATAGAAAATCCTAAACTTTTATTATCTTTGGATGGGGTTTCAGAATGATAGTGAGGTGCACAAAGCTCTCTTAACATAACTGGATACAGATGTGTAAATATATTTTATCAGAGAAAAACTATATTGGAATTATCCAAATCATTTTGCCTTCCGCATGGCGAAATATATTACTTTCTCAGAAAATTCTGAATTTTTTTTAAAAAATAGGTGAATTTTGGAAAATATTTGTTCCAGTTTTTGAAGAAACAGTTTTTAGGTTCATTTTAAAATCAGGGACACCCCAAAAACATTTATATTCACTAAATTGAAGGATCTTTTAGCTTACGGCACATTTTCATTCTTCATATACACGCTCATTTTTGGGCTTTTATCCAAGCTATAAAGTGAGAACTTTCACTCAATTGAGCAATTTTTCAGTAGCTTGACCTTGTGGCAGATGTGATATAATGCAGTAGTATTAGGGGTGTGATCCTTTAATTCAAAAAGGTTTGCGTAATTTTCAAGAAGGATAAGAAGTCAGATCTCTCAAATAATATTTCTCATAGTTCAGTGAACATGGGTGTAATACTTAAACCTCTCGGCTTTAGATTCAGTTACACGGTTCCTATCCAATACATTTAAGATCATGGGAATTTTTTGGAACAGGAAAAGGACAAGAAGCCCCAACCAGCCTCTCTTTTTTTGGTCCTCAACCCCATCTACATAACTTTTCACCCAAACCCCTCAATCTTCTCTCTAGAAATGCGTCTCGCTACCTCTTAGGAACAAATCAAGAACAGCAGGAGGCCAATCAGTCCTTTAAGCCTGTTCTACAGATTCGATTTTAATTTATTTTCAATGTCCTTCCCCTCTACCAAGAAACAATTCTTGCTGTACTCAGTTTTTAGTAAGAGTCATAAATAATAATAATAATCCTTCCATTTGGTATAACATCTTTCGTGTTGGGATAATTTCTTAAGGCATTTCACAGGGAAGTGTTACTGTGAAGTGTTGTGACTATGCACTTTGTAGACAAACGTGACAGACAAGTTTTTGTATGCAGCAATGTCCCACAAAGAGCCATGAAGTGAATGACCAATTCTTATTTGGCCAATTATTTTATGTCAGTCAGGACATTGTGAGAAACTCAACTCCCTTCCCTTTTTGAATTGTGCCATGGGATCTTTAACCTCTCATCCAAAGGACGGCATCTCTTACAATGTAGCACACCCTGCATTGGAGTGAAAGCCTTGGCAATTTAAGCTCAAAGTCCCGACGTGGGGCTTGAACCCAAAAACTTCTATCTCAGAGTGAGAGTGCTACCAATTGACCCAGGCTTTGTGATTATTGTGTGTATCAATTTATTTTTATTTTTATTAATACTCTTTTATTTTTTGTCTAATGCAGGTTTTATCAATCATTTTTGTAATTGAAGCTATTTTAAAAATAACAGCACTGAATCCTCTACCATATGTGCAAAATGGATGGAATGCTTTTGATTTTATCATTGTTCTTCTGAGTTGCTTGGAATGGGCACTTTCCACAATAAATATTCCAACACTCAAACTCTCTATGATACGATCGCTGAGAATGGTAAGTCCTTAGTATTTGTTTGTATAAAGCTTTTATACATTTGTTCTGATATAAATCCAATGCATTTTGCTGCTGGACAGTATTCAAATAATGGTGTCAATTCTCTGAAACCAGATTATAAATGTTTTATTGAAATACAATATATTATAAAAGGAACCATTAATGGTTTCAGTACGGATTTGGACAAGTTCCTGGAAATGAAAAGTATTAGATGATGTTATCAGATGATGTAGTTGATGCGTTGAAGGAATTTGTTGTGAAGTTAGATGGGTGAGCTGAATGATTTATTCTTGCCTGAAATCGTAAATTAATATAGAGTGAAAATTGCAATGGGTGATGTGATAATTATTATCATCAAACAGAGCAGTGGAGCTAGCCAATATTTATGTCAGGTGTAATTCCCCCAATTTCTGCACTGGTTGGATCTGAAACAGCCATAAGAGTTAGGAATTCTAACTCATTATTCATTGTAATATTTGAATGTCACTTTGGGGGATAACTCGATTAGAACTGGAAGCCACACAGCAGCTGAGATGGAGACCCATCGATGTCACAGTTATCATAAGGTCATTAAATTGATTATCCATGTTAATATTTCATAGCTGATCATTAACTCGTATGACAACCTTGAGAAATGACATAGAGTGACACAGCATGGAAGCAGTCCATTCAACCCAACCTCTACCCTTTGCACTTAGAGCTTTGTATCGATATCAAAACAGGCAATACAAAAATAAAATTAGGAAGCAAGTGTTTTGCTTGCTGTGGTCAATATGATTCACCGGTGTTGTGGAAGCCACTACAAGCAAATTGCAAACCAGTAGTCAGAATGATACAGCAAGAAGGAAAATCTGCCATCTGTAATATTAAATGGAGAAAAATATACAGAATGGAGAAATTGGAGATATTCAAAAATATTAAATTATTGATGATGTAAAACATTTTTTTCAAAATGTTACAAAAATATTCAAACAAATATTTAGCTGTATTGGGTGCATCCCAGAGGGATCCCAAGGAGTGTATATATGAGGGAGAGGGAATAAGGTGTAAAGGAGAAGGGAATGGATGGAGGCTCAAATGGAGTACAATGACAGCACAGACTAGTTGGGCTAAATAGCCTGTTCTGTATCATATCATTCTGTATAATTCTATATAGGATCATTGTTTTAATTCAGAATAGCATATGTGTCTGAAGCAAGTTCTGTACAGTATTCTGAACATGCAGGAAAATGGGCTCATTTGCAGCAAGTGTTTCAGTAAACTCCAATTTTCTAGTCAAAATGGTGCTTGTGACTTCAGAGCTTCCTTTTAGAAAAGAGGAAAAGGAGGAGGCCATTCAGTTTCATCAGTTTATTAGATTGGGACAGATATATCCCTGCCATAATCCCTGAATGCCTCTACTATCTGTTTAACTTGCTTATAAACATGCCTATGGATTTAACCTCTACAGTTTTCTGAGGCAAAACATTCCACATTTTCACAATCCTCTGAGAGAAGAAATGCTTCCTGACCTCAGTTTTAGCTATCTGATTTTAGTTCTAATTTTAAATCCATGTCCCCCTGAATTAAGAGGCATGCAATGTATCAAAGTCATTCTCTCATTGTGAAATTACTGTATAACTGTGCCAACTCTGTCTAACTAGATCTCTGCAGAATCAGTGAAGACGTTTAATAGAGAAAGATAGTCATTTAGGAAGTAAGGGGTACTAAAAGTGATTTGGAAAGGTGGGGAATTGGATTTAAAAATCTGCTGTGAGCTAATAAACAGGCTTGACTACCTGAATGGCTTCCTCCTGTTCTGATATTCTGAATTATATTGATACATATCAGTGAGAAAATCAACTCAAAATGCCAAGAACAATGTTTGGTTGCATTCTAAAGTCATTGTGGGTTGATTTTTGATAAAGTTGAGGACAGCGTGACCTGGGAACAAGGCTGAAAGTTAAATACAGTATCTGGCAAAAGCACAAACAGCACTTTACACAAAATTTGAAGTTTAAAAAATTTATAAAGGATACATTTTTGCAACCTGAGTATTAAATCAAATGCTGTGCTTTTCATTTTTGTCATTCATTTGCTTAAGTTAATAAAATCAGTGCTGTGTTGCTTCTACCAAGTTGTCTTGATCATAAATTGGAACGGGGTGGTGGGTGGGTGGAGGAATGCGAGGGAGATTCCACTTCAGAAAGTTAATGCCATTAATATAAAGCATTAATAACAGACTAGCTTCAAGAGGATTTTTTGTTACTTTAAAAATACCCCCAATATTGCTATGGAAAAAGGGGTCTTGGAAAACATAGAACCAAATCTCAGTATGAAGCTTGTTACATCCAGCAATCTGACAATTAGGTCCTGTCGCCCTCAATGTGCTGCTTAATTTATTCCTTATTGGGGATAAATTAGCAGCACATTAGTTTGGCACACTGCATGTACATGGATTTGCTGGAGATGCACCTCTGGCACTGTTCTCAGTGACAGCACTAGCAAAGCTGGGGGTTAGCAAGATAATAGTTACTCTGAAGTTATGTTACCGGCACCTCTTTAACTGCCAGCTGACTTCTGTCATACATAAAGACAATGATTCAAGTTGATTGAGATCACCAGTGAGAATGATGTCAGGGAATCTGGTTATGGCACAACTGGATACATTCAATGTGATCAACATCAAATATATCACTGAGTTGGCAGTGTTACTTTACTAAGTTACTGAGTTGTCAGTGTCCGTATGAAGAACTGCAGAAAATTGACTTTCAAATTAAGACTAATCAAAGATTTTCTTAAATTCTACACAATCTTAAATTTTAAGACGGTTGCCTGAATTTAAGATGATGAATAATTTCGGTCCTCAGGAGCCTCTCAAAATTCACATTATTCTGAATGTTTTCTTTCTCTTTGTAAACAGCTTAGAGTCTTCAAACTGGCAAAGAACTGGAGAACGCTGAACATACTGATCACCATTATATTCAAATCGATGAGAGAGATGGGAAATTTGACAGTTATAGTTATCATTGTTATTTATATTTTCACTGTAATCGGAATGCAGCTTGTTGGACATGATTATGCACATGCAGTAAGTGCATTATAAAAATCCACATTTTACAGTAAATGATCCAACCATTATCTAACCTTTGGTCCCAGTCCCTCTAGATGAGAGTTCCTTGGGCTCATTCCCTCCTTCCCCCCTGTGAAACCCACCTATAGATCTATCTTTTCAACCACATTTGGTCGTTTATCCATTTCTCCCCTCCCACCCTCCACAACTCCTGCTCTCCCCTCCCATAACAACAACAACAACAACTTGGATTTATACAGCGCCCTCAACGCCAGACGGCATCTCAGAGCGCTTCACAGTAACGGATCCCGGGACCGAGTCAGGGGGAGGGGGAGGACTTATGAAATAATTTATGACCCTTATGAAATAATTTGGTGATATATGTTTAATGTTGCTAATGAAACAAATGCTTTGATATTTTCCATCAAATTCAATTTATGTCTTCTTACTGACTCATCAGTGGAAATAGTCTCTCTTTATTTAACTAATCAAAACGTTCGTCATTTTGAAAACTTCGACCTGTATTAGATATGATCCTTAACCTCCTATGCTTGAGTTCCATCTTTTTTGTCTTTTATTATCCCATGTTTTCACGTGACATTGTGTTATTATAGGAAGCATTCTCTGGCAATGAAATACCAAGGTGGAATTTCACAGGATTTTACAACTCCTTTATCATGGTGTTTCGGATCTTATGTGGTGAATGGATAGAACCATTGTATGACTGTATGCGCTGCTCAAAGATGTATTTTTGCGTCCCGTTGTTCTTGCTCACGTACATAGCTGGGAATTTTTTGGTAAGACATTCTGCGAAATACTAATGCATGGTGTGTGCCATATAACTGATAAAATATCATATTTAGTTTAACCTGAATTATAACTAAAAGTTGCATTGCAGTTATTTCAACAATGTATCAATCCGCTAAACATGGTTTTTTTAAATATAGATATAAACTGTAGATTTTTTTAATTTATTGTGTGTTAGTTGGCTCAATGGTATCGAAACTACATATGAATCAGACATCTAGCTGACAAAAACAAACACCAAATGTTCTGTTTTGATAATAGTTTCAAAATCTTATTTTTGAACCACACATATGTGTAGAATACAAATAATGTGGGGTCCTGTAGCAAATTGGTTAGAACACTCGCCTCGCAAGCGAGAGGACCTGGGTTCGATTCCTGGGCAGGGCGAAATATTAGGCAAGTTTCCTTACCCGGAAAGGGAACCCGATAGTCGGTCGATTGGCGGATCGCTTTTTTGGGGGAATAATCTCTTCAAAAAAAATCATAATAATAATTTGGTCACTCAATCCACGATCGTTTTGGAACATTGTTGTGTGTAATTGGCTGCAGCATTTCACCCACAAACTATACAGTTAATTCACTTTACAGTATATTCTGTGAAGTGTTTTGAGACAACTCAAATACATCATAAGGCACTGTATCAAATGAAATGATTATTATTATTATTATTATAGTAGATAGTGTAGCAATGTATTTAACATGTCCTGTATACTTTTTATTCTTCAGGTGTTAAACTTGTTCTTGGCTTTGCTGCTTAATTTTTTTTCTGGAGATACACTGACAGCAAATGCAACGGACGAAGAACCCTCTGAAATGAAACAAATGTTTAAGAATGTTTTACTTGTATTGACATGTCGAAAATCACAGATACCATTTTCGGGCAAAATACAGCCAGAGGATAAAAATAACTCCTCAGATGCAGGCAATGCACCTCTTGCAGATTGCAGTACAGGTCCACCGAAATGTACTACCAGTAAGAGCATCGTTTCATATATCAGTGTTTTATCACGTTGACACAAATAGATTCTGCTGTTTTAAATTTTGATCAGTTTCCTTGGGGTAATAGAAAGATTCTGATTTTTGTTATGTACATTTGTTCATTGTAAAATGAGTATTTGAGTACTCAAGTTTTAAATCAGTAAGGTTTCCTAAAGTATCCTAAACTTTGAAGAGCCCCTGGAGATATCCCTGCAGCACAAAACATTAGCATATCCTTTGATCATCTTAACAACAAAAATAAAAATCAGTCTGTAGATTTCTCAGGCAGATTCACTGTACCTACCAGGAAAACAGATGTCTTTTGCAACCCACCTAAGCCCTCTGTGTGACCATTGGAAGCATCTACTTCAGTTGTTTCCTCCCTCTGTCTGGAGACATGCAGGTTGTCTTTCCAATGCCAGAGAATTATCAAGACCACACTTGATGATTCTCTGGCATTGGGGACTCAGTATGTGGGGATTTTCAGACACAAATCTGGATCCAACTATTTCACAACACACCACATCGTTTCTGCAATGCACTTTGTTACCCCAATTCCCTCAATCATTGTTTTGACTCAGCATTCACTGAAACAGTACTGAGACTATCAAAGATTCTTGTAAACTTAAGGATAATGTGGACGCTGGAGCATTACAATGGAGCATCATCAGTGCAAGTTGTCTTACCTATTGACCCTTCAATATGAATAAATGTCTAATATTTGTATCAGATAGCATAGTACATACATCCCTCTACTGATATTTATCTGGTATTAGTACAGTAGTAGTCCATTGCTACTTTAAATAGAATCATATTTCATTGGTAAAAGTTCTCACAGAATGGAAATTATTAAAATTCAGTTATGAATTTAACAATGTACAGAGCTTTGCCAATCTTCCATAGCAAACATAGCCTCTGTGTGTAGTTTTGTATCATTTAAAACTTTCCTTGTTTGCTTGCTTTTTTTCGTAGATGCAAATGATGAGGTAAAATCTTCAAGCACTGTTGAACCAACAGCTTTGCCAACATTTTCCCATGGCCATGTACTCCCTCCGATAGGGAAGGTTAAGGGTGAAGTCCCTACTGTTAGTGCGCTTTGTGATCCAGCAGGAGGTGGCCGGAAGTATGAAAATGGATCAGCTGTTGTGATGGTAATATAAAATCACATGAAAAATATCTAGTATAAGGATATAGAGTATAATTTTATGGTGACCTTTGTTTAAATTAATATTTTGATTTATTTCAAACCATTGAGAAACATACAATCAACTCACTTTACAGGATATTTTGTGAAGCGCTTTGAGACGTCTCAAACACGTGATAAGGCATTATATCAAATGCAAGGATTATTATCATCTTAGTAGTTACTGATATAGACTGGTACGAATAATTCACATATTCACAAACCAGAAGGTGCAATTTAACAAATACTTTAACTCAACTGGTTTGAAACTGTCACAAATTAGACTAAATTGTGCAGCAGATAAGAAGGAACTTAACCCTAAAGCACTGCTAAACCTGGCCCTAGGAGTCCGTAATGCTGACATTGGGTGCTTGGAATGGAAAGGTGTTCCATTCACATTGTAAACCAGATCACTTTCTGAATAAGGAGATAAGTGGCTCACATCTTATTACTCAGATTAGCATTTTGGAAGAGTTGGTTTGTGACCTGATCCAATAATTTAGAGATTGTTTCTTTATATATCTGAGATAGAACTACATATAGAATTACGTAGAATGATACAGCACAGAAACATTTCGCCCAATTAGTCTATGCCATGAGGTGGTGTAATTTGTAATTCCATTCTTACCTTAGCTGGAGACTTTGGAGGAAGTGCAGCAGGAAATGGAAACAGAAACCCAAGGAAAAAACAACCCACAGACATCAAAATGTGTGAACAGAGAACCTTGCAGTGAAAGTAACAAAATAAAGGATGATAAAGACGTCATATCGATTGAAGATGAAGCAAACGAGGAGAAAATTAACAAAAACAAAATCATGGACCCCTGCTTCCCAGTTATTTGCACTGAAAAGTGCAACTGTTGTGATGCACTTACTGCAACATTCGTGGGAAAGGTGTTTCTGGCAGTGAGGAATCTAATGTTCACAGTGGTGAATAATCGTGTGTTTGATGCAGCCGTCCTTTTTGTTATACTTCTCAGCACAGTAACACTGGTAAGTAATATGTTCAAACAAAAGCCTTTGTTGTCTCCAACACTTATAACCACAACAACTTGGATTTATATATGGGGCAAAACCTTAGGCAAGTCTCCTTACTCCACACACCTCTGTTTACCTAGCAGGAATCTGGTTGTTAGTCGATTTGGTGGATCGCTTTCCGGGGACAATAATACCTCTTNAAAAAAATTGTCCCACGACTGTTTGCGGGACATTGCTGTGTCAACACCCTCCCACCGCTTTACACCTTTAAAGCCTGCCTCAAGACCTTTTTTTTTACTGCACTTTTGGTGACCTTTAGCCCCCTCTTCCCTACCCTCCTCAGCTCCCCACCTTCTGCCCAGCTCAGGCTCCCAGTCAGCTGTGTGAAGCACTTTGAGATGTGCTTCCAATATGAAAGAAACTATATAAATGTAAATTGTTGTTGTTTTTGTTATATTACTGTATGGTATTTATCTGAATGAAAGTGCCAGTGATGTGTACACACATGTTGATATTATTTTAGAAATTAAATTGAATTTCCTGCCGTACAACCCATTTTTATCCCTCACCACAATCTGACTTTAATTTGCAATTTATCAGTCAATCTTGAACCTCCTCCTAATTCTGAAGCAATATAATAACAAATACACTATTCCCAACATTAGCTATTGCTTTGCTCTAGAATGGGCCCAAACTTTTCCATTGCTCCCTGGTCCCTAGTGAGTGCAATAAACTGACAGGCTCAGTTAGCAGCACTTTCGCCTCTGAGTCAGAAGGTTGTGGATTCAAGCCCATCATCGAAACTTTGAGTTCATAGTCTAGGCTGACACTCCACTACAGCACTGGTGGAGCTTGTATTGTTGCAGGTGCTGTCCTTCAAATGAGACATTAAACCAAGGTTCTATCTGACTCTTCAGGTGGGCTTGTTAGATTCAGTGTTAAAGATTTAGCAAGTATTCGAAAAGAACAGCATAGGAGTTTCTCCAGTGTCCTGACCAGTAACTCCCCAGGATAAAAGACAATCACTTCATTGCTGACTGTGAGACATTGCTGCGTACATATCGGTTGCTACATTTACCTATGAGATGAAGTCACCACGCTCACTTTGAGATGTTTTAATAAATGATAAGGCACTATATCAAGCATTATTTGTATTTCTTATTTCAAAATGCATTTTAATTTCATTCTTTAATAATAATGATTCTTGCATTTGACATAGCGCTTTTCACGTCTTCGAGCGGTCTCAAAGCGCCTCACAGAATATATTGTAAAGTGAATTGATGATATTTTGTGTGCAAAACTCGGCAGCCAATTGTGCACAGCAGTGTCCCACAAACAGTCGTGGTTGAGTGACCAAATTATAATTGTTTAATGAACACATGGAGAGAATGTCCATTTGAATTTAAAGATATGGATTTCAGTGACCAGAATTTGACAAATTTGTAAATACAGTCTTAATTTTGAGGCCGAAGTCCTTTTAAGAACCACAGAAAACTGGTTTCATAGTTAAGACTGAAATCAACAATTTACCATGTTCTGCACTAAATTGCTTTATAAAAATAGTAAATGTAGGACTAAGTGGAATTTCTCCCCCATAATGTATTGATGAATACCGCAATTTTGGCTCATGAATATGTTCATCGTATTCACACGTTTAGCAAAAAAAGATGGCGTGGACTCATAACTCTCTGAAGAGGGGTGGTGAACAATTTAAACTCTATCTGCTTTGCACAAAGAGTGGTGAATATGAGGAATGGATTACCCAGGGAGGCAGATTGATGGAGGCAGTTTTTGTCAACAAATTCGAGGGAATTAGATAACTATTTGGCGAAGAAATCTACCGAAGGCTATGAGAGATTGAGTAGAGGATTTTTTTAACTGTCCAGATGCACCAGTCCTGCACATTCCTATGTTCTTATGTAAATCTGGAACAGGCAACGTACGACCAGGGGACAAAATAGTAACAGTCTGAGAAGCAATTCATTATTCCAATAGAAAGAAACAAAATATTCTGTATTGATGAGTTTAAAACTATCCGTTTTCCTTCATTTCCCTTTTCCAGGCCTCCCGTATTAAAGCCATGGTTGAAGCAGAATTAATAATACATGAACAACTTAATTAACAATAATAATAAACAAGGCAGACATGATGCTCAGCTATATTGCCAAATTAGTTCTGTCCAGATCCCAAAAGTTATACTCAAGTTGTACAGTATACTGAACGGACAGTCTGCACTTAGAGTACTGCATTGTCACTGTGACATAAGGTCTCTGCCCGGACCTAAAGGCAGTGAAGAGGAGAAAGGTGAGGCTGAGCTCCAATGTTAGAGGAATGAGCCTCAAAGAACAATTAGATAAGATAGGGATCTTCAGTCTTGAAAGGAGACATCTCAGAGGGGACCTGATAGAATTGTATACAATTTTAAATGGGATTCAAAAGCAAATTCAAAACAATACTTTTAGATGCACCAAGATAGCGGACCTACAGGAATTGAGTTGAGAGTTGCAAAAAGGGCAATTTCAAGACAGACACCAGGAAGTATTTCTTTACCTGCAGGGTAATTAACAACTGGAGCACGTAATAAGCAAGGGTGGTTGAGGCCAGGACACTCTTTAAAAAAAATGATCCTGTGGTGGTAGGATGAATACAACAACCACAATAAATTACATTTGGACGTCCTAAGGCACTGGACAGTCAGAGATTTGGACCCAAGCAGGGGGTTGGGATCAGGGGTTGGAGGGCAGGTTACTGGTAGGAGGGTGGTCGAATGTGCAGTCGAATTGGAGAGTTTTGAGATATGTTTTGAAGAAGGCAAGGAAGGGAGTAAGACAAAGGCACTGGGGGATGGAGCTCCAAAGGGTGGGGCAGAGAAGCTGAAGGCCCGACCGGTGACAACAGCCACTTGCATTTATATAGCGCCCTTCACAGGTGCCAGCATCTCACAGAGCTTAATATTGTGGATGGGTGAAATCAATTGGGATGAGGGACCTTCTTCATCCAAACCTCTCCTTGGAATGGAGACTGACCTGGACTCAGTGAGACAAATGGCCTCCTTCTGTGCTGTAACTTGTAAGAATCTTTACAGAGCCCTAGGGTGGCTGGAGGACAGGCAACCTGCTCCCAGCTCTATCAAATGCAAGGATTATTATTATTATTGTTATTGACCAAGTGCTCTGAGATGCTACCCTGCTTGTAGTGTACTATATAAATACAAGTTATTGTTGTTGTTGACTATTGTTATCACATAGCCAGTAACTATCAGCCATTTGGAGTGACCACAGAGCACTCCTTCCAATTTGTCCTTCCTTTCAATGTGACAACCACTGGCCACTGCTTCTCATAGGCTCTCAGAGTGCAGCTTAGGTTGGCAATTCATCACATAGAGAATTGTCGTAGTCTCTCTATTGCACTCTTTTGGAGTTAGGACACATTAAACCATCTCATTGTAAATTTATTATTTCGTCCACAAAATATGCAGTCAATCTACTTTGCAATATATTCTGTGAAGCGCTTTGAAACGTCTCAACAACGTAATAAGCTGCTATATGAAATACAAGGATTATTATTAGTAGTAACAGAAAAAAGTAAAATGACTGCAGAATGCATGTGGGTGTGAATGCATGACTTCACTCCAGATCAAACAGTGAGTAATTAAAACACTTGACTTTTTCTTTATATGTCAATGAGTTCTCCATTATTTGGCCCCCGTAAATCCCAGTCACAAACGGAGTTCAGCCCCTAAGACAAAGAGACAGAATTCAACTCCTTGCACTATAATTTGAAGGTCTGATTTGTTATAATGCGTAAGATACAGTCATTCTTGTCCAAACTTCTTTCAATACATATCAGAACTCCATTAATGCTTTGAAGCTGAGTAACAGAAATTTCAATTAAAAAATTATTGCAGCCATAAATTCTTTTAATATCTGTGCCGTCTTGCTTCTTTCAGCCACAATCTCGCACATTTTTTGTGCTAGGTACCCTGAGGTGCAGTAGTTTTATAGTTAGTGAGGCATCGTTGGTGGCAACTCAAATCAACTGCACCTCATTTATAGTGGTGTTTGCGAGTAGAATTACATCTAAGATGAGACTCAATGTGACCTATGTTTCATGATAGAAATCAAATGATACGTGTGCAATCAATGTTGATTTGAGCTGGACCCACATCAAAGATGGGTATCATGTTGGTATTGTCAGCGGATTCACGGCTGAATCAATGAGCATATTGTATACAAACTCTATGTATGCTCTTTGTTTCCCTCCTCCACTCATGAAAGCACTAACTCTTGCTGGGCTGCAATTTGCATACGAACCAGCAGTCTTTCAGTAACTCACGCTAGTTGTCACGTGCAAATTGAAAATTGAATGTTCCAAGGGTTATTATAATAATTATCACTGTTATTAATAATAATACAATAATAATCCTTGCATTTGATATAGCACTTTTCCTGTTGAGAGGATGTCCCATAGCTCTTCACAGGATTTACCATGGAGGACTGTGTATTTGAAGACAAATGGGGCAGCTCATTTGCATCCAGCAATGTCTCACAAACAGCCATGAAATAAATGTTGACCAGGACACGGAGAGAAACTCCCTTCACTTTTCAAGTAGAGTCATGCGATCTTTAACATTCACCTGAGGCAGACATGACCTCAGTTTTAACAACTCATGTGAAGAACGACATCTCCAATAATACAATACATCCCCGGGACTGCATTGGATTATTATTATCAGCTTGGATTATTATGAGTTCAAAGTCCTGATGTAGGTCTTAAACCCACAACATTCTAAATCAGAGGCAAGAGTGCTACCAACTGAGCCAGGCTGACATAGATTTGACTGTGGAGACTGTAGAGAGCTGAACTTGTTCTTAATGGGCAGCGGAGGACAGTCGATAGTAATAAAAAGCAGGAACACAATTTGAGTTCCTCCTTTTTCTTAGCTCAAAGGCATTGAGGCCAGTTGTAGAGCTGCATCTGTTGGCCCAGTTGAGATCAGCCAACTCAGCACAGAACACATATCAAACCTACAACCATCTGGTCTGAATGACTTATTGTTGCACCGGGTGATGCTTTTATCAATCCTGCCAAAAGGAAAGCAAATCACAGGCCACAGTTGGAAGATGTGCACTGCTCCATTTCTTGCATTGCACTGCTTCTAAGGAGCACATAGCCCAACTAAAATGTTTTTGTTTGCAAATAGTTTGGAAAAAACTTGTCAAGTGTCCTTTTCCCTTCTAATCCATTCCAATGAAAAAACTTGTCAAATGTTCTTTTCCCTTCTAATCCATTCCAATGTTGCATTTCTCCTTATGAAATATTTTACTCATTTTTGATTTATAATATCCTCTGTTTCCCCAGTAAATGATGAAATTTGCCATTCATTGGAAGCCTGAATGTTCAGACTGAAATTCAAGTCTTGTGATCAAATTTGCTACGTTTCTTAATGGGATTTCTTAATTGGAGACTTTATGAGATAACCACGCCGACTTGAGAGAACCCAGCTCCAAAAATAGATCAAATTGTACTCATCACTGTTGCCATGAGTTCCAGACATCTGGATTTCTTAACTTAGAAATTGCATTAAGAAATACACAAAATTGACCCAAGCTCATCTCTAAGCAGAATTCAACTTGGATCATCCATTTAATCTTTTAATGAAATATTGCACATTGAGACATCTTTCCGACACAAAAGGCCCTACATAAATGTAAATTGTTGTTGGATCAATTTTTAATGCAATTATTTCTTTAAGGCAATGAAGTTTTTTTTGAACAAGGTTGCCAAACCAAGGACCAGGTATATAACATATTCCAAGTCAGTGTACAAAAGAAGAAATGTAAAAATTGGACCCGCATTTATGTGAAAAATATGATGGTCACAAAGTTGGCGTAATGTTGCGGATTGCTTAATTTTTTTTTCTCTCTTCTAGACCTTAGATGATAAGTATTCCCGCACTAATGTGAAGATCCAGTTAGCACTGCAAAATCTGGATTATTTTTATACTGTCTTTTTCAACATGGAAATGGTTTTTAAGGTATTAGGTCTCGGCCTAACAAATTATTTCACAAACGTCTGGACATTACTGGATTTTTTTCTTGTTGTGGTGAGTACATGCTTTTTTATTTTGGCGTAACGTTTTTCAGAGAGTAATATTAAAGATGCTTACCTTTTCACGGATGTTACAGATCATTTCTTTTTACTCCAAGTGTAACTACTTAGATCATGTTTCTTAAGCTTAGAACGTTCAGCTCGTGCACATGTGAACCATTTCAAAATAACAGAGTTCAGGTGCTGGTTGCTTGGTTGAAGGGAATTTATTCAGTACTTACAGGGTAATGTATTTATTAGCAGATGTAAACTGTGTAAGATCTGTTTGAAGTAGCAAATTGTCCTAGGAAGCACCTGATATACATTTTGTGGATCAGCAGTATAGCCACAACAGTGCACTGTCTCATTCAAGACAGATGTTTAACTCTGTGTAAACTGAACTATTGTGAAGTCCAGTGAAATTATTTTGATCAAGAACATCCTCCATGAGAGCATTTTTCTTCTTTAATTACTTAATTCTTTGCAGCCTCCCCTCTCTTGTTTTACCTATTTTTGCCCCTCCTTTGGCCCCAAGCATTTCACACTCTTCCCCAGATTAGAGAGTGAGCGGACATGGAACTTGTTTCCAATCATTTAGAGGCGAATGGCAGTCAAGAGTTGATGATTAGTTTTTCCCTCCCTGTGGAGGAAGGCCTGATCTCCCTCTAATGACCCAAGCAAGGTCAGGTATTCACAATGTGGGAGGACACAGTAGCAATCTCTCTATTGCCACAACATTTTGCGGTGCATTGGCACAGCAATTCAGTACCCCAACTAACGTACTGCACCACCATACTGACAGGAATGAGGCTGTTTATTTTATATGTATTATAGTTTTGTAAAGGCAGCATTCTTAACCGTTGGCTGAACATAAAGAGATTTTCCTCACTTCCTGAAACTAATCAGTAGAAAGTGATGACTGTACTTTTAATTGTTTATACTATTAGGATTAGTACTTTACCTTTATGTGACATAGAAATATAATCTACACCTCTTTGTACAGGTCTTCAGAGCCATGCACTAATCACATTGTGCTGACATTTGTACACCAGTCTATATGTTTCACTGTCACAAGCCGTGATACCTTTTGATCAAGTTTCACTTTTCCTGGCACTCTCCTCAGGAATCAAATTTGAGTTTAAAACAAGAATAAATATTAATACAATTATGTCAATCCTGAGACATTTATGTCAATTTAAAAATGTGAAAATAAAATGTAAAACTACCAAACTCGAGAAATAGTAGAAGCTATTTGAAAAGAAATATGGGAACCAGCCTGGAATTGACAATAAACTGAACAAATTACTGCACAAAATTATAGCACACAGGCTTGAAGCATCAAATAAACATAAGGTTGGACCATAATGTATTTCTATATAGAGGATTCTTTTTTTTAAATCTTTACAAATAACATTATAAATAGATTGTCATCTGGGTAGGTCCTGATACAATATCACATTTAAACAACGTGAGAAACCAAAGATATGAAATGCTTACATCTTCTACATTATTCAACCAGATAAGCTTATTGATTGAGTATCATATCACATTGTGACTCATCTGTTACCTGGTGATCATAATTTGAATAACATTTCTTTAATAATATTGACTTTTTTGGCGTTTCACTTTTGATAAAAAATTTTCTCCATCTTCAAATTATTTCCTTCTACTCTCTTGTATCTCCGTCCTCCCTCCCACCCAACAAAACAAGCACAGGACATGCCCACAGTTAAGAAAGGCAACCTCTTTTCTAGCTTCTGTCAGGGTTGCCAAAACCATCTTCCAGGAGATTTACATGGTATCTGGAAGGTAAATTCCAGATCACATAAAAAATGCCTCTCCTTCACTCAATGTTCCCCTGTGTGTAACAAAGTGGAAAGCTTCTTATAAAGTGACCCAGTTACACCAATGCATGATGCTACATTCAGTGGTCCAAACTTCCTTTTTGAATTTATCGTACCTAACCAAATATCAAGAGAAAAAAAGATTAACATTCACAGATCTTACCCAGAAAAATTGAAGATCTCTAAATTTGTTTTTTACGCTTCACGCCTTCTGTTTTTTTCACAGTAACAGATACGCGTAACGATGGATAACTAAGACTTCACAGTATAAAAATAGTTTTGCAATCAAATGGATAGAATAGTGGTGCATAAAAGCAGTTGTTAAGTAGAGACAGCCTACAGTAATCACATCTTTGGAACAATATTGCTCAGACCCAGCACTGTACCACATTGATGGCAATAGATCACATTACCCAACAATATTGATGCCCTTTTGCTTCATCAAAGAGAATTTTTTTTCAAACATTGGGGTGAAAAATTGGGTATGTAGTGTTATTGTAACTGATCCTAACTTTATTTTTCACCCCATTGTTTTAAAATCTCCCAACACTCTCCAGAAATTGGTAGCACCGAGTTCAAACCCGATGGGGTCAGATTTTTAGACAAACAAAATAAAACAAAATACAAAGACACTACACTTTACATTAAAATCCTGTGAAGCACTGTAAGACCTCTTCCTGATGTGAGAGGTTCTCTATAAATGCAAGGGTTATTATTGTATTTCAAAAATATCATAAGTATATTTAAAAGGTAGGACATGATTTCTAAATGCTTTACCCATTTACATCCAAAAAGTTCAAATGGAAACTCTTTTTTGCTGCGGATGGGTTATTTTGAACTTCAGACTAGTATTGTATTTGCAAAACATGCATTCACATTGCAACTTACTATCAACTAGAAACAAGACTTCCAATTATTTTTCACATCTTTGGCATCTGTTATTTCAGTTTTCTTACCAATCGTCCCATGGAATTAATTTGTGCACTCTGCTATCATTTTCATTATTTTGTGTTTTTCTCTTCTAGATAGGGTGGCTCAGCATGTTAGGAAACAGAATACAAGCCTTCAAATCACTGCGATCCCTCAGGACATTACGTGCTTTGAGGCCTCTGCGAGCTATATCTCGTTGGGAAGGAATGAGGGTTGGTAATTATTTTATTTTGGTCAATGCAGTGGCCGTGCACCTTTTTAACAGTCTGAGTGCTGGGGAACAGTAAATACCCGTGTTTTTCTTCTGTCTCTAGGATTTGGGTCCAACCTTAATCAATGGAATGAAAACCTCTCTCTCATTTATGTATTCAGCGACTAATTCTACAATGATCATTGGTGGACAAAGACACCAGAGACCCGAAATGCCTCATGGTCCAGACCTTAAGGACAATGACATAAAATTTCAGATTGTGCAGTATTTTGGAAAATGTTTAATTTCAAGTCTTAATTTGGAAGTCAGTTTTCCACAGATTTTTTTCAAGAACGTCAGAGAAACAGCTTTCAAGTTAAGATTCAAAATCCTGTACAATTTAAAATTTTAGGGCAATGGTCTTAAGACTAATTTTAGACCTCTGATGCTCAACTTGTTGATAAAATCTTCTGACCGTAGCAGTTTAAGACAGGAATTTCCATTATGCATTCATACTCCCTTGTCAATACATTGGCTGAGCTTTGGAGGATCAACTCCTCAGTCTTTCTCGTTCAGCCATTTCAACTTAGTTCATAATGTGTGGGCCAATTTCAGGGAAGCTGTAATAATTCAGGAGATTCAAATATCAAACCAGTACAGTGATTGATATCAAACCAGACCAATAATTTGGTCACTCAACCACGACTGTTTCTGGGACACTGCTGTACGCAATTGATTGCCATGTTTCGTGCACAAAATATGCAGTCAATTCACTTTACAGTATATTCAGTGAAGAGCTTTGAGATGTCTCGAAGACGTGATAAGGCACTATATCAAATGCAATGATTATTATTAAATGCAAGGATTATTATTGAAACCTTCCTGTGGTTTCAATTAGAGCACACATTTAAGTAGTGTAGAAGGGGGAATAATCAGCAATTTGCCATTGCTCTCTCTGACCTGCGAGTTTGATGATGACACTGGGTGCAAAAAAGTGTATAGAACTGACATTCCTCACTTTGAACAGCAAAAAGGGGTTATTGTGGACTTGTGGAATTCATTATTTAAATTGACATTACAATTATTAAATCTAGGAGCAAATGGTGAAGTTAAGTGTCATTAGGATGCAATGACGCCTACAAAAATACACAGTCACAACACTTTACAGTGAATCTTGAGAAGCGCTTTGGGATGTTCTTCCAAAGGTCCTTTATCAAATGTTATACTTATTATGTGTTGTGTTATATTTATTATTTCCTGGGCCTATACTTCAGAAGCAATATTCTAATACACTTACTTCCAATTCCTGCTCACTGTGATTATTAGGGTTAGACTGGCTATTGAGGTGGCTGCATTACTCTCTTCTTTACTGTAATTTGATGAAAGTTTTATTTTTGTTTCTTACACTGTTTAATTTGGGGATATTTAATTTCAAAGAGCAGGACAGAAAGATAATTTTGTATTTTTGCAGGATTCTAATATTTTTTCTCCAACAGCACTTTTTCTCCATTTTCCCTCTCCAGGTCATTGACTTTCTATGTGCTTATATATAATATTATGTAGCTTAACTTAACAAAATAATAGGGTGTAACTAGAGTCAATTGTAAGAGAACAGATGTCTCACAAATTTGACCCAGGTGGTTTCTGTAAGCACAGAAAGCTTGGAAAAACCCTAAGTCAGAAATTTCCCATAACCTACCACATGCTCGAGCAGCTTTGGTTGAACAAATGGTATTTCTACATTCCAGGCAGCCTGCTCCTAATATAAGCTTTGCACAATATATCCAGTAAAAGATTCCACCTACCCTTTTAATCTCCTGAGGAAAATTTCTGAAGAGATACTTCCTCAGAAATAACCAAGTAAAATGAAAGAATATTTTCACATCTACGCTACTTACATAAAATCATAGAATTATACAGCAGAGAGGGGCCCATTTGGCTGTGTTGGCTCTTTGAAAAGAGTTATCCAAATCAATCCCACTCAATCCCACTCCCCCATTCTGCCCATAGCTGCAAACGTGCCCTCCCCAATTAATTATCTACTTTTCTCTTAAAAGTTGTTATCAAATCGGCTTCCATCCCCCTTTCAGGCAATGCATTCCAGATCCGAACAACTCACTGTGTGAAAAAATTTCTCCTCACCTCCCCTCTGGTTCTTTTAACAACTATTTTAAATTGGTGTCCTCGGGTTACCAAGCCACCCGCCAATGGAAATAGTTTCTCCTTGTTCACCCTATCGAATCCCCTCCTAATTTTGAAAACTTCTATTAAGTCTCTCCTTAGCCTTCTCTTCTCCAAGGAGAGTAATCCCAGCTTCTCTCGCCTCTCCTGACAGCTGAAGTCCCTCATTCCTGGTACCATCCTGGTAAATCCCCTTTGCACACTCTCCAATGCCTTGACTTCCTTCCTAAAGTCTGGTGCCCAGAACTGAACACAGTACTTTAGCTGAGGCCTAACCAGTGTTTATAAAGGTTCATCATAACTTCCTGATTTATATATTCTATGCCCCTATTTATAAAGCCTAGTATCCCGTATGCTTTTTCAACAGCTTTATCTACCTGTCCTGTCACCTTCAAAGATTTGCTTATATGAACCCCCAGGTCTCTCTGCTCCTTCATCCCCTTTAAGATTGTACCATCAGCTTATATTGCCTCTCCTCATTCTTCCTCCCAAAATGCATCACTTCACATTTCTCCACATTAAACTTCACAAGCGAGAGACCTGGGTTCGATTCCTGGCAGGGCGAAATGTTGGGCAAATTTCCTTACTCCACATGCCTCTGTTTACCTAGCAGTAAGTAGAAACAAGGTTGTTAGTTGATTGGTGGATCGCTTTTCCAGGGGTAATTATTCCTTAAAAAAATAATAATTTGATCACTCAATCCATGACTATTTGTGGGACACTGCTGTGTGCAATTGGCTGCCACGTTTCGCCCACAAAGTGTACAGTCAATTCACTTTACAGTATATTCTGTGAAGCGCTTTGAGACATCTTGAAGATGTGATAAGGCACTCTATCAAATCCAACAATGATTATTTTATTGTTATTGCAAAGAACATCTCCCACCATTCGCTTCCTCTCTATGAATTATCATGTGCCATGAGACATTTGATCATCTCAGTCCATATCCTTCAATTATGTTCCCAACCAAATATCTATCAAACTCCTTTTTGAATGAATTAATCACCTCAGTATAAACTGCTAAGGGAATAGGAATTATACCATTCAGGGTGTTGAATTTACTGTATAAAATATAAAGCAAATCTTGATCATTTTAATCCCATTTCCCTAATGTTTCTCCATAACCCTCAATATCCTTCCCAAATGTTTCTTCATCTCCCTTACAAACATTCAATCAATTCTACATGTTTGGTCTGGGGGCATTGCTTTCAGTATGTTCATGACCTTTGTGTAAAGAAATGTTTACTTTTTAAGAACTGCAGAAAATCACCTTCGAAATTAAGATTGAATTTGAGAAATTTCCAAAATTTTGCATGATTTAGGCTAAGAAAGAGCTAAAATCATGAGGAATTTGGGGTCTCTGATCTTTGTTTATTGGGATCTGACTCTGCCCCCTTCTTGTCAATAGATTCATGATTTGCTGCTCTCCACCCAGATTAGACAATTTTTGTTTACAGGAATACTTGAAATAGATGAGACTAGACGCTAGCTAATTCCTTGAGAAAGGTTTTGTGAGCACAATCACTTGTGTCAATGAGGGCCGTATTTTATTCTGTGGTTTCCAGATTAAGAAGATGTTTAACTTTCTTGGGCTTAATCTTGATTCAGCTGATAGTGTTGTTGCACTTCAAAGGGACATTTGGTTGCTGACCTTGGATTTAAGATAACTTTTCAATCAATATATCTGCCTTTTGTCCTCTTCTACACTATGACCAGCATGAGACAGGCCAGGGCTGACTATCCTGCAGATTAAGCGTCCCTCCCTGTGAGTGAGTGGCTGCCCCCCCTACTGCCCACATTCATCACAATAGATTGCTTGGGGTCAATAACTCACCAGGTGGGATTCATGAGCACAAGCCTGTATTCTACCATTGGAAAGCGCACACTGGTGATGGTGATCAGGCATGCTGTGCCACCTTACTACACATCAGTTTGTTGCGAATGTTTCACTTGATTCACCACTGATTAGACTTTGGGACTGTGATCTAAATCAATCTGATTGCTGTTTGTGACTTGCTGGTGTAGACCATTGTAAGGTATAATATGAAGGAAATCTGGGGGGAAATAAACCCTCAAAACAGGATTATATTACACATATATTACGCAGATGGAATAGATCTGATTTCAGAGTAAAGTCTCAATTAAAAAGGGCAGTGAGGTACCAAATGCTTTTTGCACTGCATACCAAGGTGCAGACTTTCTTTTCCCTAAAGCCCTACAAAATGAACAGGTACTACAACTTACAGTGAATTTAGACGTCCTTCTCGTGAGAAAGACGTTATATCAAATGTAAAGATTGTTATTATGAGGCCAAAACATACAGTATCGTGTTTACCTCAAACACATGAGCACGTGTGCACTTTGACCACAAGAGGGAACTGTTGCAGAGGCATAATGGAAAATCAGTACGGACTAAAGGGAGAGGATAAATTGTGTATGTGATGAGATGTCTATCAACAGAGATGAATTCTCATAAAATTCAGAAATTGCAGTCATTTTTACCCAATACTTAGTGGTTTGGGGCTGAATAACAGCTCTGTTTTCTGGAGCAGCTTGGCTTCCAACCATGCCTTGCTTGCACTGAATCAAGACTTTTTAAAAAAACTAAATGTACAAGAACATAACATTTTTCAATTTTAGGCATTAAAACTTTTTTTAAAATGTTAGTGTTATTTTTAGGCCATTACCCAGTGAGGAAGCTTGAAATCCATGCTGTCCTCCTCCCCATTTTACAAAATATCTTTCGGGATAAAGAAAATTGGCAAGAGCGAGAAGGAAAAAAGTAATTAGTTGCAATTTCCTTGTTTTTTCAATAACAGATCAAACGTATTTGTTTTGACAGCATCATTTGATTCTGCTATACTGGGGAGATAGTGGAACAAATAAAAGACAGTTATCACAAAAAATCACTAAATGTACCTGTGCTAAACCTCCAGTAGGATGTGCTGCAAAAATATTATTTTTGTATTACATCCAAAAATAAAGGATAATATTTCTCTTGCAGCTCAGTGTAGCCACTTTTCTTTTAGCACACATTAAGCGCACGCCGTCAATCTATTTGGCAGCGAAAGGAATGTCTCACTCAGATGTTTCAATCTTAAAGCTAGGAATCATTGACGAATGTATTTTAAAAAATTAGCTTTAGCACCCAAGGTGCATTACAGAAGGACTTTGCTGTTCTCAGTTCTTGTGCCTACAATCTACAATCACTTATAAAAGGGACATCACTGTCATTTACTGTTAGTGAATCACAGCCAAAACAAACCACAAGCATGTGTGGGATATAAACAAACTCCAGTTCATAGATGCATAAGAAACAACTTTTAATTTTGAGGAGGACAATAGGATTCTATAAAAACTTTTTTTAATGCATAAAAGTTCATCTTTTAAAAAAATTAAGTTCAAACCCAGCTCTGGGAACAGGCATTAAAGAATGTATAAAATCCAGATGTAAACATTGCTGTAGCAAATGTTCTGCCAAATAATATCTTCCTGGGAAAACAATCTTTTAAAAAAATGTAAACTATAAGAACAAAAATCTAGCCTTGGGACATGAAGTAATGAAGTTATATCTTTGTTGGCTCCATAAAACTATTTTGAATTTGAACATCTGATTTGTGGATGTTTTGCTCTGATGGAAAAAGTTGGAAGTTTATAACACTCCAGAGGCCCCTTAAGTGTGGAAATAAAAATTATGTTCCTGCTAGTTTCATGACAATGGACAACTGAGATCACCCGCCAGAAATTATTTTTTGAGCTTGAGAAAAAATATTGAATCCCTCGTCAAAGTTTATCCAACTCACTTGCAGGTTGTTCTCTCTCGTGGTATAAACCTAGCCTCAACCCTAAGAGTAAAAATCACATTACACGTAAGGAAAAGACAATCTGTTGGAGAGCGGAGATTTCGTCAGATGGAGCAGGGAAGATTTCTTTGGAAATCATATGGTATTGACTAAAGTAATACAAGGATTGGGAATTCACAGATTGCTGTGGTACAGCACAACTAGGCATTGCTTTCTGTTACCACTCTGCTGTTTTGTCTGTGTCACAGCAAATCACATATAAAATAAGTTATATTATAATGTTATGTGATTACTATACAATTCCACATACTTCGGGGCGAGGGGGGAGTGGGAGAATGTTGTTCATCAAAGTCATCAAATGTGATTTAATAATAAAGAATGGAACATATTCCACTCTTTGCACTCAATTTCAACATTAAACACTCCCAGATCAGTTATAGCACAGGATAGATAGTAAAGCTCCCTCTAGACTGTTACAGCTTAAAAGTCATTTCTCTCCTGATATTCTCAAGTATCCTGACTCCTAATTTTTCCAGGAAAATTTCCTGATTGAGATTTAATGTCAATTAATGTCAATTTAATGCACGACAGTTGAGAATTCCAATGAGAACATCAGAAATCGTGCTATAATATTTCTTACTTGAGCTACAGCTAAGCAACATCGCAAATGTAGAGTACAACCTCCATAGCACCAGTGCATCACTGCCATTTTCTAAACCAGATGTCCTTGTGCCCTCTCTGAGTGAGATTTGATGACAAGTAGAGCTTTATTATACATTATTTACTGCCATGATGAGGACTCACTCGCTACATTTTAGGTTGAACTATAAACCATTTTACAGTAGCCCTTCAAAGCCATTAGAGGGAGGAGGTTTTCATTCCCTCAGTCTGAGCTGTATTGAATCGCATGATAATGAATCTGATGCACATTTGCACATTTTCTCTTTTTGTTTCAAGCATTTGCAGTTTTTTCAAAATTCTGCTTAAATCCTGACTGTTCAGAGGGCTTAAATTCCAGATAAAATGGCCATTCACTTCATGGCTGTTTGGGGGACATTGATGTGTGCAATTTGGCTGCCGCATCTACCTACAAAATGCAGTGACAGTGTAAATGCACTTTACAGTGAATCCTTCAAAGCACTTTCAGGCGTCTTTCCGATGTGAAAGGTGCTATATCAAATGCAACAACGACAACAAGATGCAAGGATTTTTTTAAAAAAGTTTTCACATATTCATCGATGTTAACATTTTTGCATTTGCAAATTTATCATGAAACTTATGATTAAACAAAATAAATGAAATCAAGAACATAGTTTCTACCTGTGTTTCACAGTGACAGTCCCTTCATATTTCTGCTGGTGACATCCCTGAGAACATAGACAACCAGCTCAGCAGCGACACCAGCAGGAATATAGTAGCATTGCAACACTAGAGCAACATGTTAAGATGTACCTAAAAGTATTCACATGAGGAACAACAAATGTGTCAATGTTAGTTTTCTATATATGTAGTATTGCTATTGATCTGTCAGAATATGTAAACTCACTGCTAAAGTAAAACAGATATCATTGTGTAAACTCATAAGCTATTTTATTTATGTCAAATATGTATTTAAATATTAGTCAAACATGTCATAGTTAGAAACATTATTTAAAAAATTGTACGAACTTTTTTAAAATGCAGAGTTAATACCACAATATCTGCTTTAACCACAAAATGATTGATGCATAGCTCAAGCATTATCAGCTAAATATTATATCGCTTCCACCGTTCCATCCATGGTAACTCTGTAGAACCAGAATTTGTTGCAAATGAATCTGTTTTCACTGTGCCCTGTAATAGTGAGTCTGCAATTTAAGTCGATGCTTTCTTTTGTCTTACAGCTTGTTGTTAATGCTTTGGTTGCTTCGATCCCATCCATTTCTAATGTCATGTTAGTGTGTCTCGTATTCTGGCTGATATTTGGCATTGTTGGTGTTCAGATATTTGGTGGAATGTTTTTTCGATGTGTGGATGAAAATGATGAACGCCTTCCCATTACTATAATAAATAATCGATCTGATTGTGATGCATATAAGGATATTGGATACCAATGGGTCAACTCCGAGATTAATTTTGATAACATATTGACTGCTTACATGGCTCTTCTGCAGGTGGTAAGTAAACAATAATGTATATAATAATAATGACAGACTGCAATTTTTGGGGGCATATTAATGCTGTAATGATTGCAATATATTCTTAAACATTATTTAGGAATGCTTTTGGATTTAGCAGAAATATATATACATTATGAATATGCACCAAAGATACTATAGCTAAGGGAAGGAAATAGAGGGGGATAGGGAGAGGCGATGGGTGGAAATTCATGTGCAATATAAACCCAGGCATAGACTGTTAGGGCCGAATGGCTTGTTTCAATGTTGTACAGTCTATGTACTTCTATGGAACCACTGTGATATCTGCAAGCGTTCTTACAGTCTTAAATTGTTTATAAATATATACTCCTCATTCTGATAGTGGCTCTATTCTAAGTGTGAATAATGAAACATATTTAGAAGAAAACTGTAAATCATATTGTCAACATTTTTCATTTCAGTGCATTGTTTCTTATGTGGTTCCAGGGTTTAATTCATTGCATTAAATAAACAACATTGTACATGAGCAGCTGCATATAAATGGTGATTTTGGACGTGCTTGTCTGCCCCCTAAGTAAAGGAGAGTGACTTAAATACTGTTGGAATTTATAGCCCAGATTTTTGGTAAATGTATAACATAACTAAGAAAGGAAATATTCCATTATTGCAGTAAAGAGAATAAAGGTGGCAAGATAAATCTTTCAACGATTTATTTTTAATTAAGGAATATTTATTACAATTGTTCTGGAAAAGTGCTTAAAAATTGTTCTCCTTCTTTAGAGCTAATGATTAAATTACTCATGATCTAAGTATTTAATCTGTCCCATAAACAGACACTAAGTTTCAGTTGTAAAGTCATCCTTTTATTACCATCTATCACTTGTAATCACAATAATTGTTTAACATCTGCCCTTTCTCATAAGTAGGATTGCTCTGCGTCCAATTCTGGACTAGGCAATCGGGCTTTGAGTAGGCTGTGAAGAAATTTCCAAATGTGAACCAGACACTGATTTGAATTTCACAGACTTTGCCACATTTTAAATCATCCCTGGCAGCCGCTTTGAGGCATACTATCAAAGGACCGGATTCCGCCGGAGTCTGCTATTGGACTTGGCAAATGGTGTTAACTCTGGCCTCAAATCAAGAAATCAACAGAAATAGAAAAACAACCACAGGGCACTACAGTTAGTCACTGACCATGTTAGAACTGTGTTATATTTTAACGGGTGTTTGTAAAGAGATTTCCTTTTTAAATGTACCTGAAATTGTAGTGGGAGGCTTTACTGGGTGTTCCCAACACTTACCCATAAGTTATAGCAGAACGGGAATTGCTGTGATAACCCTGGAAGCAAAAACAAATGACTACACATTGCTTCCATCAGAGAAATAAGTAGTAGAAATGTGTCAGTTCAGCTCAGTTCGTAGCACCCGCCTCTGGGTCAGAAGGTTAGAAGATCGTGGGTCAATAGCCACATTGAGACTTTGAGCTCACAGTCTAGACTGACCCTCCAGTGCTGCTTTGTCAAATGAGATATTGAACTGAGGTCCTGTCTCTCTGCTCAAGTGAATGCTAAAGACTCCCTGACACTATTCAAACAGCAAAGAGAGATTTTCCTTTGGTCCTTTTAAAGGTTCACAAAGCTGCATAGCATACAATGGTTTATATGGGGAAAACATTTTTTGCATTGGAGGTTCTTTTGCGGCAGGACACGCAGCAATGATGTCAGATAGAGCATTTTTGGGCCCTAGAATGGGGTATAAACAATAAACAAGGCAAACAGATTGCTAAATTGCCATATCAATGGAATTCAGCTCCCAAGCTATACAATGCTCTGGTTTAAGCCACACCTTAAGCATTGTGTAGGATGCTGGTCTTTGTGACAAAAAGAGGCTGCTCAGGGCCTAGAAACAAAGGAGAGCAACAAAGATGATCCCCTAAATTTACAATACAACACTAAATTACATTTGTATAGCATCTTTCACATCAGGAGGACATCCCAAAGCGCTGGACAGTCAAGGATTTGGACCTGAGCTGGGGGTTGGGATCAGGGAGGATGGATGGCAGAGCGGGTAGGAGGGTGGCTGAAGGCTGGGTCAAAAAGGAGGGTCTTGAGACATGCCTTGAAGGAGGCAAGGGAGGAAGCGAGGCAAAGCGAATGTGGGATGAAGGTCCATAGGTTGGGGACAGAAAGGCTAAAGCCCCTACCGCCAATGGTGGGGCGGGTTGGGCTGGGGGACATGGGACAGGCCAGAGCCTGCTGAGTGGAGGGAGCGGACAGGTTAATATAGGTTCAGCAGGTCGCAGAGGTAGGGAGGGGCAAGGTCAAGGAGGGCCTTGAAATCGAGGACAAGGATTTTGAACTCTATCCTCTGCGGCATGGGGAGTCAATGGAGCCGGGCGAGGGTTGGGCTACTTGGGTCACGGAGCCTGGTGCGGGAGAGGACATGAGCTGCAGAGTTCTGGATGATCTGAAGCTTGCAGATGGAAGAGTTGGGAAGGCCGGCAAGCAGGAAATCAAATCATAAGGCCGAGAAACCTTTTCATTTGAACCTGTCCTGTGATCTCCTGTGAATACTACGGTTTAGTTTTCAGATAAGAGTCATTTTATCTCAGATAAGAGTCATAATAATTCCTTCAAAACAAATAATTGGTCATTCAATCCACGACTGTTTGTGGGACACTGCTGTGCGCAATTGGCTGCTGTGTTTCGCCCAAAAAATATACAGTCAATTCACTTCACAGTATATTCTGTGAAGTACTTTGAGACGTCTTGAAAACATGGTATGAAAACATCAAATGCAAGGATTATTATTATATATTATCTTGAATGTCATTGTTAACGTTACTGAAGATATTTATGTCAATGACACCATTTTCTGCTGGCTTTATCTATTTACAGGCGACATTTGAAGGCTGGTTGGAAATTATGGCCAATGCTGCTGATACCCGAGGGGTAGGTTCACAATTTTGTTTATATTGAATGAGAAACCATTAACTCTACAGGAGCATCAAGCCCTAGGTTCTTACAATAATTTAAGATCATTGCTGTGCAATTTTACTAATTACATGAAAAATGCCTTATGGACTGAAAATGTCAGTTCATGGGAGGCAATTTAAATATAAAACACAGAATGTATCTACTCTTATTTCATTTATTTCCACTCCCAAGACCTTGATCTTATATGCCTGAAATCCCACCTAGTTTTAGCCTGCAAGACAAATTTGTCTTATAATATGAGATAGAAAGAGATGGATTATAGAAAATTTCTACATTGAGTTATATATTTGAGAGTCGGTTTTCCACAGTTTTTTCTAAAAACAACTATCTTCCAAATAGAGATTTTAATTTATAATAATTAAATTTAAAATTAATTAATTTCCCACAATTATTCACAATCTTAAATTTTAAGACAAAATGTTTTTCTCCCCCACCACCACCCCCGCCCACCACCTCCCTCCCTGTGGCTCTCACCCCATGCAGGACTGTCCCACCCACTGGGAAAAGTAACGCTCCAAGGCCTGGTCATTACTAAATCTCCATTCTAATGCAATGCAATATAAAATACATTTGTATGGTGCCTTTCACATCGGGAGGATGTCCCAAGGTGCTGGATTATGGATGATGTGTGACTCAGGGAAACCTGGTCTCCTTGTTTCACACACCACCCATAATGGTGATACTGAGAGATGCATTAGAATATCAATGGTGATACAATAGAGGGGATTTTAAAATAAATACACAAATTACAAAAACTTTAGCAATAATCTGCATCTCAAAGGCTCCTCAATAGATTGTCAATAAATTTACTAAACATCAGAGCATCAAACAACTCACCCACCACCATGGTTAGTAATGCCTTGCATGAATGAATCAGTAAAGTAGACACAAAGTGGGCACCTTCTGACTAATATCAGGGAGGCGTTTTGTACAACCAATATGTGCCAGTTGCAGGTCATTTCCACATGCTTCGCTCTGTATTTTGATAGCAAATATGAGAACTCAATGAAAACTAAAAAGATGTATCTCAATTGGTACGCATATGAGAACTGTATAGAGCTGGCAAGTGGCCGTGGTCCATTGAGACTGCTCATATTTGGCTTTTGGCGTCACCAGAGCATATTTGTTTCCCATTTGCTACACTCAACTGATTAACTCCTAAACTTGAACAAAGTGGCTTGGAATGCTGACTATTTTTAAATAGTAGGTTTGCTTCCAAACTTAATGCAGGAAATTTCCTGTTTACTGACGTTACCATTGAGATCACTTGAATAGATCAGCAGAAACTAAAATTGGTTGTTAAATATTGAAGCTTCACACTGTTACATATTCAAGTGTGTGATATAGTTGAAGCAGTAAGTGTGTAAGTGAAACAGATCAGGTCCTGCTTTTGACCAGCATCCTCTCCACAAATAAAACTATAATAATTCTTTGACTGTACAAAGATATTTATCAGTTTGTAAATTCGGAGGAAGATTGTACATTTTAAAAACGTATTGTCCATTTTGGTTTTACTGCTTAAAATAGAATTGTTCATACTTCTACCAGACTGTAATACTAACACTTGTATTGTCTTTGGCAGATCGACTTTCAGCCTGAAATGGGAGCAAATCCTTATAGTCTCTTCTACTTTGTTGCTTTTATAGTCATTGGAACATTTTTCACTCTGAATCTTTTCATTGGTATAATTATTGACAATTTCAACACCATGCATAAAAGGGTGAGTTTTTGAAAGTAATATTAATCTCGATTATATTATCCCTTCATTTGGATCAGTTGGTAAACTCTCGCCTTAGGTTCAGAAGGTTGTAAGTTTGAGCCCTGCACCAGGGCTTGAGCTCATAATCTAGGTTTATATTGCAATGGATGACTGAGGGAGCAATGCTATATCAGAGATGATGAATTTTGTTAAACCAAGGTTTGATGTGCCTGTTTACAGATGGATATTAAAAAGCACATGGCATACAATACCAAATAGCATTTGTAAAGTGCCTTTCACAGTCAGGAATTTGGACCTGAGCGGGGGGTTGGGATCGGGGCGGGTGGAAGGGAGAGAAGGTAGGAGGGTGGCCAAAGTCGTGGTGGAAGATCAGGGTCTTAGACGTGCCTTGAAGGAGGCAAGGGAGGGAGCGAGGCGAAGGAATTGAGGGATGGAGTTCCAAAGGATGGGGGCGGAGAAGTTAATTAAACAGAGTTTAAAATGAGAAGAAAGTTTTGCCCAGTGCCCTGGCCAACAATCCTCAAAATTAAAATGACATTTCTAGGAGCACAAATATAGGCTGACACTATTACTATGCTCTTCATCATTGCATAACCGGATTGTGCATCAGTGGTACACCAGAAATGTGATACATGTATGGCTTATGGTGCTGATTGGCCGATTGTGGATGCACAATATGATATCATTCTCACCTTCCAGTCAGACGTTGTGGGTTCAAGCTCCACATTGGGACTTTGAGCTCACAGACTACAACATAGTGCTGGATGTGCTCTGCATTGTCAGGGATGCCATCCTTTGGATGAAAGGTTAAACCAAGGCCCCTTCTGCTTGTTAAAGTGGGCATTAAAGATCCATGGTTCTATTCTAGAAGAGAAGGAAGGGAGTTTCTCCTGTGTCTTGGCTAACAATTCCCCAGGTAAAATTGGTCATTCATTCCATGGCTTTTTATGGGACATTATATGCAAATTGGTTGGCGCTTTCAGCCACAAATACGCTATCAATACACTTTATAGTAAATCCTGTGATGTTGAGCAGACATATTATCATTAATATTAATAATAATCCTTGCATTTGATATAGCGCTTTTCACGTCGGGAGGACGTCCCAAAGTGCTTCACAGAACACACTGTAAAGTGAATTGACTATATTTGTGGGCGAACACGTCAGCCAATTGCACACAGCAATGTCCCACAAACAGTCGTAGATTGAAAATGACCAATTTATTATTGTTTTGTTTTTTGGAGGGATTATTATTAGGCTCTGTGTGGAGTAAGGAAACTTGCCCAAGGTTTCGCCCTCTGCCTGGAATTGAACTCAGGTCTCTCACTTGCAAAGCGAGTGCTCTAACCACTGAGCTTCCATGTTAGGAGAATGTCTCAAAGTGCTTTACAGGACTTACTGTAAAATCTAGTGACTATTTTGGAGGTGAACACAGCAGCCAATTTGCCCACAGACAGCCACAAAGTGAACGCCAATTTTATCTGGAGAATTATTGGCAAAGACACTGGGAGAAACTAACTTATGTTTGAAAACAGTGCTATGGGATCTTTACCATGCACCTGAATGGGCAGATGGGAACTCAGTTTAGCATCTCATCTGAAGGATGTCACCTCCAATATGCAGGGCTTCTCCAATACTTCATTGTATGGTCACCCTAACCTAGACTATATGAGCCCAAAGTCCCATAATGGGGCTTGAACTCACAACCTTATGACCCAGAGGTGGGAGTGCTACCACCTGAGTCAGGCTGTCTCCTAAATAGTATTTTATCCAAGGGATTGTGGATTGGTGCAATGCCACTACAACTACACATTGTTCCTAAAAGGAAATGGGTGCAAGGCCAACTCATGCATCACACTTTTCTACAAAGTTTTAATTTACGGATTATGCGCATTTTACAAATACCGATTCAAACTATTTCCGTCTCTGTGGTGATACAGAATGGAGCCTGCTACATTAACACGTATGGCCAGAGCATCATTCTACACTGAGCTAAGAAAACAAACAAAATAATACATATGCACAAGATTTGCTGGTGGTAGATAATGCAATCAGGCCCATCATCTCTTTTTTCCTTAAGTAAGCTCAAACGCGGACCTCCAGAGATTAGGTCCAGTGATTAAAATGTAAGTCCTAGTTAGCTGAGGCACCTTGTCTGCATACTTTCCACATTGTTTGTTTATTTATGTTGAAATTGGGAATTGGGTCCAATCCTGGATTGTCACATATGATACAGTAATTGAAAGCAGGCCTACATTTCTCTATCTGTGATATTCTCGTGGGGAGTACTGATAAACCAAAGAAAACAGAACAGAAACAGCAAGTCCTACAGATGGCAGACAATGCTTTGTAAGAATGCAGTAATCTCAGATGAAATCTGTGGTGCAACATGCAGAGATTTTGTCTCAGTTTTTTGCATTTCTGAATTTGCTTTTGCTTTTGTTGCAGTCACGAAAAGAAGGTGCGTTAGTCACGCTTCTCACTGAAGATCAGAGAAGATTTTATAGCACGTTCAAACGTCTTTCTCAAGCTAAACCAACTAAGAAAATTCCCGCTCCTAAGGTATGCTTTGATAATGTATCTTGGCTTTAATAAAAATATTCAGATGCTGCTTTTATGATACAGAACAGGATCATTAACGAATAATAAAACGCTAATAAAATTTGGTATAGAGCTTTATCACGAATTCTAGACATCTCAAAGCGCTTCACAGACTATACTGTAAAGTGAATTGACTGTGTATTTGTTCAACACACTGTTGAGGGTTTGACGTCATTTCTTTTATGCCCCTTGTAATTTAGCAGGATTTGCAGGAGCAGAACAAGATTGTCTGTCGTTTTAGTGCTTGTACTGAGTTCTTCTAAATATCACCAAATGCTATTAATTTTCTAATATTATTAAAGAGAATGAAATTGATTTCTTTGTTAGAACTAAAAAGGGTGTTTGCAGTCCAGTGGACTTTCAAAAGTTACATTTTTAAACTTCATTTGAAATCGGCTGCGGTAAAAATGGATTTACACTGAGGCCAACGTCAATTATTTACATCAACTGTGCAGCGTGGAAACAGGTCATTCAGTCTAACCAGTCTGTACTGGTGTTTATACTCCACATGAGTCTCCACCCACTCCTTCCTCACTCGCATGCCCAGAATCCCAGTGCTTCTATTCCCCTCTCCCTCAAATGTACTGTGTATCCAACTTCCTGCTAAGCTTATCTATACTATCTGCTTAATCACCATTTCAGGCAGCGAGTTCCACATTCTCATTATCTTTTGCATGAAAAACATCTTCCTAAATTTTCTTCTAAATCCCCTCATCACTATCTTTTACTTGACTTATTATTCATTATTATTACCTTATCATTGTCTTATTATACATTATTCAATTTATGGACCCATGAAAAAGTAGAACAGCCTATTTATGCTAACCAAATTGAACCCATTTATAATTCTAAACACCTCACTTAGATCCCTTCTTAAACAACAACAACAACAACAAGATTCCATTTATAGAGCGCCTTTCACGTCGGGAGGACGTCCCAAGGCGCTGTACAGTTGGATCAGGACCCGAGCAGGGGGGAAATGGTCAAGGTGAGGGGAGGGAAGGGAGGGAGCAAGGAGGGGGTAGAGAGTCGAGAGGGGAGCTGAAGGCACGGTCAAAGAGAAAGGTCTTGAGACCGGCCTTGAAGGAGGAAAGGGAGGAAGCAAGGCAAAGGCACTGGGGATAGAGTTCCAGAGCCTAGGGGTTGAGAGGCTGAAGGCCCGGCCACTGATGGTAGGGCGGTTGGGGCGGGGGATGTGGAGCTAACCGGAGCCAGAGGAATGGAGGGTATGGGCAGGTAGGTAGGGGGATAGTAGGTCAGAGAGGTAGGAGGGAGCAAGGCCGTGAATGGCCTTGTAGGTGAGGATGAGGATCTTGAATTCGATCAGCGAGGGTGGGAGTGATGTGGTCGCGAAGCCTGGTGCGGGACAGTACACGAGCTGCAGAGTTCTTTGCCAGTAAAAAAAAGGCATAACCTACCCAGTTGATTCTGAAAGCAGGCATTGTGTTTTATTGAGAAACCTAATTGATTTGCTAAAACCTAAATTCTATTTAAGTATACATTTAGGAACTTGTGTTTGCTGGGAAAGAAAATATGTGACATTGCTTCCAGTAGCAGAGCAATTCAAAGCATGAAAGCAGCAACAACAACAAAGGTTTTGCAGGGCGAAACCTTGGGCAAGTTTCCTTACTCCACATGTTTAATAATAATCTCTCATGAAAAAAATAAAGAAATTGGTCACTTCAATCCACGACTATTTGTGGGACACTGCTGTGTGCAATTGGCTGCCACATTTTGCCCACAAATATACAGTCAATTCACTTTACAGTATATTCTGTGAAGCGCTTTGAGTCACCTCGAAGACGTGATAAGGCACTATATCAAATGTAAGGATTATTACAATTTACATTTGTATAGCACATTTTACGTCAGGAGGATGTCCCGAGCTGCTGGATAGTCCAGGGTTGGTATCGAAGCTGGGGGTAGCAGCCAAGGTGGGGTGGAAGGTTGGGGATGGGGGAAAGATGACCAAAGGCACAATCAAAGAATAATATCTTTAGACAGACTCTGAAGAAGGAGAGGCGAGCGAGCTGAAGGGTCTCCAAGATGGAGTTCCAGAGAGTGGGGGCAGGAAGGTTGAAAGTCCGACCACCAATAGTGGAGCAGATAGGACCAGCGACATGGAGCAGGCCATTGGAGGGAGGGAAGAGGAATTATACTTCCTGCTCTGAATTGCTCTTGTCAGACGCTGAATTAAATGAAAGTAAAGCATTATGTGTACCTAACTATACAAATCCACAGAGCTCCACTGCATAGCTTTGATCACTTGTTAATTATATTTTAAGGCAGTGTAGATCTGGGAGTAAACTGGTTCTCACAATTCTCTTTTTCCAGCAATATCCAAAATATTAGAGGCAGTTAATTGCTTTACATCGCTAGTGGTTACCCTTCCTGCCATGCACAACACAAAAATAGCTGCAGCTTAAGTCACTTAAGGTTTTATTTAATTAGTGACTTTTACATTTTCGTTTTCAATCTTACAACGTCCAGAGTGAAACTGTATTTTTTGTACCTGGATGCATTAAACTCTATGTGCGCTCTGATGTGTCCATTTCTACACCTGACCACATTAAGGATGAAATTGGAGCTTTTACTCTGTCCTCAGCAGAAGCCTATAAAAAAATAGAAAATTATGAAGGAATTTTAGCTCAAATCAGTCACCAGTCCACTTACAGTAAAAGCTTGTAATTCAGTCCAGAGTACACTAGTATCAATATGGAATGGACACACTCCACAGGAATCCCCTTGGCTGGTGTCACTCGAGAGAATCTGTTACACTTCCTTAACAACTGGTGGATGTTTGTGAACTCTACAGAGGAACCTTTCAAACACAGATTGCTAAGGGAAAAACACCTGGTACATATGAATAAAGTATTGTTTTCAAAGTAGTTACCCGTAAAGTTTTTGATTACTTTTTTTTTCAATTCTTGTTTAAAATAGCAACATTATATTGAAATGGAAATTTCGGTACAAACGGAATTAAAATACTGAAGTATTCCATCTCTTTTCCGTGCAATCTAATAAAATAATATGGGATAGCAATTTACTCTATTAAAGTAGCATTTCGGAGTGTATTAACTTTGGCAAATTATTGAATTCAGTTTTCACTTTAAACTTAAAAGAACTTACAGAAACTGGCATAAAAATTACAGACTGTATTTAAGAATTTGATGATCTCTAAAGTGCCACTTTAACAGCATAAATCTAGACCCAGATGAATTTTATGCCAGGCATGCCTCAGATATGCATTATTTAGTAAATTATAGTATGTGAACCAGAAAACTATTACCAAATAAAAAATGATATGTGACACGATGTTTCATATAATGAAGTTCAACCTCAATGTTACAATTAGCATTAATACCTTAGGACCTACATTGATTTAGTGTAACAACTACAGATATTTCATGAGCATTGAGGTCACTGAGGATTTCTCTGTTCGATTGTGCTACCTATTGATAAAACCATCTCCAGACAATTTACCATTAATTTCATAAGTCTTAACTTGTATTATTTATATCAGAATGGTATTACATTAAAAGGCTAACAAAAGTCAATTAAAGTTTCCATCCTTGACATGTAGGTGCATGAGGTCATGGGAAGGTCAAGCTAGTAAACTCATTTTCAATCTACAATTTCCCTGAATAATGTTTGAATTCTAATTTATTACAATTTTCGGTGTAACATTTTCTGCTTCAAGGAATTTTAAAGTTCTTTGCGTATCATCTGGTAATAATCAAATGTTTAGACATTTTCAACTTGAAGGGTTTTTAATTGGCCTCTTCAAAAGTGACTTCCCTGTTTCACTCTGATCATGATGGTATATTTTGCAACAATTGTTGTAGATTTGTATTGCATTGCAAATCTGTGGATATTATTATATTGTAAAGCTTTAAGGTCTTGGTAGGAGGTCCTCATGATCTTATCTGTTTGTGTAATTGTCCAATGTCCATTTATGACGTGAAGTCAAAGCGGTGTGTGATGGTCTCTCATTGATTTTGTTCATTTGGGATTGTGTTCTTTACACTTACAGATGAATAGCAGAGTTAATTCAACCCATATAAACCAGTCAAACTGGCCCATTAGCATTCACAATCAAAGTCTATCTTATGTTGCTGAAAATGGTACATGAAAATGTTCCCACTTCAACCATGACACACTTATAAGAGTAATAAGTCTGCAAACTAAAGGAATTAGCACATTATCTCATTTCCTCCTCCTGTGCATCTTTACAGTGTTGTGTTACTCTCTGTTTCACTCCTCTTTGCCCTTTCAATGACACCTAAAATAGATCTGTTCTTATCACACTCTTCATAGATGTTGTCTATGGAGGGGAAAATTATATTTTTGGTCAATTAATATGAGGGGTATCTATAAGATCATTGCTAGTGTTTATCAACCTGGCTAGTTTTAGCTTCTGAGCTTCTTTATTAAACTTTGTGCGGCAAGGGATCTTGAGAGCAGCAGAAGTCATTGAAAACATCCTGTTCTGCATTCCTAATGAGTATTATATTCTGTGACTGCTGGAAAATACACAGGATGCTTTCACTGATACCCACATCCTTAAACAGTTACTTATATCTACACCTGGAGACACCTCTGCTACTGCTGATCCCACTGCTTTCAGAAAGAGCCTGTTCATTAACCTCTTCTGGACTTCCCCAAAGATATATGTTTGATTTCAGTTTTTAGTTGAAAGTGTCTCCATTTCATTGATTCAAATTTACCTCTTTTTAAGTAAGAATAAGACGTGCAGCCCCCCTTCGCCACAACTTCACTTGTGAGTTGGTGGGTAGCTATGTTGATATTATCACAGCTGAAAAATTGATCTGCTGCGAAAGGGGAAGGGGACCAATTAAGGCAACTCTTTCAAATTATTTAGCTGAAACAGATGTTCTATTCGACAACACAGCTGGTGTTTCTTAACACAATATGTTTAAGGGAACCCTAGAGCAATCATTCAGTGATAAGACTGATGGTGGGTGGCCTATTCATACCGTTCAGTTAACTGCCTGTGCTGGGACTGTTCCATACAGTAATTTAAAATGCTTCACTTATACAGTGCTTACAGTGTCAATCGCGTCAAACGAACAATAAACCTATGGTACGCACCAGTTTCAAATGAAATACTGTAACTGGTTTTAAACCTCTTCCTGAATCGACTTCCAGATGTGGTTTCAGGAATGAATCAATACAAATGGTTGTAGTATTTGTCCCCTTTTCCTGCAGCTGATGCAAAAGGGACTTGTAAACAACAAAACAAACTTTTCAATATTATTAAAATTGTTTGAGCTATCATGTCCCATATTTTTTATAGATTATCAAGCTTTGAATGGCAGGCAATGTTTCCTCTGTGCTAGTGCTTAATTGTAGATCCATAGAATTCAACTATGGCCCCAGGCCCAAGCAATTTGGAGCATGCAGTATTATTCCAGTTTCCCACTCCAGATTGGGAGTAAATTATTAGATTTTCACACAGCAAGTTGTTCGGATCTGGAATGCACTGCCAGTGTGGTGAAAGCAGATTCAACAACAATGCTCAAGAGAGATAGTCCTAGTTGTCCTTAGTCCTTGCATTTGATATAGCGCTTTTCACGTCGGGAGGACGTCCCAAAGTGCTTCACAGAACACACTGTAAAGTGAATTGACTGTATATTTGTGGGCGAACGCGGCAGCCAATTGTGCACAGCAATGTCCCACAAACAGTCGTAGATTGAAAATGACCAATTTATTATTATTTATTTATTTTTTTTGGAGGGATTATTATTAGGCGTGTGGAGTAAGGAAACTTGCCCAAGGTTTCGCCCTGCCTGGAATTGAACTCAGGTCTCTCGCTTGCAAAGCGAGTGCTCTAACCACTGAGCTACAGGACTGCACGATATTTGGGGAGGACAAATTTGCAAGGCTATGGGGAGAGAGCGGGGAGTGGGATTAATTTGGATAGCTCTTTCAAAGAACCGGCACAGACATGATGGGCCGAATGGTCTCCTTCTGTGCTGTATAATTCTATAATTCTATGATTGCTCTACTTCAACTGCTTGGAACATCCTCCCAACATGAAAGCACTATATTAATGCAAATTTGTAAATTTGTTGTTGTTGTATGTGATGCCACATCATAGCAGATCATAGCAAATGTGACAAAAATATCTGGTGTTATTTTGTAAATGATATCAATGTGCACAGCATCAACTGATCTATATATGAATGTTTACTAAAATAGAATTGAAAGTATCATTTCTAGACTGTTAAAATTGTAAATTATTACATTGTAAATTACTACGCATCTTAAATTTACAAAGTACAGAACAGTTGTGATAAAATGTGTTTACTTAACAGCACATGGAATAAACGTTACAAAGAATACTTGATTTAATGAAACATTTTAGTTGTATTGTCTATGCGATTACTCTGACATAATTTGCTGTATAATGAATTTATGTAGATTATATTTTAGTTAGATTGTAAATGTTAGATTAGGACATGGTTTGAACATAAGCATATTTTAGGAAGATTGAGATTGTGGGAAAGAAAGCTTTAAATGATGTTCCTTTACTAATTGTTTTTATTTCTTTTCAACAGAATAAAATATCTTTGCAGTTCTACAAGCTAGTGAGCCATAAAGGTTTTGAGCCTTGCACCATTGGCCTGATAACCTTGAACGTGTTGGTAATGGCATGCGATCATTATGGGCAGACAAAAACATTTGCCACTGTTTTAAATTGGTTCAACATTATCTTCACAGCCTTATTCACACTTGAAGCAGTTGTAAAACTTTCAGGCCAACGTCTATACTACTTCACTCAAGCCTGGAATATCTTTGATTTTATAGTTGTTATTCTTTCCATTGCAGGTAACTCATATGTTTACTGTTATATTTTTTTCTTTGGTAAAGGAGGTGAGGGGAGGATTTTTTCTTAAAAGGGAAGATTTTTTCAAAGTGCAATAGCCAAGGCTATATGATCCCATAGTGTGTGCATTGGGAGTACTGCTGGAGTAACCAGTTAAAGCCTCACAACTTGCTATTGAAAGCACTTTTCTGGCAGGCTTCCTACTGCTTGTCCAGCTATGACCACCCTATCCATTAAAATATTGGCTTGTAGGGTTAACAGGAGCTGAGTGGGAAGAATTCCAGTTCCCACTGGAATATCCCTGAAATCATGTCAGCTGAGTCAACCAAGGAACAAAATAGATCCATTCATGAACCCAGTATGGAGTTGTATCTTTCTGCTCAAACATATAAAGAATATAGGGGTTTGTTTGCTTTTTATAACTATTAATTTTTTTATGTAGCTTTTTTAAAATTATTTTTACAAAAATATCAAATAACTTAGTCATTAGTCATTAGACATATTCCCTAATTGTAACTGCAGTGTTTCATTGTGATTTACAAGGACAACGAGAAGCATAACACAGAAACAATGGGCTGAATGGTGTCTTTCTGTTCTGAAAATGTATACATTTCTGTGATATCATCAGACACACCTGCTGTAATGTGCATGTCATATTATTTTCTGTTAGATCAGCTTTCGTTATATATTAATAATAATTCTTGCATTTGATATAATGCCTTATCATGTCTTCAAAATGTCTCAAAGAATTTCTCACAGTATACGGTAAAGTGAATTGACTGTTTTGTGAGTGAAATGTTCTTTCACAAGTAGGCACAGATATTTATGAAAAAAACATCGAATTTTGCTATTCTTGGAATATTGAATCTATTGGGATTATTAATTCAAAGGCCAATTCAAAGTGGAAAATATATTATATTATGATACCTGTGGTTTTAATTTGGAGGAAATTATTTGAGTATTTGTGTATCTGTGGAAATGTGACTTCAATTTAAATGATGAATCACACCTTCCAAAAGAAAAAAACTTGAATTTACTTATTTCTTTTCTGTACACTCTGTTTAAATAGATTATTCCTAGCCCAGACAATCACCCTTTTAACAACAAACTAGACGACAATTGGATTTAAAGGGGTTGGAGCTGTTCTCCTTTATTCACCTTAAAGGGATAATAATAATAATCCTTGAGGATGGGCGTGATAGGGTCGCGGAGCCCGGTGCGGGAGAGGATACAGGCTGCAGAGTTCTGGATGATCTGCAACCTATGGAGGGAGGAGTTGGGGAGGCCGACAAGCAGGGAGTTTGTGTAGTCGAGCCTGGATATTATGAATGCGTGTATGAAGGTCTCGGCAGCCTGTGGTGTGAGACAGTAGCAGAGCTGGCAATGTTGTGGAGGTGGGAGATATCAGTTTAGAGGCTCAATGTGGGGCTTAATCCCATAGTCTTCTGACTCAGAAGCGAGAGGGCTACCACTGTGCCAGGCTAGCGACAATAATAATAATAATAATAATAATAATAATCCTTGCATTTGATATGGCGCTTTTCACGTCGGGAGGACGTCCCAAAGCGCTTCACAGAACACACTGTAAAGTGAATTGACTGTATATTTGTGGGCGAACGCGGCAGCCAATTGTGCACAGCAATGTCCCACAAACAGTCGTAGATTGAAAATGACCAATTTATTATTATTATTTTTTTTTTTGGAGGGATTATTATTAGGCGTGTGGAGTAAGGAAACTTGCCCAAGGTTTCGCCCTGCCTGGAATTGAACTCAGGTCTCTCTCTTGCAAAGCGAGTGCTCTAACCACTGAGCTACAGGACTCCACAAGCAGATATCTTCCTCTTCTGAAAAAGCAAGCAGAATATACAGACCCATGGGCTCTTCCTAAAGACTCCAAAGGAGTGTCTTTGCAACACAAGGTAAGAAGTCAATTTGTATCTCCAGTACAAAACAGACTTCTTCCTTACTGTTAATACAGTAATAGAGAGCATTGATTTTTGATGAAGAAAATCACTTTTTGTGCTCCTGCATTTTGCTAAAATGAAGAGATCATACAGAATTTTGCAAAATGTTTAAATTCAATTTGAATTTGGAAACCACTTTCAAAATTGGGATTGAATTTAAGACTTTTCTAAAACTGCACAATCCTAAATTTTTGGTAATGGTTTTAAGACTACACCCTGAGGAATATCAGACTTCCGGTGGCATGATAATTGGTGATTAATTGTTGCTAAACGAACTCCAACTGCTAGACTAATCTATCACTATTGTTGCTCAAATGTAGTTACCACTCACTAAAGACTCCATAAAGACAATGGTAAACCTAAACCACAAAGAACTCCTGATTATTTTAGTCTAAGGTGTACTCAGCACCAACAGGATTCCTGTTATTATCACAGCAGTCACCAGTAATCTCTGTAAAACAATGGAACAGTTTGATACTTATGCCTGTCATTAATTAATGAAATTCAAAGTGGAAGAAGATAATCTCTTCAGTCACCACAGTTAATATAGAACAGTGGGATTTTTAACAAGCAATAATCACATCTGTAACAAAATTGAATTGTGCTGAAGACCAGATATGTCAGCATTGTGTACTGTTTTATAGAACTAGAAATAAAACTACCGATGAGAAATTATTAGAATTTTGCTAAAGAAGCTTGAAAACTGAGGCTGTTAAGATACCACTGCAACTTTGGAATATCTGACTGATGGAAAGATATCATTATACAGAAAATTAAGGATCTAGTTGATGAGCTTTCATCGTTTGAATGTTGAAGATGTATATGATTCAAAATGAGGAGGGAGTTTCTCCTGGTGTCCCAACCAACAATCCCTCAGTTTATACTGATCATGCAATTCATAACTGTTTGTTGGAACATTACTTCGCACAGAATATTTGGCTGCAGCATTCTCCTGTAAATACAGCAAATCCTGAGAAGCACTTTGAAATATCTCAATGGCGTGATAAGGCACCAGATCTAATGTAAGGATTATTAATATTATCATAAAGATGTGTTTCAAAGATCCTATTAAACGTTCCCAAGCTTTTGAGTAGCTCCCCACATCTTAAATGTCAACATAGGCGAATTATTTCTTCAGAATTTCTATATAAAGGACATCTGTGTGCAAGATGGTGAATCTTCATGAATATAGACTTAGTGGAGAAATCTTGAAGGATGTAAACATGCTGACTGATCTTTTGAACAACCACGGTTAGCTAACAGGTAAACCATCATGTCCTAAACAGGACACAATGGTCAATATATGTTGCATCCAAACAGGCTCGGCGTGCTCAATAAGAGGATCGTTTTAAAATTGGGATTCTATCAACTTTCTCATCCTGAGAAGAGAAACTCATCAACACAAATGCCGTATGCAATGCCATTAAAAGGATTAGTTGCATTCCCGAAGGGAAGTTCTGGAACAACCTATGTTCCAATGGACATAAGAATGATGTATTGGGATAAAGTATTTTTCCATTGTCAAAATCGGGGTGGAATTAGTAGCTATTTGCAATAATTTAAGGGGAAAAAAGGACCTTGCATAAAATGCAACATTCGCCACAAGAGGTGATGATGTGATTAGAAGTATACAATTAAACATAACATGTTTAACAATCTTATTGAGCAACGCTGAACTGCATCAGAGGACGTTATATAAATGGACCGTTTCAGTGACGGACTTGGAATAGTATTGGAATTGATCAGGACGTGGATCATCTGGACCACGTAATATTAATAGCTATAATTCACAGCTCATTCGTCCTTCCAAACCCCCCCCCCCAAAAAAAATAAAAAAATTGGCGTTTATAAGATCCAGGGGAACCGCGGCGTTGAATGTCAGTCTTGTGCCTCTGTGCGGTATTGACTCTGCGTTTTCTTCGTGTGCCATTAGGAATTTTATTGGACTCCACTGCATCCAAAAAGCAAGCGGTTTCCCCAACTATTTTGCGGGTGTTCCGCATTGTGCGGCTCGCCCGCTTACTGAGGCTGGTGAGGTCCTTGAAGGGGATTCGAAAGCTCCTCTTCACGTTGGTCATCTCCATCCCGGCGCTCTTCAACATCGGGCTGCTGCTGGGTCTTGTTATGTTCATTTACGCCATCCTGGGAATGAATCTGTTCCGCGATCTAACGCGTGAACCCCCGATAAACGACATCGTCAATTTCGAAACCTTCGGCAACAGTATGATGCTCCTGTTCAGGTTAACCACCGCCGCCGCCTGGAATGAGGTCCTGCAGGTGATGGTTCACTCCAAGGAACAGCGTCCATTTGTCGCCATCATCTACATGACATCGTATATACTGTGCGCGAACATAGTCATCATCAACATGTACGTGGCGGTGATTCTGGAAAACTTCCACGAAGCCCAAGAGCAGGAAATCTCCGGAGTGACCGACGAAGACGTGGACATGTTTTATGAGGTCTGGAGCAATTTTGATCCCAACGCGACACAGTTTATCACCTACGAGCAGCTGCCTGACTTCTTACACGAGCTGAAGCATCCTTTGCAGATCCCAAAGCCCAATGCAGTCAAAATAGCTGCTCTCAACTTCCCGTTGGTGGACGGCCACAAGTTGCATTGCCTGGATGTCCTCAAATCTCTCAGCTCTGTGGTGATTGGTAATATAGTGGAGACCGAGCCCTTGAAGAAGCTGAGTGAGAAAACCCTCACTAAAGCAATGAAATTGTTTCCAATTCGAAGTACAATGCGAACGACAACGACTACTCTCATGATACGCAAAGAGATCAAGGCTGCCCTGACTATACAGAAAGCTTTCAGGAAGTGGCAAGTGCGTCAATGCTATAAGGCAGCCAAAAAGAAACACGAAAGGTCTTACAGCTCCTTAAAAAGATCGCTGGGTAGCCTGCGGTCCAGCAGACCCAACTCACCTCTGAGATGATTTTAATGGAATGATGTTTCTGGCTGTAGAAACATTTACAGTGGTTCATCAAACGCTTCATTTTGACATGGGCGCCTTTGCGGTGACACAAGAGAGACCTTTTGAGGAGGGTTGAATGTGAATTGTGTTGGTCCAACATTTTTGCATAAGATTTCTTTTTGTAATTGTAATTGTATGTCATTGATGTTATACTCGAGCACCTTGGTTTATTCGGGGGTATCTGCTTTTGCGGTGACGGTGGATTGTGGAGTCAGAAGGCAATGATCATGGGCAACTATGACTATTTGGGAGTCTGCCTTGAGGGGTAGAATGTGTCAAGGCGGAGATCAAGAAATTACGTTTAATACCTGTAAGTTGACGTTACATGGAATGATTTGCAAAGCAGTGATTTAAACGTATAAAACGTATACAGCAGTAGTGGTCGAACACGTATAAACATGGCACAATGCGGATCAGGCAAACTGTCCTGGGTTTGCATGTACTTTTATACAAAAAGCTTGGCTTGTCTGCGGATTGGCGATCTGTGATCTGATGACTCACAGCATTGAGGTAGTGAGCAGATCAAAATGTAGACACATTCCCAATGCACCGAGAAGGAACACGACTTTGGTGTACAGTATAATATTGAGTGACAAAGGTTTTAATACAGTTCAAAGTGTCTTCTGGCGATCCAATTCACTGTTTTAAGTTTACACTTTTCAAATGCTCAGTTGGTTCCTAATTACCTTTTTCACAGGTGTCACCAGCGCCTGCCCTTGAACCTCAAACTATGCTGTTTGTAAACTTTGATTCACAGAAGACTAAATAACAATAAAGGCTCTCGAGTATTTGCACAATCACTTGTCACAGTAGTCAGATTTCTTGTGATTATGAGTTATTTTCAAGCAAGGGAAGAGTACATTGGAATTGGGTTTTCGAATCTCTGAAAAATAAGAGATAAAGCAAGATTATTTATTTAGATACTTCGTGGCATTTTGTCTGAAAAAACTGATGTTATTTTTCAAAATTATTTGTAAAATTTGATTTGTTATGTGCTTAGAATCTAATAGAGATCCAGAAAATATTTATTCGATGTTAAGTTTAGAGCCATCGTTTGATTGTTTAGGCGAGGTGTAAGATGTAAGTATAAGACATTATGATAGAAGTTAATAGCAACAGAATAAGAACAAAACTAAGTTCCAATATGTATTAATAACGCATCACTGTATGTTAAAAGATCATTAACAATTAGAAACGCTATGCCATTGACAGTTCACTGATAACAGTCAATTTGTGATTGTTTACAAGATAACGGTGAAGTAATAGCCAGTTCACTTCCATGATAAATTTAGTTTCATAGTTTTGTTTTGTTTGAAACAAAAGCAATATGTATACAGTACAAGACATTATAAGACTGCGCTGTGGTGTTTGTATGTCCACAAGTGGTTTAATTTTATTTATATATTAATCACAAATGGACTAAGTAAGTAGATTACGTAAGTGCTAAACACTTTTAGTTTGTGTTGTTTAAAAGGGCACATTTTCTTTATATGATACATTCTTGACATAGAGTTGCGTAAATGCTTTTAAACTCTTTTATAGATGGACTGTTGTCAATCTTATCTGTGCTACTTCATATAATTGACAGTGATGTACATTTAATGAACACCGTGTGATTTGTGAAACTGCATTCCTCTCTTTCCCTGTAATATACCAGTGTGTCTATACATGCATTACTTTAAGCATTTCCAAACTGGAAACTGGACCTGACATATCGTTGCCACTCACGTGTCGATTAATGATACACACAACTGTTTCTGTTATGTTCTGTTGGTTATAAAATAGAAGGATCCGTGTAATTAATTGTTTGAATATACATCACACGAAAGAGCAAAGTGATGCACAATATACCAAAACTCTTTATATATATATACATAATTACAGTGACATTTTCAATAATGTCAATAATCAACAACTCAGATTAAGTTTTTAATGATCGAAATGATAACGTCTGTAACTAACAGTGCAGTTAGTACAAATACAGCGACTGTTTTGAGATGTTTCATATTTCCTAAAGCCACACGTGAACTTTGCCTGTGTTAGTGCAAACCGATAGAGAAATCTGACATTTCGATCCAATTGTGATTTTATTCTGTGTGTAGTATGCACAGAGGATAATGTATGTGTGTGTGAGTGAGTGCGTGTGTGTGAGTGTGTGAGTGAGTGCGTGTGTCTGATTGATTGATTTGGTCCTATTGGTCTCCAAGAGTGCAATAGCCTCAGTGAAACGTGCGGAGCTTATACTTAAGGCGGAGGGGGAATCGACGGGAACAAAGTGCATCTTCATGTTGAAGTTGGGAGTACTCAGCGGCGCTCTCTATCGAATCGCCATTGCACGACTTGATTGGTGCGAAGCTATTCAGACGAGATAAGTGCGACGCCTTCGGAGTTTTAAAGCTTATCCACTCTGCCAATCACCCGAGCACGACTTCTCCACGATTTAACGCATTGCTCCACTTCACTTGTGCGTTCCCTCTTAGTTTTGGATCCAATAGTGGTCCCTTAAAACCATTTTAAGTCATTTTACGCGTCCGTCCCCCCCCCTCCCCCACCCCACTCCCCCATCCGCACCCCCATGTGCGTCTAACTTACTGTAGGTTTGCATAGTTGTTTGTGAAGTCAACCAAACAGTGTAGATGTTTTGGGTCACTTATCTCGTTGTCACACAATGACTCCTCTCCCTGGTGTTTTTTTTCACGGTCAATACGATTCTTTAAAGTACTACATGAAGCATATCTGCCTTCATCTGTTGGTGAGAGTCGACCTGAAATAATGAATTAAACCCATTAAAGCGCAATGTTCTAACGATAAAATGCAAAAGAAGTGTTGTATTGTTTATTAAATACTGTATCGTATATATACAATAGGCAGTAAAATAACACCCCCTAACGGACAATTAGGGCTCATTCATTTGATATTCAGTAAATGCGAGAATATTTAACCTTTTAATTGTTATTTAGACCTTGCGATGAAAGCTTGTGGGTATAAATTATCTTTATGAGTAAGCTAGACTTCAACTTGTAGACTATACTTCAGAAAATAAGAAGAAATAACTGAATTCCAAGATTATTTGATCAAATCATTTGATATACAATGCAATCTAGTTTGTCCTAGTATCAAACAGATTTTGTCTGTACAATAAAAATAATTGAAACAGTGGCACTGATTTACCATACAAAATTAAAGGGCTTGTTATAATATCAAATGCAGTTGTTTGAAATAATATGAAGTTAATAAAGGTTTATATATCATCAGATTATTTCCACGCTCAAGCGATTTAAATATTTTGTTGATAGTCGCATGAAATATTGTTAAAAATGTTTTTGGACGGATTAGCTATTGGTATCACGAAATACCTCAGCTGTCATGAATAGTTTTTTTTACATAAAATCCGTTAGTTTTCCTACAATAATTGCATTTGTCCAAACCAAGTGCATACAACGTTTGGCCTCCAGAGGTCTCGCTTTTGTTTTCCTCAGACTGTTCTCTACAACTAGGCTTCAGTCTTTCATCTCCTCCTCTGTCTCAGTTTCTTTCTCAGTTTGTGTCCTCACTCACTCTCTCTCCATTTTTGTTTCTTCTCCCTTATTGTTCCTGTCTCCTGAGACACCACTCTCTTTCTCTTTTCTCGCCTCCCTCTCTTTTTTTTTTCTGTGACGAGGTGTAATCCGTGGGATCTGTTTCCCAGATTTTCAAATGTCCTCCCATTGCTTCATCAAGTTTACCTTTATTTATGTTTTCGAGTTTCTACCGTATTCCTTCTCCTCCTTGCCAGCTGCCTCTGCTTTCCACACATCTTCAGGCATCTCCAATTCGCACTTAATCCCCCGACCGCAATAGGTTGAATTACTATAAGGTTCTTCATATGCTTCGATAGCCACTGTGTCATTTTTCTTTTAATATATTTCTGTACTGTAATAGCTGTTCGCCAGGTGTATTAATGCAGTGTCTGAAACTTCTGTTTTGTCAGCTGTCCTTGCTTTTATTATTAAAGCTAATCGCTATAGTGATGCAAAAAAACAAACAGGACATGAGTTCAATATGTGCATGTGTATTTGATAGATTATTTTTTGGCAAGATCGATGCTTAAATGGAGAAAAGGTGAACAATAACTTCAGTGTACGATTCAGATAGTATGAATGAATAACATACATGCGTCGTCGATCACTCCAGGTTTTTATATAAAAACGAGATTGTTTTTATGGCATAAAGACCATCTCAGGCTCTACGCTTTGGCTGATCCTTTGTCACCTCGAGGTTTCACTGAAGAAAGTGTATCGATGGAAATTGGTTCATATTTATTATATGGTCTTCATTATCCGAATGTGTCAAATTCAAATGCAGGTCGATTGCATCCGATATAAGCGGCTAAACTGTGAAACACAGAGCAATCTTTCATTGTTCAGGACTCCAAAGATTGAAAAGCGACGAAAAAAATCGATGATAATTAACCACGGACCGAAAACATCGCTGCTGACGTCTAATTTAGCTGCAGTTACCTTCCTTTAATCGTTAGGGGGCTGTATACCTTTTTTTATATAAATCGGATCGCAACCAGCAATAAGTTCTGGGACAACACACCAAATCGATCCACATAAGAACAGATAGTGTTCACGGCAGGAAAACGAAAACACATTACTCGGAATTGCCGGAGCTGAGAGGTGATTTTCCTGGTGCGAGAGGGCACCACATCGCTTTAATCGCGCGATGTCTATTTTGAACTCAGTTTTGTGCGGAAGACTACTCACAGCACAGACAGACTGAAGCACCCAAACAACTGTCCTCTAATATTAGATCGGCTGCATTTCTGGCATTTATCATACAGGGGCCTTAAGAGCCTATTGTAATAAGTCTTTATTAAAAGATCACCACTATATCCCACAGCTGGTGGAAACCGTCTATTATCACTGAGTTATTTCCAGTCAAATCGCCACACTTAACTAAAAAGTCTCCCCCCCCACCGCTGTATTTCTTCCTGGGTGCGACCGGGTGATCGCCATCTAACTTGGATCCCAAGCTTTATCTGTTTGGGATGGGGGATACGGACTAAACGACGTGAGAGTGCCCCCCCCCCCCCCCACCCCCACCAAAAAAAAAGGCTCACAATTAAAGAAGGAAGTGTGTTTCCTGTGATATCGTAGCGAAAGATTGCCTAACGTGCACGTCCCCTCTGCCAAAAGTGACTTCATTGAGCAACGCTGCGCTGAAGTTCGACTTTCGATGTCCCAATCTCTTTAATTGAGAATCCGAGACCGCCTGTGGCGTTTCACAGACGAGCGAAGTCTACTCCAGTAATAGACGTGTCACTTTGCCAGATCTGGGCATTAAATCTAACTGTTTTTCAAATACCTCCCCACTCCCGGAGAGTGTCCTGGATGCGCACACGGTGCCAACGCACGTCGTTTTAATGGTGTTATTTTGCATCGCCTTATTATGATTAATCGCTGAAAACAATGCCTTTTAAAGATATGTAGCCAACACTCCCATATCACTGTCGGGGACTGAGCGTAAGGTGAAGGGTTTGCAATACATAATCACCACGTTTTTAAGCCGTGTTTTCAGATTAAAATGCAACCTGCAAACTCCCTAAATCTGGGCAAATATCAACAGCGTCAGATCGTGAAAGGTGAAGTTTCGACAGTGACGTTGGAAACCTGTGTTACGATTGAAAACTTTATTTGAATTTCAAGCTGAGTTGGTGGGAAAGTTTAACATTGATCCTCGGGTTCTACACATCTGCTAATGTACCGTACTCGAATGCAGATTATTTGCAAACTTGGGTGGTTTCTTTTTGGCTTTTTTTTCAAAAAAAAAAATGATTTGACTGCGATGTTAAAGCTACCGACGACTTAACAGCACAAGAAAATCTAGGAATAGACAGCGCACGGCGTGTAAAAATAGCATTAAGGACACTTCCACACATCGCGTTGAACGTTTCGAAAGCAAACGCGGGCAATCGGATCGATTCCACAGCAAAATCCACACCCAGAAAGGAAAATCGGTGCGGACGCCGCATCGGTTTGTTTTGCGGTTATACGGTCTTATGGACTGAAATCTGCGACTGCAGAAGTCGAGGGAAGGCGGCGAAATGTCACCTGATTTAAGTTTCCATCCACCTTAACTTTCTTGATCGCTTCCTCCTCCCCCATCCTGCCAAACACAGGACCGTGCCATCAGAAGACCGCCCACCGAACACACCAGCCAAGACCCCTTTCCGCCAAAAAAAATATTTAAGACAGACTGCATTCACAGATTGACGTTCATTCAACACAGCCATCGGATCGGGACTTGCCCGAGTGCTCTCAGATCGCTGCTATCCGGTGTGACTGACTGCCAGTGGCCGCGATGCTCGGGATGCTAAATAACAGAGCTGCGTCGCTCACCCTTCTGCTTTTCATCGTCCTGTGCCTCACCAACGTAGACCATGGAGTGCAGGGTGAGTTTTTTTTTTTTTGGGGGGGGGGGGGGGAGTGGGGTGGGGGGTTGGGGGGAGGGAGAAGGATTGTGGATGTATATTTGGATTCAGAGTCATCGCTCCACGTTGAATGTGTGCACGTCCCCCCCCCGAGCGCCTCTCGGATCCTCGCTTTGGACGAGGGGGAACATTTGCAAACGATCCCCCGAGACGAACCGTGGTAACCCCCCACCCACCCCCCAAAAAAAAATGAACACGTTTGGGATCAGAGGAAGTTGTCTGCGGGCCGTCCGATGCAGTCCGGTTGCATTTTGAATACCGCCACACGTGTTGGTGTGCTCTCCCCCCAAAAAAAAATTCACGAGAACTTTATGGCACAGACGGTCTGTAGTATGTGGTCAGAGGGCGTGAAAGTGTGTTGGCGTTACCTGTCCTGCGTGTGTTGTGGGTGCACTCGCTCTCAGTGCGTTAATGGTTCGCGATCGCGGCCGTGAGCATTCACAGCCGGTGTTAGACCCTCCAGTAGGTGAATCGTGTCTTAGAAAGTCCCATCACCTTCGTGGACCATCGACTCACGACACGAATCGGTGTTCGGTCGGACTGGAGGAGGTAAATCGTGTTGCGATTTCACGCGAATCAAGCGACCCCCGTCCAGGAGCCGGTGGGATTATTTGGTGCGGTTGGAAATGATTAGAGAGGCACGTGTGTCGTTCCCGATTGCCTTCTGCTTTAATGCTATGAAGACTGAATAAAAGTGTGCAACTCCGGGTCCTGTCTGTGGCGTTCGGTATTTGGTGTACGAGGGCTGTGTGTGACTCTCCAGGAGAGGCAGCAGAGATCAAGAATCTCAACCACGAATTAGTGGTGCAGAAAAAAAAACAGCAAATGTTTCTATTCCTGATCTCCCCCCCCCATGTGAGTGGATGGCACCATCAATTGGATGGTACCTGCCAGATAATTACAACTGATGTTTATGTCGTTTAACTCAGACGCTGTCAACCGCAGTGTCATTTTTCCCAGACGTTGTGCTCATCCGATGAGTGTCTCGCCAGTCACGAAGCTGTGCTCTGGGTTTCACTGTAATGGGTCCACTTTCCTTTCTGGCATCAATGCCGTATTTTTTCCTCCCCCCCCTCCTTTTTTTTGGTAGGACTGAGCTCTGCAGTCCTAGATCCGAGCCCAGTTAACTTCCACACGCAATGCAATGCAATCATTGCTCAAAACCCGACAACCGCACTTCGAACGGTGTGATAAATAATAATCGCAGCACAAGTAAAGCGAAGCGTTGTCCCCCCCCCTCGTTTGCAGCCGATGCCCGTTTCTGCAAACCGAGACCCAAAGAAAAAAAAAGAGTTGAAATAAAAGACTCTCTGTCGCGTCAGTGCGAAGTGCACGTGTTGCGATCTGGAGCAGTGAGACTGACACTGTGTGGTGTGTGTGTGTGTGTGTGTGTGTGTTTTGCAGCTGGAAACTGCTGGTTACAGCAAGCGAAAAACGGCAAATGCCAAGTCCTCTACATGACTCGGGTCAGCCGGGAGGAGTGCTGTAAGAGCGGAAGGCTCGGCACGGCGTGGACAGAAGACGATGTGCCGTCCAGCACCCTGTTCAGATGGATCATCTTCAACGGCGGGGCTCCTGGGTGTATGCCGTGCAAAGGTACACCACCACTGTGCGCACGAACTGCGTCCGTCCGTCTGGCTTTTATGTTTCTCGACTCCCGCAAGATTTGCGCTGTCTTTGCACAACGAGAGTGAAATGTGCCTCTCGACTCTGATACAGCAGCCTTTTCTTTTCAGTTCTCCCTCTCTCGCCACGGGTCGTTTCTGGTGCAGTCAGTGGAGGCTCTCAATAAAGATAGCCATTGATTGTGCGCTTCCCCACCACCCCCTAAATCTTAAGATACATAACTATACGCGTAGATATATTTAATAATTGAATCCAGGCAACGGAAAGATACGCGTTAGCTGTCGGATACCTTGGTCGCTGTGTTGAAGAATTAGCATTTTGCTGAAGATAACGCGTGGGGGGATTTTTTTGTTTGGTTTTTTTTTCAACAGAAACGTGTGACAACGTGGATTGCGGTCCAGGTAAACGATGCAAGATGAACAAGAAGAATAAGCCTCGGTGTGTCTGTGCACCCGACTGCTCCAACGTTACTTGGAAGGGCTCAGTGTGTGGGACTGATGGAAAAACGTACAAGGACGAGTGCGCCCTTCTGAAGGCGAGATGCAAGGGCCATCCCGAGCTGGAAGTCCAGTACCAAGGCAAATGCAAAAGTACGTGCAACAAGTGCATAGAAATTAAGGGGAGGGGTGTGGGGGGTGAGGGGGGATTGCACATGTAACGCTCAATTCTCGTGGGAGAGGGGAGGGGGTGGGAGCACTCAGCAATGCGCGCATTTCAGCCTCATTTTACCATTCAATCCATGGAACCGTTTTCTTTCCAACTCCCCCGATAGACAGCAAGTCCAAAGTATTTGTGTTTGTACTTTTCCTCCCACACCAGTCCGTGGTTGATGAAACGTTGCGTTAAATCTTTCTCTCTCTTTTTTTTGCAACAAAATCAGTGATTGGGATTGAAATCGCGCCGATTGGATTGACAATATTCTCTTTTCCTACCCGAGCAACAATATAAGTGGAAGATGTATATTTTTTTTACTGAATGCTTATCTGAAACCATTATATATGCCTCCCATAGAACATCGATGTATGTATGTGTGTGTGTATATATATATATATGCAGTATATTGCATTTGGTTGCTTGCTGCAGGTGCATATCTAATTTTTATACTGATGTGTTGTATTGCCTTTGCCCCTCAGAGACCTGCAGGGATGTGTTGTGTCCGGGCAGCTCGGTGTGTGTGGTGGATCAGACGAACAGTGCTTACTGTGTGACATGTAACCCGAGGATCTGCCCGGAGCCCAGCGGTCCCGAGCAGTATCTGTGCGGCAACGATGGGATCACATACGCCAGTGCCTGCCATCTCAGACGGGCCACATGCCTGCTGGGCAGATCCATCGGAGTAGCCTACGAAGGGGCATGTATAAGTGAGTACCCCCAAGGACCTCACAGAGTGGAGAATGCACAGCATTATAGGCAGACACGAACGCATGTGGGATGTCCTGTGTTGCACAGCCAACCCGCAACTCCTCTGCAATTAAACCAAACGCTTGGGAAACACTCGCATTTTCGAATAGTTATTTTTAATGCATCGAGAGCCGAACGATGTATTCCGCTCTTATTTAATGGCGAGATTTATTCACCCCCCCCCCCCCCCCACCACACACACACACACCTAAATGACTTTTTTTAAAAATGAAAACAAATTCTGATGTTTTTTATGGGATCTCAAAAAAAAGGACACTGTTGGAATCGATTGTACCTGACATTGGACAATTATGAGATATTTAAAATTATGTTCAACCCTTTCAATTTTTCGGATCCACACGTTTAAAGAAGTTTTTTTTAACGCATGAACAGCATCAATGACCAATACAGTCCTACGCCATTGCATCCTTCTGGAGCAAACTTAGTAAGAGAAGGACAGATTTTGCGAATCAAGTATTTGCGATCCAGTCTTTCAAACAGTAAAATGTCAATTAAAAGCTCAATATGGTCCAAAGGCTCTCGGACTTATCCCAATACTTTTAGAATTAGAATTCAATTTGTTTCAATAACCCAAACTGCATGGTTTAGAAGCTCAACCCTGTAGTGTGGTTTCATCCAGTGTTAGTAGTTTGCATTAGCTAATGTAAAGGAAGCACAGATGGTCAGAAAGGGATAAGGAGATAAGAATTTGGTTCATTGTCTTGAATTTGGACAATGCATTTTAACACTTTCTGGTATTTTGTATACTCCTACATGAAGCTGATGCTTCCATTGACAACTTAAACCAGAATTGACAACTTTTAATGTTTAAAGTCAGAGCTAGTGGAAAAGAATAAATACTTACTTTTTAATTTTTTTTAGTGCCCTCATGACATTTGAATACAGTTATAATGTACACAATGCACAGTAATTGATGCATGAAGCAATTTTTGGTTTGAATTATTTCTGTAATCTTATTTCTTTTTATGTGCAATTAGTTGCTACTGGAATGAATGAATTTTAACCATGTTAAAGTAAATAATTACTATTCCTAGCAACAACAAATTCCATTTTCATAGCATCTTTCACGTCAGGAGGACATCCCAAGGCTTTGCTTTCAAATGTTTCCTTTATCTTTTACAGAAGCAAAGTCATGTGAAGACATACAATGTAGCTCTGGGAAGAAGTGTCTGTGGGATGGACGGCTAGGCAGAGGTCGCTGTGCTGTGTGCGACGTGTGTCTGGGTGGACGTTCAGACGAGCCAGTCTGTGCCACTGACAACACCACCTATCCCAACGAGTGTGCGATGAAAAATTCTGCCTGCATCTCTGGCACCATCCTGGAGATCAAACACACCGGATCGTGTAATTGTAAGTACATTTTGACACCCAAATTATTTAAGACTCGCATTTTATTTCATTCCTCACAAGAACCCTAAATTTATCGACTGACAAATATAATGGTCTCCAATGGTTAGGAGCCAGGGAAAGCAAACTGCTGCCATACATCAACCTTTGAACTTGTTTTTCTGACAAACATTTTAAAGAGAGGTTTGGTTGAAAAGAGAAGGTGCAATTTCAATGAACCCAATTAGAGAATTTGTGAGGCATTCATATACACCTAGTTTATTTGGAATTCCATTTATTATCCTCTGGATAAATAATAAGGTCTAAAAAAAACACAATCCCAAGTAGTGGACCAAACAAGGCATGACGTTATTGTTATTACAGCATTTTTACATTGGTAGATTGATTTTCAATTTATAATTTTGCAATATTTTACCCAGACATGTAATACATTGCATATCTTATTTACTAAAAGCAGTGGTAGGGGTACAAGGATTTTCTTCCATATAACCTTTTTTCCAGAAATTTTATTTGTAAACCCCATTTGTTTGATTTCCCTGAGGTCAGGGGATTGTGTAGGTGTTAAAGCGACAAGAATATTGCTTCTGAATTGAACACGGAATGTAATTTCATATCACATAGTGCTCAGATTTTTCTAATGAGGAATTACAGCTCTACACCTGATTTGATTCTAAATCTAAATGAGATGTTTAAATGTGATAAATATCATGAGAGGTTTTTCAATGAACATAATGTAGTGAGTGAGGCCTGAAAAGGCTGGCATATGATTTTAAGAAATAAATATTTTCTGGGATTAAAATGCCTTTGGGGAGATAGATTAGCACAATAACGTATTTAATTTGAACCTGAAGTGATCAATGATGATCTTTAAAAGACCCTTTGTAGTTGTGTTTAACCTTTAAAACTTTTAAAAGTAGACAATAGGGCATTAGTAGCACTGACAAATGTAATGGTCAAATACAATAGTAATATTAGAACACAAGAACACTTTTCTTTATGTGATTACAGGAATCTGCCCAAATGCCTGACCATTGATTCTTCAGAACTCACTTCAGTAATGGTATTCTATAAAATTATTTCATAATAGCAAATGTCATAAACTTCATTCTCAGGTCACAATAAAAAGATTATTGTGGCTGTTCAGAAAGAGCTTTCAAACATGCACTGAGGTTCTGCGCTGTTGTGATCCTTATTTATACAACAGCTACCATATATTCCCCCATAGCCATAACTGAAGAAGACGAAGATGAAGATGATGATCAAGAAAATAACACCTTTCCTCAATCTTCGTTTCTGATCTGGTAATTTCTCCACCTGTGGGAAGAGGAAGGATTCACTGTACTTATCTGTAAATATGTTTTACGCTTATTTATTTTGAAGAAGTATACATAGTTGAGTCCCGTAGATTTTTATTTATACTGTCATGTTTTTATAATTTATACATAAAATTGGTTAACTATACCTGTTTTGAAGAAATATATTCGTCAGAAGAGCAGTGTTATCGTTAATTTATTGTGACGTATGATGTCTGTAAAGTACACCTTTTTCTTGCAAACTGTAAATTGCATTCCTATAGCTGTAAATGTGCCTTGTCATTTTGGTTTTGTTACAACAATTTTTAGCTGTATCACCTGCATGTTTTCCCTGTATATTTATTTATTGGAATATGTTACACACTGATGTAAATAAGGCTTCAGATATTGTTTACAGCGTGTCATATAACTGACCAAATGTGCCATTTTTGGAACTTGTTGTCAACTGGAAATGTTTTGCAGCTGCGTGGTAAACTATAATTTCATGGCCGTTTGTAATCTCAATTGCTCCAGTAGTCATGTCTGTAAAGGTGTTAACATAATGCTAACAGTTCAGGTTTTCATTTTGCTAAAAAAAATATGTTGCGAATGCAATTTTATATTTTCGAACATGACAGTTTTAAATTCATCTAAATATATAGTTTTGTACTTTTTTCTATCATGTAAATGTGCAGTGTATATAAAAGGTAATAATGTGGATTTGTAAATACATAATGAATAAAACAATAAAAAGCCATAGGAATTTCCATTTTACACTGTTCCCCTGTCTGAATAACCCTGCCACAAGAATTAAAGTTCTGAAATGGAATATAAGGGAATCTTGGTTTTCTATAAAAACAACATTTTGCTCAAACTTTTCTATTCTCCCTTTAATAAATTACAATGCCTATATACACAATGAGAAACATACCAAAAACGAATGGATAAGATGCTTGCACAGATGTCTGATTTTGAATATCTTGTGGACTTCTCTTCTTTTAACATGTTTAGGACCAAGTTTCTTCTAATGGATCATAAATTGTTACATAAATACCATACAACTATTCTCAAGTAACTTGATCATAATTAAAAGCAGTCTTGGCATTTCAGATTTCTCTATCTACCCTCACATTTCTGGCGCACACCCATGACCAACTCTACAGCATGCACTTAAAATATCAAGAGAGTAGTAAAAAGAATACAGAAAAGCGGCAATGATCCCAAATTAATTGTTGTCTCTCAATGCACGTAGTTTACCAACAGTGGATTTGCTACCATTTAAGCATGACACTTAAGAAAACAAATACATGTTGTTGCAAGTTGTTATGTTTTACGAAAGGAAATAGTAACTGTTCAGACGTATTCTGTGATGCGTTTCCTTAATTCTTCTTGAAGACGCATTCTCCCCTTAGGCGACAGTACATTTGCTAGAACAAATGGGGAATTGCTCATTATAAGCACGAAACAACAAAGGTCAGTGAAAGTACTGCCAAACAGGATAACTCAGAATTGTGACCAGGATTATAGGCTTTGTTGGGAGTCAGAATCTGGTACTTAGAACATTATGTTAGTCAGGCAGCACTGAGCTAGACATATCGTATAAATGGCACATGCCTTCATTGGACATATTTATATCCAGTTAAGAATAGTCACTTAGTTTTCCTTCACAATAACGATGAAAGCAGATATGGTGTCGTTGGTCGTTATTTATATAAGATACATAACATGCTTTAAACCTCCATGGAGACTATAAACAAATGCATACATTAGTTGTATGAAAGTATACGATTAAATGTGAGAAAACATATCTCTACTGTTAAACACAGACTTCGGAACAATTCTTAACTTGTTTGTCCATTTCGCAAAACAGAGTCCAAACTTGGAATCACTTCACATAGATGAATCCTCGCCAGTTTTGTGCAGGGACCCCCAAGTCGACGTGGAAACAGGACAAGAACACGTAGCATTTTCAAAGGTGACCGACAACGACAACGACAACAACGACGACGACTCGTATTTGTCCAGCGCCCTCCATTGCCGAGGGTCGTCCCAGAGCGCTTAACAATGATGGGAGACCGCGCGCGTCTGAAGTTGCCTCTAATTCGGTCGCTTGCCTACGAGGACTGTCAAAAGCAATTTTACGGTAATCCTCGCCTTTGCCATTGTCACGACGGCCAGACGTCTCAAAAGCACTCCGCGGGAGATCCCCGGCGCACGTGGAGTCGGACGCGGCGGCCAACTTGGGCAGAGGGCAGAGGGCGAGCAAACGTTTGCGGTTCGGCGGTTCAAACGAAGAAGCATCGGCGGTGAAACGCAGGTGCATCTCGGCGCGTGGCGAAGGCAATAATAATAACAATAATAATAATAATAATAAAGCGAAATGCTGTGGGTGTGTAATGGTTTGGATTTTTTTTAAAAAAGGTATAATTTCCCGCTCCCCCCCACCCCCCACCACTCCCCCCTCCCCCTCCCCCCCACCCCTCCCCCTCCCCCACCAGCGGCCGGGAGGGAGGGAGGGAGGGAGCTGCGCGTGCGTAGTCGGGCCTGGCGCGCGGTGCACGCCGGTGGGACAAGATGGCGGCCTCAATGTCAACGGCCGTCAAACGGCTCAGCGTCCTGACACCTCTGAGCCGGGCCTGGACTGCCACCCGGACCCCGCCCGGGCCCACCAGGTAAAGCCCCGCCACCCGCCCGCCCGCCCCCCGCAGCCCTTTTCTTCTTTTTTTTCTCTCTCTCTCTTGTTTTCTGCGCGGAGGAGGAGAGGGAGGGAGGGAGGGCCGGAGAGTTGCCCCTTTGCCTGTGAGTGCACGGGGGAAGCTCCGGGTTGTTTTCGTGGTGACGTTCGTGGCGGAGGCCGCCGCCGCGGTGTGTGTGTGTGTGTGTGTGTGTGAGAGAGAGGGGGAGTCTGTGCCCGGGCCGAGCGGCGACATTTCTGTCAGCGTTACCCACTTCCCTCCCGGTAAATGTGCGGTAAGTGGTGACTTGTCCTCGGGAAGCAGCCGCCGCAGGGACTTTGCCGGGTTTGGGCCCGGACACAGGCAGCAGCGTCCATCACCTTGTGACTGTACCAGTCAGCAGGCAGGCAGCAGGCAGTGGGCAGCCAGGCAGCAGGCAGTGGGCAGCCAGGCAGCAGGCAGGCAGCAGGCAGTGGGCAGCCAGGCAGCAGCCAGGCAGCAGGCAGTGGGCAGCCAGGCAGCAGGCAGGCAGCCAGGCAGTGGGCAGCCAGGCAGCAGGCAGGCAGCCAGGCAGTGGGCAGCCAGGCAGCAGGCAGGCAGCCAGGCAGCAGGCAGGTCAATGACTTTGCTCCACAATGTGATCATCATCGACGTTACTCCACAACGTGATAATATTCCCTCCCAAACCAAGAAAACCATTAATAAATCGGTCATTTTCAATCCTTTGTGGGACACCGCTGTGCGCAATTGGCTGCCGCTTTTCGCCCACAAACGTGCAGTCAATTCACTTCACCGCATGTTCTGTAAAGCGCTTTTGAGACGTCGGGAAGACGTGAAAAGCGCTACATCAAATGCAAGGGTTATTATTATCACCAATAATGTTACTCCACAATACGATCATCAATAACGTTACTCCACAATTTGATCATCAGTAATGTTGCTTCGCAATGTAATTGCCAATAATGTTGCCCCCACAATGTGAGCGTTTCTGCCCGCACTCTCTGGAACTCCATCCCGGAGTCCTTCCGACTCACTGCCTCACTTATTCAAGGTCCATCTCAAGATCTACCTCATTGACCACGCTTTCGATCATCTTTCCCCTCCCAAATTCAGGTGTCCAGCCAGTGCTGTTAAACGTTTTGGGATGGCTTCTGATCACTACAAAGTTATCATGAATAACACTACTCTGCTATGTGATTATGATTAAAGTTACTCCGCCATGTAATAATAATAATCCTTGCATTTGCTATGGAGCCTTATGATGTCATTGAGATGTCTCAAAGCGCTTCACAGAATATACTCAAAAGTGGATTCACTGTGTATTTTGTGGGCGAAATCCAGCAACCAATTGTGCACTGCGACAAACACTCATGGGTTGAGTGACCAAATTTTTTTTAAAAGGATTATTACCCCCGGGAAGAGATCTGCCAATTGGCCAATAAATGGGTTCCTATTTACTGCTGGTTAAACCGAGGAGTAAGGAAACTTGCTTAAGGTTTTGCCACGCCTGGGAATCAAACCCAGTTGCTCTCACTTGCGAGGTGAGAGCACTAACCACTATGCTACGGGACTCCACAACGCTGACTGATGTAATCATTAGTAGTGTTGCTCTACATTGTGATTACCTTGTGAGTTTGCCATTAATGTCTTGTTTCTACACTCATTTCTTGGGAATTGAATTTTTTTTGCTTGGATATATAGTAGCTCACTGGCTCAAAAGAGGAGGATGTTGCTGAACTGTATATGTTCACAAACTAATAAGATTCATTACTGCATATTTTTAGAATAATAGAAATTTTAAGCACGAAAGGAAATTGTTTACCCTAAATCAGGTCAGCACTTGAATCATTATGCTATCCAATTTTCTGATTTTGTGGGACTATGCTGTGCGAAATTGGCTGCCGTGTTTTCCCACAAAATATACAGTCAATTCATTTGACAGTATATCTTGTGAACAGTTTTGGGACATCTCAAAGACATGATAAGGCACTGTATCAAATGCAAGGATTATTATTATTATGTTTCTAGCAACAATCTTGAGTTTCCCATTCACTAAGCAGTAGAAATAATCTCTTCACTCACTTAAATATTTCCACATTTTTTTAATGCTTCTGGATCCTCTCTGCTTGTAGTACAGTATTTTGAAATCTTTCGTTATTATTATATCCTCTTGGCTTTAGCATTATCTTGTACATTGCACCACCAGGTCCCTTCTTTCCTTGACTTCTTTGAGAATATCACAATTTAGGGTATATTTCCATTTAGATTCTTCCAAAATATTCTAGTGCACATTTATATGTAATAAAGAAAGATTGTGCATTTGTATGGTGCATTATCACCTTGAAACATTTCAAAATGCTTCACAAATAAGTAATGTGATTACTCTTCAGACAACTGGGACAACCATTTGCACCAGCAAGATTGCACAAATGCCCATAACGTGAATGACAACAATGGTAATACAGCACTCCCCCAGGATTGCAGCATTTCCCCTTGTAAGCAGGAAGACCAGTTATTTAAGCAAAGAATGGGTTAATATTTCAGATATGATTCTAAAATGTTTACTTATTTCTATTTCTGAGGCGAATCAAACACCTTTTTTCAAAATTCAACCATATCCAGAATTTAATAATAATCCTTTCATTTGATATAGCGCTTTTCACGTCTTCTAGATGTCTCAAAGCGCTTCACAGAATATACTGTAAAGTGAATTGACCATATGTATTTGTGGGCGAAACGCAGCAGCCAATTGCACACAGCAGTGTCCCACAAACAGTCGTAGATTGAAAATGACCAATTTATTATTGTTTTGTTTTTGGAGGGATTATTATTAGGCGTGTGGAGTAAGGAAACTTGCCCAAGGTTTCGCCCTGCCTGGAATTGAACCCAGGTATCTCGCTTGCAAGGCGAGTGCTCTAACCATTGAGGTACAGGACTCCACAGAATTTCTATTTATCTGCATTTTAGGACTTATATAGGCATATAACATATAATAATAATAATAATCCTTGCATTTGATGTAGCCTTATCATGTCTTTGAGATGTCTCAAAGCACTTCACAGAATATACTGTAAAGTAAATTGACTGTATTTTTTTGTGGGCGAAAACCGGCAGCCAATTACACACAGCAGTATCCTACAAACAGCCATGGATTGGAGTGATCAATTTATTATTTTTTTGAAGGGATTATTACCCTCAGAAAAGGGAGCCGCCAATCGACTAACAACTGGGTTCCTACTTACTGCTAGGTAAACAGAGGCGTGTGGAGTAAGGAAACTTGCCCAACACTTCGCCCTGCCGTGAATCGAACCCATGCCTCTCGCTTGCGAGGGGAGGGCTCTCACCACTGACCTTCAGGACTCTACAATATAGCTTCTGAAGTAAACATTTTTTTCCACAGTAAATTTGGAATGAATGTTTTTCAGTTGAGTACTCTGAATAGTTAACTAAAAGAGTATTGAACAGATTATAAATAAATCCTCAAGTTACTAATCATTCACTAAACTACAGGCTATTGACTGCCATGTTTTTGCCCACAATTAAACCACTTTACAATATATTCTGTGAAGTGCTTTGAGGTGTCTCAATGACATAGAATCATGGAATCGTACAGCACAAAAAGAGGCCATTCGGCCCATTGAGTTTGTGCCGGCTCTTTGAATGGAGCAATTAATGTCAATCCCACTCACCAGCTCTTTCTCCATAACCCTGTAAACCCATCCTCCTCAAATACCCATCCACCGCATTTTTAGAAGTAGTTATCGAATCGGCCTCGACCACCCTTTCAGGCAATGCTTTCCAGATTCGAACAACTTGTTGCGTGAAAACATTTATTCTCACCTCCCCTCTGCTTTTAGATACTATTTTGAATCTGTGACCTTGAGACACCGACACACCCACCAGTGGAAACAGTTTTTCCCTTTCTAACCTATCAAATGCCCTCATGATTTTGAAGACCTCTATTAGGTCTCCTCGTAACCTTCTCTGCTCCAATGAGAATAATCCTAACCTCTCTCGCCTTTCTCATAATCAAGGTCCCTCATTCCTGGTACCATCCTCGTAAATCTCCTCTGCACCCTTTCCAATGCCTTAACATCCTTCCAAAGCACATGATAATGGGCTGTATCAAATACAAGTATTATTATCATGTATTTGAATATGATCTTTTGTTGAAGGCCAATTTATTAAACATTCATACAAATTATAAATGATAAATTATAGTAGGATTTGTGACAAATACAGATCTAAGCAAAGATAATCATTATTGTTGTATTCAAAAAAAGTTTGTTTTTCATTTTTTTTGTTGGTCAGCCAGTTGACACAGACAGAGGTCCCATCAACATGCCTATTAGTATCCACACCAGCCTGAGAGTTTCACATCTTCTTGGAAATTTCATGTTGTCTGGGATGATGTGCCATTCCTAGACAGGAACATCCTGCTTGCCTAATCCCAGAATTTATTAAGCAGAAGTGGACCCAAGAGTGCATGTTGGGGTTCACCGGGAGGGGAGTTTAACCTACCGTGACACAACTAAAACTGTGTAGCTTGCCATTGTGAACAAAGTCTGCATGTTTCACCTTGCATGTCCAGCTACTCTTGTGGTGAGAAGGGTTAACAGGCACCAAGTGAGAAGAATCCCTGTCTCCAGTGACTGATCTGGCCTCACCAAGTTTTATGGACAAAGCCAGGTCAGCCTCAAAGAGTTTTCTTCAATTGCTCCCAAACACTCTCCACCTCTGGAAGATAGCAAATAGTTTGTCTTGCAGCTGTCATTTGTAAGTTTGACTTCTAATGTTTTTAATTTGGTTTTGAGATTTTTTTTCATTTTCTTTCAAAACATTTTATTTAGAAAGCAATATATATTATTGCATGTGATTATCGAATCAGCCAAATTTTGTGTTGCCACCTAGAAGTACAAGAATGTTATGACTTTTTATTTGAACATTGATCCTAATCAAATAGTAGATGATGTTCATTTTTCCTGGCAGAATATCAA